CTTTTACTTCTGTCTTTATGTCCTCTGTCTTCCAAATAAATCTTTTAAAAAATAATTTTAAAAATGTTAACAGGAAGTTGGGTGTTACAAAATATAATAAGATACACTAAAATGGCTCTGCATTGATGCACTCCATCGTTACACCTAGCAGTAATGAGCAGTCCAAGATCAAAGTACTCACGCACCTGTATGACATTTGGAGATACCCGAGACAACTGAAGTCAGATCTGAGACCTGTGACATCTGTGGGTGACAAAGCCAAGGGTAGTCCTACCAGTGCTATCTAATATCTCACTTTCATTCATAATCACAAGCGATGCTATGTTGCAGTTAGCAAAAGTAAATGTGGACTTTTCTTCATAGCCAAAGTCCCAGGATCTTGAGTGTGGTAAGAAGGCCATGGGCTACGTTGGAACGCACGGTTTGCCAGGTTGCTTCTGACCCTGGCATGGTTGTGGTCCATGGAGGATCCTGCAACGCAGAGGTGAGAATGGAGGGTGAAAGGTTACAGCCCAAACACCTGGCACCTGTGTCTTAGGAGGAGCAACTGTTTAGAAGTGGCCTTGACACATCTCTCATAGACCCCGGGGACTTGAAAAGACATCAAGGTGAGAACCAAATTGTTCTGTGTAAAACGAGCAAAATGAGTGTAGAGTGAGGAGGTAGGGACAAAAGAGCTCAAAGGTACCAGGACAGGCAGCAGGAAGACAGGGGTGGGTGGACCGTGGGGAGAGACCAAGAAGCAGGTGGTGGATGTGCAATCGGAAACAGCCGTGTGATGTACAGCTGGAGGTTGTGGAGTCATTGTAATAGGAGCCCTTGGTAATAGAGACCCAGTCCTCATTAAAGCCATCTTTATGGACCAGACAAATAGGCTGGGCTTCCCTCTAACCCAAAGTGATGCAACCAAAGTGATGCAACCAAGGAGAGCCAGGTGGCCTGTGCCAACTGAGCGCACAAGTTCAGGGGCAGGCACAGAAACTTTGAGGAAAGCATGAGAATGGGGTCTTGAATCCTTTCAGGCATATGGAATAGGGTGGCCTCTGCTGACTTCTGAACCCAGACCACCAGTGTCAGCAACATCCTGCCATGTTAAGAAAACAGGTTTTAACAAATGCTTCTGTTTTATTTATTTATTCCTTCATGCAGAATCCCTCTCGGCGTTCAGCAGAGGGCGCCAGCGGACCGAGGCCTGGCCCTCACCTCACCTCATGCTGCAGAGAGCGACCTAGACCACAGTCTAGGACCATCACTTCAAGCCACTTTTTCTTTTTAATTTACTGTTTTTAGAAAGCAGACTTACAGAGAGGAGAGACAGACAGATATTCTGTCCACTGGTTCACTCGCTCAGTTGCCGCAACAGCTGGAACTAACTAGAAACTAGGAGCGTCTTCCAGGTCTCACACGTGAATGCAGAATCCCAAGGCTTTTGGGCCATCCTCTACTGATTTCTCAGGCCACAAGCAGGGGGCTGGATGGGAAGCAGCTAGGACATGAACCAGCACCCATATGGAATGCCAACACTTGCAAGGGGAAGATTAACCAATTGAGCCATCGCATTGGGCCCTGGGGACACTTTTAGAAGAAACTCTTAGAAAAATGTAAAAACCAGAGTCTACGCTCTTCTTTCCTTCCAAGTTCTACTCATGGGAGTTTTCCTTGGACGACCCACTATCAGCAGTGTTTCTCTTAAAATGATGTTAGTCTAGGGGACTGTGGCCTCCTCTGGGCCCTGTGGACCACATGACTCCTGCTCAGTGGACTGTGTTGGCTGGACTTGACCTTGAAGAGGTCAGATTAGAGCCAACAGAACCCATAGGTGGGAACCAGGCAACGTGGTGCAGGGGGGTAAGCTGCCGCCTGCAATGCTGGGATTCCGGTCTCAGCTGCTCCACCTTGACCCCGCTCCCCACCAGGGAACCTGGAAAAGCAACAAAGGTTGCCCCTCATGCTTGGGTTCCTGCACCCATGTGGGAGACCTGGAAGAGGCTCCTGGCTTCGGATCGGCATGGTATCCGCCCGTTGCGCTCACTTGGGGAGTGAATCATCGGACGGAAGATCTTCCTCTCTGTCTCTCCTCTCTGTATATCCGCCTTTCCAATAAAAAATAATAAAAATAAATCTTTAAAAAAAATAAAAAGATAAAACATGAAATACCAATTTTTATTAGAAAGTATTTCAGAAATCTCGAAAGGCATAGTAGTCATTTAAAGCATACAAAACATGTATCCTTTAGTTTGGTGGATAAAATATTGCCAATACTGTTGAAAGAACAAATGTTATTTTTTAGAAGATTTAATCACTTGAAAGGCAGAGTGAAAGAGAGACAGGAGAGAGAGAGAGAGAGAGAGAGAGAGAGAGAGAGAGAGAGAGAGCCTGGAAGCTCATGCTGGGCATGCACTCAGGCTAACTTTGGCTGCTTTGCGTTAGCAGGGAGTCTAACTGGAGTGCAGCAGCCAAGGCTCAAAGCACCTTCTAATTCAGATGCAGATGACGCAAGCAGTAGCTTCATTTGCTGTGCCACAAGACCTGCCCCAAAAGACCATTTTTCAAAAATTGCTTCTTCCTTATTGCTTGCAGCCAATGAGTCTCCAGTTTTGCTGCAACTAATGAACAATTGTATGGTCATCCCAGGAATTCTCGGCCTGGTGTGGGGACATAATCAGGGGCATGGGAGCCTGTGGATGGAATGGGCTCTATTTTCTGTCTTCCAATTTAAGAGTCAACGCTTCCTCTGATGGATTCTTCGTGGATCCAGCAGGAGTCAGAACCTAGCAAAGGCTCTGGGCATTTTTGGTAGGAAGCTGCCATCTGCTGGCCGACTGAGAAAATGCAGCAATTTCCCTTGGCTGGGGGTGATTCTCAAACCAGACTGTCTTGCTGTCTCTGGATGTGGTCAGCTGCCCCCTAGCAGCCCCAAGAGGACCCAGGACTGGGTGACCAGAGTGGCCACCAGTCTGCAGATGAACAGCTCTGGGGCCCTGCACGGTGGTGATGGCAAGGCACAAGTGGGGCACCCAGGAACCCAAAAGAAAAAAAAATCCCAAGGTGAGGGGTGTTCAAGAAAAGCAGATGGCAGAAGCAGGCAGCACCTGAGCAGGATCGGAAGGCAACAGATACAGGTCCCCGTGTCCAGGGCCTGGGCCTCTGCCCCACTTCTCCAGAACTGTACTAGCCCTGTAGGAGTGGGCGGCGGGAGTCCATTCCTGCAGGCATTTGTTTGCCGTTCCCTGCGTCCTGGACATCCTTTGTCACCCACCCCTGCCATCTGAGTTAATGTTTGCTCAGTGAACTTCAGCCCCTCTTCCTCCCAGAAGCCTGCTCTGATTGCCCCTACTGCTGCACCCTGCCCTCACGCCCTGGCCCTCTGGTCTGGAGCCACCTGTTAACTTGTTTACTGTTTATTTACTCTCGTGTGAGTCTAAATTCCACCAGGGCAGGGATATGACCGCACGCATCTCCACTCCACCCACTCCGGGGTAGGAAACTGAAGGAAATGCTGGTCCATTACATTAATTTTTTCTCAGGGAATTTTAATACTATTTTAAAAGACTTTGGTACTTTTTCCCCACAGCGAAGGGTCCCTAGAAGTGAATTGAAAATAATTTCCTTTGCTGTTTACTTATAACCACAAGGGGGATGAGAATAAAGAGATCTTATTTCCAGCTGGCATTTGTTAATAATTAACTCTATTCCACTTGTGTTCTCCTAAATATTAAGCAAACAACTACTGTTTTGGCCCTTCCCGGCAACCATATCTCTTCCTCCTTCATGAGGTAAAGCATCTCAATTTTTTATTATTATTTTTTAAAATTTTTATTGGAAAGTCAGATATACAGAGAGGAGGAGAGACAGAGAGAAAGATCTTCCATCCGATGATTCACTCCCCAAGTGAGCGCAACAGCCGGTGCTATGCGAATCTGAAGCCAGAATCCTTGAACTTCTACAAGGTCTCCCACATGGGTGCAGAGTCCCAAGGCTTTGGGCCACCCTCCACTGCTTTCCCAGACCACAAGCAGGGAGTTGGATGGGAAGTGGAGCCGCCGGGATTAGAACCGGTGCCCATATGGGATCCTGGCACATTCAAGGTGAGGACTTTAGCCGCTAGGCCACACCACCGGGCCCAAGCATCTCAATTTTATTAAAGAAACTGCAACCTTTATTCTGAGTCTAGGTGATTCGGAGCAGGTGACCCCATCATCATGCCTGGGGATGGACACGCAATGTGGGCCTGGAAAGTCACTGGCATATGATTGGTGCAGAGATGAGCATAGGAGCCAGGCTGGCCCAATGAGATTTAACCCTGGAACTCTGGCCGACATTACTGCAGGGAAAAGATCCAAGGATGCTGAGCTAGGAGGCTGTAAACGTGGAGCTGCTGGTAGCCATGTTGCCACCAGGAGGGTAAAGACAGACAAAACAAGAGAGAGAGTCGAGAGAAGAGAGTCCACAAGGAAGTCATCTTCTCACGATGTGCATCCAAACCAGGACGCCCTCTGAAGTCCTCCGTTCCAGGCACCTGGCACATCCCCTGCTCAGAAGTACACTTGGAGTAGTATCTGTTTCCTGCAATTGAACAAGTAGTCGCTAACAGAAGAAGCAAAACAGGGGCTGTGCCTTTGTTTCCTTCATTTTACTTTTTGCAAAAGTCAAATGTGATTTGGAGCACTTCTAACACAAACAGGAAAACCACCATGAGCTTAGACAGCGTCATGAAATTGTTCAAGATGGAAGGGAAGAGGAGATGAGTGCCCACTTGGCCTGATAATCTCAAATGGTGTTAGTGGGGTTTCAGAGTTCTGGAGAGCCATGGAGTGGTCTACTTGAGGTTTTATTGCCTCAATCTCCTTTGTTATCCCAGGGTCCCTTCCGCCCACCTCAACTTCAGCCCTACTCCAGGCAACAGGTGCCACCTCTGGACCAGAAGGTTGCAGACTACAGGCCTGGCCAATGCTTCGGGTGGAGTAGCTCAGCCATTGGCTTCCTTTTGTCGCCGCGTCTCAGCTCAGTGAAGAGCCGGTTGTGGCCAGCAGGTTTGCAAACAGTGATCCGGGCTGCTTCTGCAGGACCTCGGGTCTGTCAAACTCTGCAACCTAGACAGTGAAGAAAGAAGGGGAGAAGGCAGGGGCCACAGCTGAGCTGGGTCATCCCTGCTGCCACCAGCCATCCCTGCTCCCGCCAGCCCTCAGGACAGGCCTCTCACCTGCCCATTGTTCATGACCAGGATGCGGTCACAGTTGAGAACGGTGGTGATGCGGTGGGCAATGATCAGCACCGTACAAGAGTGGAAGGCCTCCCGGATGGTGTGCTGGATCAGGGCTTCCGTCTCCACATCGATGGAGGCAGTGGCTTCATCAATGAAGATGATCTGACCAGTACAAAGCAGGGGTGAAAGAGCAGGGGTGAAGGCAGACTCTTCTGGCCCAAGCGACCCACATCCGGCCCTGGCTCTACCCCAAGTTCCTGAGTCCATTCTCCCTGCAGGCTCTCAATTCCTTAGCTGGAAAAATTAGGGAGCTGAACAGAGTTCAGAGAATCTGCCTTCTAGAGAATCTTGCCCTTGAAAGAGAGAGGCAGGTGTAAGCGAAGAGCTAACTGTGCTGTAAGGAGACTTCCTGTGCTATAGGCTGCCTTCCTACCTACCTGAATGTAACTAAAGCAATGACTCCCTAAGGGGAGCATACGCACGCCCCACCATGGCCACACGCTGCCAGCATCTCATAGATGCATCTCATAGAATTTTGAATCGAAAAATTTTTCATTTCTTTGGAAACGTAACATTGCTTGCCTGCCTTAGCAATATGCACTAGAGAACTTTAGCTCAGAAAGTACACTTTAACAAACAGTGGCGCTCAGATGGGACTGTTTTGCAAATGGAAGCATCATTAGTAAAGCTCATCGTAGTCAGTGCACAGAAGCAACAGAAATCTTCCATTGTGAGCAGGTGTTCAGCCTGGCAGCTAAGGATGCCCAGCTTTGATACCCGTCTCCAGCTGCCAGTGAATAAAGACCTTGGGAGGCACCAGGTGCTGGCTCAGGTGCACTGGGTTCCTGCCACCCTTGTGTGGCAGCTGGATTGAGTCACCTGCTCCCTGCTTCAGCCCTAGACCAGCACTGCACATTGTAGACATCCAGAGAGAGTGGACCAGCGCATGGAAGAGGAGAGTTCTCTTTCTCCCTCTGCGCTCTCAAAGTTTGCTAAGGAAAAAAAAACCATAAAGTGGTGTGTCCACATTTGAAACACAATAGAGAGCAAGCAATTTCAGCTCCAAGTGGCTACACGCTGGCGAAAGAAGGAACGGACACATTGGGAAAGTGCTCCCAAGTTCTAAGTTCTGATTGCTCCCCAGAAGGGGAAAAGTCCTACTTCTTTGAAAGCCATGGCCCCTCTCTTTAGCGCTCATTGACACTTTTCCCACAGTGTGACAGCCTGCAAGGAATGTTTTTTTTTTTTTTGCATTTGTCAAGAATTAATCACAGAATGTGTGTATGTGCACGTATAAATGTGAGAGTATGAAGGAGATATAATATGCATGGGTATGTATGTGTGTTTGTTGCCTTATGTGAGAGAGGTTTGCTCCTGGAAGCTCCAGATATTGACATTCCCCAGTATTTGGAAAATTTTGAGAAACGCTGTTACTTTGAGCTTTTAAAAATCATGGGAACCACATTGTAATGCAGTGGGTTATCAGCTGTCACCAGCAATAGCAGCCTCCCATCCCACGTTGGTGTCAGTTTGAACACTGGTTGCTCAACTTCTAGTCCAGCTCCCTGTTAATGCCCATGGGAAAGCAGAAGATGGCCCAAGAACATGGACACCTGCACCCACGTTGGGGATCTGTATGGAACCAGGCTCCTGGCTTTGCCCTGGCCTACCCTCTATGTGTGTGTGTGTTTTTCTCTAACTCTGTCTTTCAAATACATAATTTAAACAAGTCTTTAAAAAAGAAAAAAAGATGATTTTCCCTGAGTCAGCTGTTCTCTGATTCCACTAAAGCTTCAGGAGCCATCCAGTATCCAGTTCAAGAAGAATGGACAGTGGGTAGTTTCTGAATCAATGAGTCCTTAACCTTGTCCCCTTTCTGAAAAAAAAAAAAAAAGAGCATCCTGACTAGCAATGGCAGAGCCATTCAGCTCAACTGTGGGTCATCAGGGGCATCAGGGAGCCAGCTACTTGGCTTCACTCCCACCAGGGTCACATGTGCACTGGCCAACTGCAAATCCACTGAGCACTTTGGAGTTTGGGGCAGGAAGCATGACCATAGGTCCCGTGGTGGCAGACAGGGAAAAAGCCAGGGTGGTGCATCCTCAGTGGCTTCTCCCGTCAGCCAGCCATGGCACTCTCACCTTGGAGTGGCAGAGGAGAGCCCGGGCAATGCACAGCAGCTGCCTCTCCCCCACGGAGAAGTTCTCACCGTTCTCCACGACCAGAGCCTGCAGTCTCTCTGGGAACTTGGAGATCTGCAATGCGGGGGAAGATACGGATTACACTGGCCTCTCCTACCACACAGTAACACTGACAGCCCTCATCACCTCTGGTCTCCTGGTCCCCAACCAGGCCTGACCACCCCAAGGCCTTAGCGTGCACTGGGTAACACCTGGAATGTTCTCTCCAAGGTCTTGTTCCAGCTGCCCCTGCGGTGTGGTGTCTGATCTCAACTGCTATAACCAGAAAGAGGCCCAGCCTGGCTGCCCATCTGGAAGGAGCAGCTCCCCTTATGTGTTTTGGGGCAAAGGGGAGCATGACTGCATCAGTGGTGCTCACCTTGCCTTTATCGTCCACCGACCGACCGTGAACTTGAGAAGAGCAGAGCACCTGCTCCTCCCTGCTGTGCCCTGGGCCTGGAACGGTGCTTCCTGTATGGCTGGTATCCCAGGGCCAATGGCCACTCCTTAGGAATTCCAAGTCAGCCCCAGTCCAAAGCCAGGCATTTGGAATGTTCCATAAGGGAGCCCCACCCCAAAGGACAGACACCTCTGTTGAGAATTAGGTCAAGACCGAGAATCAGGCCTTGTAGCTACTCACAGTCTTGGTCAGGAATGTTCTCTCCAAGGCAGCCCAGATTTCCTTGTCTGTGTGGCAGTCAAAGGGATCGAGGTTGGATCTGTGGGAGGAAGCTTTGTGTTTGACTGTCACTCCCAGCCTGTGAACGCCCACAGATACATAGAGATGTGACCATGAACAGTTGGGACCAGACTTCTGGGTGCAGGGAAACAGGCAGCCTCCACAAGGGGCCATAACTGGGGCCACAGAGAGCACTTCCACTGCCTCCCCAACCCCTCATATTCTACAAGCAACAGCCCTCAAATTGTGGCTTGGGAGCCTCCCTCCAAACCCATGTGTTCAAGGTGGGACTCTCCCACCCACCCCAGAGATGGGACATGTGACTCAAATATTAGCCAATCATCACGTGGTACTCTCTCCGGCCAGTGTGATTAGTTTGGGATGGGAAGGTATCAGATCGGAATCTCAGGAGTTGAAAGGTAATGACGAGGGAGGAGACATGTTTCCTCTTGCTGCACAGAACAGGCAGCCTTGCAAGCATCCTACTGAAGGAGGGAACATGTGGCAGGCACAGCTTACAAAAACAGAGCTCCTCCACTCCCACAGTGACCCTCTTGGCTCCACAAGTCAAGAGAGGACTTCCCTGCTTAAGTCAGTTGGGCAGTGTTTCATTTGTGGGAAGATGTACACGTCATGATGTTTATCATTGCAGCCATTCATGAGTGTGCAGTTGAGGAGCCTTGTGTCATCATCGCCTATATCTAAACCTTCTTTATCAGCCTCCACAAAGCCTCCATTCCATTAAACAACCTGGAAACTTCTATTCGACTTTGTTTATGAACTAGCCTACCCTAGTTACCTGGCATAAATGTCTTTCTATGTCTGACTCACTTAGTTTAACACAATGCTTACAAGGTTATCCATAGTGTAGCCTATGTGGAAAGATGATTCTTATTAAACACTGAGCAGTATTGCACTGTCTCTACACCATGCTGCCTTTGCTTGGTTAACTGTTGATGTATAAACTGAGTTGATGCTGCCAATTGGCTATGATGAACATTTGCCCCTTCAACTCTTTGGGGCACACAAGTGGAACTGGAAATGCTGGGTTATGTGATAGTTTTAACTTTAACTTTTAGAAGAACTACCAGATTGCTTTCTGCAGTGACTGAATAGTTTTATGTTCCATTAGGAAGGCACAAGGTTTCCAGTTTCTCTCTATCCTTGCCAACAGTATGTGTGATTTGTCAACATTAGAACTATTCCAGTGGGTGTGAAGGGGATGGCTCCCAGTGGTAGAGCTGGCCTTTGCTGACTCTGTCAGTGAAAAGAGCCCTAACTGATCACCAGTCAACAACTATCAAGTTGGAATCTAGCTGGACTGTGCACCTGCTAAGATCTGCACTTCGCACTTTGACCTGGCTGAGGTGATGTAACACTTTCCTGTTATGTAAACACACAGCTCTGATGGCAACTGGCTCACCTCTGCTTTCTGTCTCCCTGGTTCTGGCAGCCTTGCACAATTGTGGGCAGGGCCAGAATGCACTGAACAAACAGCAGGCAGAATGTCTTACTGGAGTACATTCGGTAGTCTCCAAAGCATTTTCACTGCTGGACACTTTCACTGCTATAAATGGGTATATTTCCCTCATTGATGAACGAATAATGTGTATCAGTATTAAACTTCCTGCTTAAAAGCACATCACTAGCCAGTATGAGAGTCAGGCTGGAATCAAAGACACCCAAGAGGGATCTTAGGGGTCAAGTTTCCAGTTCTGGGTTCCAGCCCAAGGTTTCTTCCCAAAGCAAGTTGGAGTATCACAGGCTAAGGACTTGGACTATTGCAGTCTATCTTTACCACTTGTTTGTTCATCCTTAAGTAGCTCACTTTCTTCTCTTAATTCCTTTTCTTCACGTGCAAATGGGAATCACAAAACAAATTCACTGGACTGTTGTGACAGTTAAATTATATACTACTTGCATTTTAAAGCATATACTGATGCATATAAATGCCCAATAAATGCCTCTACTTTTACTACTACTAAGAAAAAAGCACAATGGATTTCTCCAAGTTGTAGCTTAATACAGAAATTTCTCAAGAATCTATCATTCCCTTAACCTAGCACAGTCACTCGTAAGCCTGTACTAACATACCTGCTGCTCACACTTCCTGGAGAGACCTCTCTGCTTCTGGTGGAAAAACTCCAACTTCTCGTTCAAGACCCTATTCAAATACCTGTTCTTCTGTGTAGTCTTTCGGATTCACTCCGAGTTGTTCATCCCACTTCACTGACATGTCCCATCTAGCAATTATCTTCTTATACTGTGATTCACTACATCTTTCAACTATTCAAAACCACCCTCCCCAACTACACTATGAGCTCCTGGGGAGAGCAGGGACAGTGTGCCTTCAAAACAGTATCCCAGTTACCCCAGGCTGAGTTTCTTGGGGATTCCCCAGCTAGATCACTGGATTCAAACCCTAGCAACAGGGAAAATTATAAGACATGTGATCTGACCTTGGAGTGCATGTGCCTGGACTGGGTCCCCTCAATTGCTAATGCCTGTGCAGTGGACAGCATTTCCAGATGCACACAGGAGATGTGACAGCCAGCTCAACTAGGTCAGCAGGGGATGTCGGCTACCTTGTCAGAGCATGGAAAGTAAAATAGGTTGGACAAATCTAGCCAAACTTTGTAACGTGTTCCTGGGTCTGTGGTTGCATTAATGTGGACTTGGTCAACCAACAGACTGGATTTTTTTCAACCCTGGTGCAATGAAGCCAACAAGTTCTCAAAGCTACAACACCTACTCAAGTAACGCCCTTGGAAAACTCTTCCCCACACTGGGGTCTCTAGGGCATCATCAAAGGACCACCCACCATATCCAGATGCTAGTATAGTTTGACAAGCAAGGAGCAGTCTCCTCCCCAACCTCCACTGAAGAACTGAAACATCTATCCCACCACTTTTCTTCAAGCCTTGACCCATACCACTCTAATCAGAGGCACACATGACCATGCATACCTCCCAACTGTGTAAACACTAGTAAAAATAAAATAAAACATCTTTTAAAAGGCATCTTTAGCATTTAACATCATATCTGGTCCTGGAAGGAGCTCAGAAAATGCAGATTAGAAACCAGCACTGCATTGGCATCTATAATGCCAGCACTCCATACTGGTGCCATTTCAAGTCCCTGCTGCTCCACTTCTAACCCAGCTCCCTGCTAATGGCCTAGGGAAAGCAGCAGAGGATAGCTCAAGAGCTTGGGACCCTGCCACTCACGTGGGAGACTTGCATGAAGCTCCTGGCTCCTGGTTCTTGCCTGGCCCAGCCCTGGCTGCTGTTGCTGTCATATGGGGAATGAACCAATGGTTGAAGCATGTTTCTCTCTCTCTCTCTCTCTCTAACTCTTTGTAACACTTTCAAATGAATAAAGCCTTTAAAAAAGAAGGAAAGGCAATTTAAAGGGATTGAAAGATGCATGAATGATGGATGGATGAATGCTGAAGAAATGAATAACACGTGAATGGTAAGAGAATGATGAAAGAATGAATGGTGTACGAATGTCGAAGGAATGAGTGATGGATCAAAGGTGAAGGAGTGAATGACGGGTGAATGTTGAAACAATGAATGGAGTGAACGCTGAAGGAAAGGGTATCACAGGAGTAAGTCCCTGGGCTCAGACACCCCCTGGCTGTAACACTACCCAGGTGACACTGCTGCCCATCTCACCCCCACCATCACCCAAACCACCCACCTTCAGCGGGCTTTCCGATGCTTCACAGTCCCCAGACACCCAGTGCTCCTCACAGCTGAAGGCCAGCGGGAGCATCCCCGAGAGCGCACAGCTCAAGTGCTGAGCAGCTCAGCCTCAGAGCAGACCACGTGAAGCAGAGGGCCCGCTCCAGGGCAGTGGGCTTCACCAACCCCGCGGTCAGGTCCTTCTCACGTCGCAGTGGTCCAGAGCGCAGGGAGGAAAGGCCTGGCGGGTGCGCCGGGGATGGACACAGACGCTCTGCACGAACCTGATGGTCCCCGAAAGCAGGATTGGGTCCTGTGGGATGACAGCCAGCCGGGAGCGCAGATCCTGCAGGCCCACGCTGCACACATCCACTCCGTCAATCAAGATGCGGCCGGCAGCAGGCTCCACCAAGCGGAAAAGAGCTGTGCCCAAGGAGGACTTCCCTGCCGGCAAGAGAAAGCCAGTCGGTGCCCGCTGAACGGGTTCTCCTCCGCCAGGCGCACCTCTGCCAGGCATGCGCACCTGCCATGTGCCTCCAGCTCCTGCATCCCTAACGGGTAATAGGACTGTATTATTGGTGGTGCAGCTTTCCCACAGCCCGGCTCGTAGCCGCCACAGGCCAGCTCTCTGGCCTAACAGCTAGCACACAGCCCTGTGGGTTTTCTTACACACGCAGTGTTATGCTTATTTTAAAATTTCTTTCCAATATTAAAAAAAAAATGGGGGAGGGCTGCTGATGTGGCCCCTTGGGTTACATCCCATTTGAATGCTGGTTCCAGTTCCAAATGCTTCCAAGCGATTGGGCCCACTGTGTCCATGTGGGAGACCTGGCTGGAGTTTCCGACCATGTCTGTTGGCTTGGCCTGGCAGTGTCTGTTGAAGTCCTTTGGGGGAGTGAACCAGCAGATGCAACTTCTCTCTTTCTCTCTCTTTCTCTCTCTCTGTGTATGTGTGTGTAAGTCTGCCTTTCAAACAATTTTTATTTTACAAGAAATAAAACACTACTGTCAGATCCCATACAAAAATCACAGTGCACATTTCTCTTGAAACTCAGAACAGATAGCAGGAACTGGAGCTCAGTGCGGCTGCATCTGCACTGCAGGAAGCCCAGCGTCTCTTCTTCTGATGCACCCCCATGCCACCTATCCATGTCACCTGCCAGAAAAGCCCCCAGAGGCATTTGACTTGGCGACTTTTGCTCTACAGGAGAAGGTGGGAGAAGAGAAGAGGTGTCTGTTCTGTCACCCTGGTGTTCCCGAGTACATCCAGTGCTAAGTAAAGCCATTCAGGCAAACATGCTGTGGTGGACCCCTACCTGCCACAAGCATCTCCAGCCCAGATCTCAGGTCACTGGCAGATTGAAAAATCAAAAGAGAGCAACATACAAAAGAATGCAGTGGGGAGCCTTTCAGCTCATGGGGGAACCAGCTGTAAGGGTACCAAGCAGGTAGACCCAGGAAAGCTGGAGCCACCTCAGGTAGCAACCTGAATGAGGCAGCTCTGGGGAACTCAAGTGGGGGCACGTGGTGTCTTTAAACAAGGCAGAGAGGCAGGAGGAATGACATCTGAACCAGATCCCCCAAAAGCAATAGGGGAGAAAGGGAGGCAGGGAGACTAGAAAGGTTTGAAAGGGGTAACAGAAAATGAGAGGAAGGAGAACGAAGAGGCAGACAGGAACCCCAGGGGAGAAGGGAGAGAAGGTAGGAGGGAAGAGAGCTCAGATTCCTCTCCTTGCCGGCTTCTCAGCCTAGCAGAGGCACCCCTGCCCTACCCCCTCCTGGGCAGCTCCTCCCACGTCTGAGCTGCTGGTCCACTGCTGCAGCATCTCAGCCCATCAGCCTGTACTTCCCTCCCCTGGGACTGCAGTGCACACACTGGCCACTTTCCCTGTGACCTTGGGGACCTTAGGTTTCACCCCCTAGCAGCTGCCTAGCACAAGACCTGGAGTAGAGTAAGGATGAGGGACAGGCAGGGACCCCCAACTCAGTCTTGCACCAAAAGGCAAGGGCAGGATGCTGCCAGGATGCCCAGCTCACCAGAACCTGTCCTTCCCACGATGCCCACCACTTCTTGGCTGTGAATGGTGAGGTTGATGCCATTGAGGACGATGGGCATGTTGTCTCGGTATTTCATGTGATAGTCCTGGAACGTGATTTCCCCACGCTGGGGCCAACCCTGGGGACAGCTAATGCCTTCCACGTTCAGAGGAGCCTCAGGCACACACAGCTTGTTTGTAAAGAAGGAAAAAGAAACCAAAGCATTACTGCCATTCTCCATCCATTATCCACTGTGGACTTGCTAGCCTCTGGCTGCTGCACCACCATCAAGGCATTGCTGGGGGATGAGAGGATCACCCCAAGAGCAACATCTACCTGCTTTCCTTCCCTGAAACACACAGCATCTTATCCCAGCAGGTGGAACTCTTAGAGGGAGTCCCCTTGCTATCAACAGGACAAATGTCCTTTTCTGTTTATCAGGTAAAGAATAGAATCCAGGGCCCGGCGCGGTGGCACAGTGGTTAAGGTCCTCGCCTTGCACGCCCAGGATCCCATATGGGCGCCGGTTCTATCCCGGCAGCCCCGCTTTCTTCCAGCTCCCTGCCTGTGGCCCGGGAAAGCAGTTGAGGACGGTCCAAAGCTTTGGGACCCTGCACCCGCGTGGGAGACCCGGAAGAGGCTCCTGGCTTCAGATCGGCATAGCATCGGCCCGTTGTGCTCACTTGGGGAGTGAATCATGGGACGGAAGATCTTCCTCTCTGTCTCTCCTCTCTGTATATCCGCCTTTCCAATAAAAAAAATTTAAAATAATAATAATAATAATAATAATAATAAATCTTAAAAAAAAAGAATAGAATCCAAAGCAGCAGAGATAATAATGTTGGGATGGGGATAAGCTGTAAAGCCCAGAGCCCAGTGCAAACCCTGTGTGTGTGTGTGTATGTGTGTGTTAATGTAATCTACTTGCAGGTTGCACAACTACGTCTTCCTAAGGACTCAAAGGAGGGGCATCTCAGAGATGAGAGACAATGCACATGACTGGTCCAAGGAGCAGAGTATGAACTTGAACCCAGGCAAATTGGTGACAGAGTCTGTGTCCTTAAATGCTGTCACTTGGACATGAAAGAGCAGTTGTTACCGCCATTAATGAACTCGTCATCTCTATAAAGAACAAACAGTTGCCTCCTGTACCCATGAAGATGGAGGGATGTGGACAACAGGAGACAATGATTAGGAGGAGCTTCGAGATCATGAACAAAACTGGAGGAACATGGGCAAAGACCGCTCAGGAGCCCCACCTGCTTCCGGGGGGGAAAAATCTCAACCACATACAGAAAAGGGCAGGAAGAGGACATGCAGAGGTCACAGAAGCCCTGCCTACCTAGTAGAGCTCCCATCAGGACCCAGGCCAGGACCCAGGCCTGCACCCTCCAGGACCCAGGCCACCCCCCAAGACTCAGGTCTCCACTAACTAGGACCCAGGCCATCCCCCAGAACCAAGACCTGCACCCACCAGGACCCAGGCTGACACCCACCAGGATCCAGGCTCACACCCACCAGGGGATCCAGGCTTGCACCCACCTTCATGTACTGCAGTATCCTCTCAGCGGCTGTGAAGTGCGCCTCTGTCTCCGAACCAACCCGGGTCATGGCCTGGAAGTTGGATGCCATCTAAAAGGAAGCGTGGAGAATGCTGGGGTGTACTTGGGCTCACAGCACTACTGACCAGCCCCGGTGGCCCCTGCTCACACCAAGGCAGGTGCCCCACTGGGATAGGGTCGAGGCCTCTGGGGCCTCTCTATCCTTCTCTGAGTTCAGCTGCAGCAGAGCCAGGCAGCCCAGATGGAGAATGCTTCCCAAGGACATCACTTCACCTCCGGCATGCTCTAAGGGCTTCCTGCTTCCTGCCCGGAAGTCTGGGCCGCAGCACAGGCACCCACCATGTACAGCGCACCCATAGCCCAGGGGAGCAGAGGTCACAGAAAGCAGCTGAGACCTAACAAGGAACGGGAACCCAGGCAGAATGCAAAATTGATCCTCCCGCCCAGGGGATAGAGGATGTCAGGGAGCCCTGGGGACCTATGGAAGGGACTTCCAGGGCCCTTGGGCAGAGGCGCTCCTGCTCTCTCACTCCTGTTTCCTGAGAGCATCTACCAGATAAGCTTGCTACGCCCCAGTCCTTGCTTCACTCCCTGTCTGCAGGAAAATGCAGGCCACAGAAGCGGAGGCACTTGTGGGACCTGGAGTCTCCAAGAGAGAAAACTGAGGCCAGTGTGGTAGCACAATGGCCTAAACTTCCACATGCCTTGCCAGCATCCCATTTCACAGTGCTGGTTGGATTTCTACCTGTTCCTCTCCTGACCCAGCTCCCTGCTTAGGCAGCAGAGGATAGCCCAAGTGCTTGGGTCCCGCACCCAGAGAGGTGACCCAGATGGAGTTCCAGGCTCCTGACTTCTTTGGTTTGACCCAGGCCTAATAGTCAGATGGGGAATTCTGGAAAACTACTCCTCATTCTCAAAAAATTCTTTTTTAAGAACCTTGCTCTATCTAGCTTTTGGCTATTATTGGGTGAAAATATGTTTGCTGGAGCTGCAACAGCCATTTGGTGACCATGAGGGACATGGTCATTTGGTGAACCTTGGAGGGCAAACCAAGCTATAGACAGCGGAGCAGGAAGATCATGGGTTCATGCCAGGCCAGGACATTAATAGACCCCAACTGTGCCCAGCCTCTAGTTACATGAGACAGTAAGTTCCCAAACTGTCAGTGTGCACAGGATGTGTGTATGTGTGAGCACATGGATGCTTGTGGGTGTGACAGGACATGTGTGTTTACATGAAACACACATGTGTGTGAGTATGAACCTGCAGCAGAAGCTCAACAAAGTGCCTGATGGTGCCTCTTCATGTGCGCCAAATGATCCCTCAGCATCAGAGCCTGCTAAAGTGGAACACACACAAGTGGTCAGCCAGCTTGGGAGGAGGCCACGTGACCCTGAAGGTTAGGCAATCAGTAATCCCTAGGGAGGGTGGTGTCCAGGGCAACTCAGTTTTGGCCCCCTCATAGCCCTTCTCGCTCAACACTGCTGTGGGACTCTGTACGATAAACCTTGAGCAAACACTCTGGCCACATCCATGTCCAAGCCACTCCATGCCCGATGCACTGCTGTAGAATTCAAACCATGATATCCACTGGTCACCAGCTCAGCCTCCCCTAGGGAAGTTCTTAAAGTGGAATCCTAGGATCCTGACCCAGACCTGATTGACAGTCTTCTTGTCTGTGCTCTCCAAGTATGGGGCCCCTGTCAGTTCGGCTTGGACCCATTTCATGTCTGATGCATGCTAGAGCTGCAGGGAAGGGGCTGGGCAACCCACCATCCCAGATGGTCCTTTTAAAGTCAGGCCATTCAGTTATGTACTGAGTCAGCAGGGCAGAGACTCTGCACATGCTCTGTTTGGACAGCTCCTCTGCCAGTAAGTGTGCTGGGCTCTGCTGCCTGTGAGCTAACCTTCACTCCCATTGCTCTGTTAGTTCCTTTATAGTCAGGCTTCCAGATGATCACACGCAAACAGAGCCAGGCAGCTAAAGTCAGAGGACCAACTGCAATCAAACTCCCATGCTCCCCCTGAGTCTTTCCAGCGACCTCCACCTGCCGCCCGGGCCACAGAGAGGCCCAGCCCAGGAGAGCCATCCCCCACCCTATTGTGTCAAGGCAACTCCCGCACCTGCAGTACCATGTTGATAGCCATGATTCTATAGGAATAGGAGCTGGAAGAAATGTCAAAAGCCACAAACAAGGCTACAGCCAAGGTCACCAGGTTGGTCATGACTTCCATCCTCAATGCCACCCATCGTGTGGCAGACAGGAACATCAGCAGGTAGCTGCTCTTTTCATCCATCAGCCTTTTAAACCTGAGAGAGAAGGCACACCAAGAAACATTGTCTGTCTAAGCCAGGGCCTCCCCTGGGGGGACCCTGGGTGCTTCTTCCAACACCCAGCTCTCCACTCCTGCGAGAACCCCATCCCAGGTGGGGCAGGAAACAATCTCCCTCCGTTCCCCTTGACCTGACCCTTGGCCTCTAGACCTTGTGCTCTTCCTCCTAAGCTGGGTGGGCAGCTTCAGGGCTGGGTTGCTGACCCTAATGACTCAGCGAGAATGAATGAAGGCCAGGATGTGTGAGTGAAGAAGAAAAGTGGTCCCATTCCATAGAGATCAAGGGAGGCCTCCCAGGAAGAGATCCTAGAGGCATAGGGGTCCTTGAGACCTCATAGTGAATGCCCCGCGAAGGGTCAGCTGTGACACACACAGGGTCCAAGAGCTTGGCTGTGCCCTGGGACAAAGCTTCTCTGGAAGTGAGTCCCAGTGTGGGTTCTTTGTCTCACCCAGTAGACATGAATCACTTCTTTCCCTTCTCCCCAGCATATTGTTATAAACATTTTTCTAAATACAAATTAGAAGGTTAAACAGTTATCTGTGCATCTTTCCCATGGTGGAAATTTATGATGAATATGTTATCATAAAGTTTTTGTAAGCTAGCTTGAATCACTTTTTTCTGTAACTTCCAATCCATAAAGACCTGCCCATCCCAGTTCGCACACATCATCTTAGGGGCTTCCATGTCTGGCCTCAGGCTGTGATTGATGCTCTTTTCTATTGATGGTTTATTTCAGAATTTAGATTCTGAATCATTTGTCATTACTTGAACTGGCAAAAACAGCAGGTTTGATGTGCTAATTGTGTCTTTGTATGAAGTTCACTCAAGTAAAATTTTGATTATTAAATACGTGTCCATAGACATCCCAACTAAACCCATCTCTGCACCAATTAGGGGTGCAGTCACCCTAGGTCTAGTTCTCCTTATGGTTCTTTCTTCAAACCATTCCAAATTCTGCCCACCTGACCCTTCTTCATTGACCTGGTCACCTTCACTTTGAGGCCTTCCCAGATTAAGCAGCCCCTGATCCTTCAGATACTCCTGTGCTCAAGCCCACTCGCCATCCTTCAAACCCAGCTTCACATCTCAGACTTTTTGCATGGGAAGCTCTGACCCATAGATTTCCATAGCTTCATTTAAATGTATATGTATCTATTTTAATTTTTACTTGAAAGAGGGGCAGGGAGGAGAGAGAGAATGAGTGCACTTCTATTCACTGGTTCTTTCTGCAGATACCTGCATCAGCCAGAGCCAGACCTAAGCCAGGAGCCAAGACCTCAATCCAGGTTTCCCCCATGGGTAGTGGGAACCCCTCACCTGTTGTCTCCCAGGGTGCACATGGGCAGGAACTGAGAGCCAAGACTCGAACCAGACACTCAGATATAGAACACAAAAGCGTTCCAAGAAGTGCCTTAGCCACTACATTGAACACCCAGCTGCCTCAATTAGGTTAGGCTCACTCGGTCTCCTTTTCTCTGAGATCTCCCTAACAGCAGCTGCAGTCCCACCAGAGTCCCCTAACCTGCCTTATCCCCCAGGGTAGGGACTGGGTGAGCCTTGCTCTCCTGCTGTAGCCCCAGTGGTCACAGGTCAATTCTGAATGTGTTGTTCCATGGTCCCTCAATTGCACTGATCCCTGGTGCTCTGTAATGCTGCTGAGAAAGCAGGTGCTGCGGGTCAGCCAGGAGTCCAGCACCCCCGAGACAATGCCACAAACACCTCCCAATCCTCTCCTGCTCCCAGGCTACCTCTTTCTGTGCTGGCCTCCTACCATGTTTGCCTGCCCCTGTCTTACGCTGCACATCCTGGTCAGCCTTGTGCCATCACAGATACGTGCCTGCGTTCCCTCTACCTCCACCTGCCTGAGTTCATTGTCAATGAAGACTCCGCTTGATCACTGTCTACTTAATACATAACTTATGTTAAACCACGAAGCTTTACCCACGATCACAAGATCTTTGTTGCTTTCAAAAATGTGTCAAACGCCAGTTTCTGAGTATGACTCGTCAGCGAAGGCCTGTTACTTAAAAAGCTGTTGTTTCACATTATTTTATTAAGAATAGGTATTTGAGCAATCAACAGAATGGGAGAAAAATTTTGCATACTACACAAGTGATAGGGGACTAATATCCAGGATTTACAAACAGCTTCAGAAACTCAGGAACAGAAAAACAAAACAAAACAAACAAACAAAAAAAACCGCTGCAACAAAATGGGCAAAAGAAATGAACAGACATTTCTCAAAAGAACAGATTCAAATGGCTAACAGACATATGAAAAGATGCTCAGGCTCCCTATACATGAGAGATACAAATGAAAACCACGTTGAGGTACCACCTAACTCCAGTGAGACTGGCCTACATTCAGAACTTAACTAACAACACCTGCTGGCGTGGATGTGGGGAGAAAGGCACCCTCCTTCACTGCTGGTAGGAGTGTAGGCTAGTACAACCACTGTGGAAATCAATATGGAGAGTGCTTGGAAAATTGCAAATAAACCTGCCATATGACCCAGCTACCCTGCTCCTAGGAATATACCCAACAGAAGTGAAATCTGCATGTGAGAAGGGGATCTGTAATCCTATATTTGCAGCAGCACAATCTATAATAGCAAAGATATGGAAACAATCCAGATGTGCGTCCAAGGAAGAGTGGTTAAAGAAACTGTGGTTCATCTACTCCATGGAATATTATTCAGCTATTAAGAAGAATGAATTATTCTATTTACAACCATGTGGTCCCAACTAGAGATCATTATGCTGAGTGAAATGAGTCAATCACAAAAAAACAAATACCATATATTATCTCTTATATAAGGAAACCAACATGCAAAGTATAACTCCAATATTCCAATCCATTCTGTTTTTTGATTGCTTGTTTGCTTTTTTGGCTGTATCCCATGTGTTTTGATGTTTTTTATTTCAGTTTGGTTCCTTCCAAATAATCTCTTTTCTCTAGTCTAATTCATCACGGGCTCATGAATTATACAATGGTATCATTTTTCCCAAGAGACTTCTGTGTTTCCTTTTTGTCATTCATGTGTTGGTTACTCAGTGGTGCTTTTTTTTTTTTTTTTCATGGTGCTGTAATTTGTTGTTGCTGTTGTTGTGGCTGTTCTAACTCATACCAGTTGTCAACCTCATTTCGTGGCTTTTCAATTATGGAAATGTATAGTGATGGAGTACTGGGGTCTATCATATACATGGGATACAATGGAACATGCATACCAGCATCCAGATAAAAGATGGATTCCCAGTGAAACTGTTGGACATGTGTAGACAATGGAATGCTGGACTGTCTGACATTGTCTGTACCAACAATGTCAGGGTACACTTAAATAAGAGACTGATAGAATTATGATTCCTTAGGACTACCACTATTGTAACAAAATGGGAAAAATCTGATGGGGGTAGGAGGTGGGGGGGCGGATCCCAGACTATACAAAATTGTACCACAATTCAAAATTCAAAATAAAAATATATTTAAAAAGAACAGGTATTTGGAAGTGAAAGAAAAAAAAACAATGCTGGAAGTGAAAGAAAAAAAACAATGCAATGTATGTTTACGTAGTGATAATAATAAAAGATCTGGTTATTAAACAAGCTGTAAGTACAACCTAAACTTGATATTGGCAGGATGGGTTCCTGGTCTCTCTGCAGATTCCAGCGTCTAAATCCCTGGTGTAAAATGGTGTAGCATTTGCATGGAAGCCAGTGATGTACTCCTGTATGCCCTTAGTCAGCGGCAGATAATTTATCATATCTCACCCCATGCAAATGCTATGGGACTGGTTACTATTCTATGCTGTCTATGCAATAATAAGGGAACAGTCTGAACATGTTCAATGCAGACACAAGCCCAGTATTTTCAGTCCACAGGTGATTGATTCTGTGGATGCAAAATCCCTGACTAGCGTGGGGCAAATGCATCGGAAACACCCACAGGGCTTTAAACTTCCCATGGTGCACATCACTTACAAGCTTTATGCTTATAAACATCATCACACCACTCAGAGAAGCAAGTGGATGCCACTCTTCCAAGACACCCAGCCCTCCCTCCCAGGTCCCTCACCCCACACCCCAGGGTCTTTCCCCATCTTGGAGGGCAGCCGACAGACTCACTGGCTGATGAATTCTGGTTCTTTCTCATACACATGGATGGAGCTCAGGCCATGCAGGGAGGTGAGGATGTGCGTTAAGAAAGGGGAGCGGCTATAGATCTCCAGTCTCTTGAATACTTTGATGACCTTCTTGAACTTCCTGCTTGAAGGAGAAGGTGAATGACTGAGGCTCATCCAATTCTGAACTGGTTCCATCCTCTCCCCCAAGTCACAAACAAACCTTGACCCACAAGCAAGAGCCTACTCACAAGTAAAACACGAAGCAGACAGTGATGATGAGGACTGCCATTAACAGGACATAGACAGACAGCATGCTGACCACGAGCAGGATGCCAAACATCAACAGGAACAGGATCAGGAACAACTCGATCATCACGGGCAGGGGCTGGTCCAGCTCATTCAAGTCACCTGAGAAGCAGTTGAGGAGCCGGCCTATGGGGGTCGTGTCAAAGAAACTCATGGGGCAACGGTACACCTGTAGGAACAGAATCCGTCATGATAGATGTGAGGACAGTTGGATGCCTTGCTCATGATGCACAAAGATGGCCTGAAGCTCTGAGCAAGGCAGGATGTGGCCTTAGGGGCACCCAGGGGAGGCGGCATGGAGTGGACCCTGTGATGCTTTTGCCAGGCTCTGTTACTAATCAGTCACTGCTTGTTCTCTGCTGCTGCTGTCTGATCGTACGCATGTTCCCCATCCTGCCCCCTGTACTCCCAATTCTAAATTTCAGCATCCTCAGCTCTAAAATGATGGCAGCCACACTCCAGAGAGTTGTAGTGAGGGGACTCCGTGATTCTGTAGGGTATGACACCTGTGAGTTCTGCTGTGTAAAACGGTGACCTTATGGGTCTGGGCATTCTATGGCAAACAGCTGCTGTTTAAAAAAAGAGACAGAGTGCATGTAACTGGTTCAGAAAAAGCACTGCCATCTTGCTACTCTCAGGATTGCCAGAGTGGTAGCTGCAGAGGTGTTATGATTGCCTAGCATTTGGACTGTTGGGTAGAATGTAGAGCTGTGCCTGTTCCCTTCTGCTCCAGGAGACATCTCACCTTGGTCTCTGAAAGCTCTTCAAGAGTCAGAAAACTTTACCAACCATGGTGGTTTCCACGCAGAGTCAGAAAACTTTACCAACCATGGTGATTTCCATATGGGTGTTACAGATGAGGGGACTGGCGTCCAGGAAGGAAACATGGCTTTGTGACTTGCCGAAAGGCTCCCAGAGAGCTTGTAGTCAAACCACAATCTGGTCAGCCCTCCTGAGCTTTTCCTGCTCCCAGCCCAGCCGTGACCTTCACCAAAGGCCTTTCTTATGGGTTCATAGCACTGTTGTCTGCCCAACCTCATTTCCCCAGCAAGTTCCTGGGAAAGTTCGCAGTGTCTGTGGAGGCCAAAACTAAAGAGGAGGGTGTGATCTGCCGATGATGAGTAAGTAGCCATTGTTACAGGAGCACCCTCATTACCCCCCATCACAAATCCCTGAGTACCACTAAAGCATATTCTACCTCCCTGTTGGCTTTCTGAGTAGCGGGCCACTGGGGTTGGCGAAGAGCTGTTTTACACTTTCTGTCTCTAAAATGCCTGCCATTTTGTCTTTAGGATCTTTTGTTAACTACTTGAGCCAAAGCAAAGAGAACCCTCACAATGACTTTGTGAATGCAAAAGGGCTGATGGGTCACTCCTTGGAGACCTATGAGCACTCCTGGGGGTGGTGAGAGACACAGAGGAGAGAAACCCAGGAGCATCACTCAGGACTGGAGACGAATGTTGGGGACACAGGGCAAAGGGCCTGGGTTGCCTGACTAGCATCAGGTAAAGTGTAGTTTTTGTTAGCCTTTGATCATTCTTGCAGTTGCTTCAGAGGTTTAGTCTTTACTTATTTAAAATGCCAAAGGCAAATTTTAAACCAATGAAACCACACAAAGACAAATGAAAGGGGATTTTTAAAATATCAGACGTTATTTTCTCGTGAAAAGTAACTTGAACATTTCCTAACATTGTAATGCTAAGTACCTCTTGGAGGCTGGGGCACCAGATGTTTCTAGAACCTTGGCCTTAGAGACCACCCACCCAAGAGTCAGCACTGCAGACCAGAAGGTACTCGGTCAGGCCTCAGGGAGACTTCCCTTCTTGTGCTTACTGGTTCCAGCAAGTCACATCTCTCTCTTCAGGAGTGCAGAAAGCCTTTGCCCCATCCTCTTGAACAAGACCCACTTGGTGGCAGTGCAGTGTGTGCTCCACTGATTAGACTAGGAATGGTGGGTCTCTATTTCCCCTCCCAGATACTCTGGGCAGAACTCTAACCCTATGTTCAGAGTCCAGCCTTCCTGAACCCTGCTCACCTTCCCTGAAACAGCCTGCCTTGTTCACCTCCAGCCACTGAATGCCAAAATCCACTTCATCCTTGCAAGGAGTGGTCACCTCCTGCTTGAGACCTTTTCCTTCCACTGCCCAGGCTGAACTAGGTGCCTCTCGTGTTCTTGTGGTGCAGAGGGCCCAACCCCTGGTAAACTCTACACATCATAATTGCAATGGCCTGTTTTTCTAGTTTGCCTTCCCCACCAGATAATCAGCCCAACTTATTTAAGTCCTCCTTGCATTGTTCATTCACTTTGATAAGTCAAGTACTCATGACGCAATCTGGTACAGAGTAGCATTTGATAAGTGTAAGAGAACATTTCCAATAGGCAGTGTGACATCACCAACAACCTGATATTCTAACCACAACATGCATAACACTTAGCATACTTTACAACCACAACACACATGGATTCTGTTTTTCTTGTATGCAAAAAGAGGATGATACTAGCCACTTACAAGGCAGTTTAAGGTAGTAAGTGACTCCACAACAGTGCTCAGTTGAAGGAGACAAGCCCAGCATGTCCACTGACTCTCCATCAGGGACACTGGAATCTTAGAATCATGTTTCCCACAGCAGGAGCAATTGAGAGCACCTTCTTCAGTCCTTTCCCATCCATTTATCAAAGCCCATAAAGTGTGTCATCACAGGAATCAACCATAATGTACATTAGGGACTCTGATAAATAACTATCGTTTAATAATCTATACCAACTCAGCAATTGGTACAAGATGTTAAAGATAAAGGAAACTGCAAGGATGGGGTACAGCTTTTCCACAAACAAAGAAGTGGTGAACAAATAAAGCCTGGCGGTTTAAGAGAGAAAGAAGAAAGGAAGGAAGGAAAGAAGGAAGGAAGGAAAGAAGGAAGGCAAGAAGGAAGGAAGGAAGGAGAAGAAAAGAAAGAAAGAAAGAAAGAAAGAAAGAAAGAAAGAAAGAAAGAAAGAAAGAAAGAAAGAAAGAAAGAAAGAAAGAAAGAAAGAAAGAAAGAAAGAGGAAAGGAATGAAAAGAAAGAGAAGGAAAAGAATGAAAAGAAAGAGAAGGAAAAGAATGAAAAGAAAGAGAAGAAAAAGCAAAAAGCAAGCAAGCAGGCAGCTTGGCAAGGGCAAGGTTGAGCCTGTGGCTGAGTCTAAGTGTCTACATACATACCTTGCTGAAGAGCTTGTCATGCAAGGTGGTAGATGCCTTCCTGGTGGCCCTGGTGAAAGTCACTGAGAAGCAGACCCCCACAAAGATAAGCAGTAAGGCACTGAGGCCATATATCAGTTTGTAAAAGGGCAGCTGTGGGTTGTCAAGTATGTTGCCCGGGTCTTCAGTGGTGCTGTTGCCATCTTGGCTGCTGTTGGTCTTTAGGCAAGAACAAGGGGTCAGAGTCCAGGGGGAAATACAGTGCAAGGGAATCCTCTCTGAAGCTACGAGGGCAGGAGAAAGTGGGAGCCTGTGTTCACACCTCCCTTCTTGTGCTTTGCCTTCTCTCCTTCCTCTCTGCTCCACCCTAAGTGACGTCCACATTGCATCTCTTCTGGGCCACCTTGCAGCCACTCCTTCCACCTTTCCATAGTGATGCAAGAAAGAGTGTGGGAACTCTGCTTCCCAGACACCATCCCAGCATGGTTTCTAGTTAGATTTCTGCATATCAGAAAGGAGGAAGATAAGAAGCCATCTAGCCAGTGGCAGCTGTGGGTAGGTGCATGGGATACAGAGTTTGCTAGTGGCTTACAAATGTCCCTCTAGAGTCACCCACTGCAGTGCTGCCCATTGGTCACCAGTAGCCATCTCCCTTCTCTCTCCCACCCCTTCTGGGGATTGGGTAAGCCTGAGCTCAATTCCCTGCATTAAATTTTGGAGGCTCTAAACATCTAGAATTGTTTTCCTACAGGGATGAAGACTCTTTTTTTTTGACCAAGAGCCATTTGGATATTTAACATGTTTCCCAGACCATACAGAATTATCAACTTAAAAATGAGCCTGCAGATGTATTGAATTTCAAGTCCCACCTACAGTTGTCTTCGCAGGGCTAGACTAAATGATTTCACAAGTCTTCTACGATCCACAGGATGGACATTCCCCATCCCTGTAATGTGGCTTGCTGTGTAGGCTCCTGGCTAGGCCCCAGCCATCAACACCTCAGAAAGCAAGAAGTCATCCAACCTCATGCAAAGCCACAGACATGTTACCCACCAAATCAAGGCACTTACCCCTGAGCCTTGCTGCAGCCAATAGCTCAGCCACCAAAAGTTGAAGGTCGTAAGGAAGACAATCATAATGGCAAGGAAGAAAATTAGGATACAGACCATGTAACCTGGGAGGGAGAAGAAATGGGGAAGGCACAGGTGCCACCTGGAGAGAGAGGCAAGGCCATTGCTGACCCAATGCCCAGTCATCCAGGCTCAGAATCCTTGGCTCTCCCTGACTCCCACTCAACATGGAAGATTGAGAAGGGCTGTATTCCAAAGTCAAAGAGCTCTGGGTGCAAATCCTAGTTTGAGTTTTTCCACACTATGTGTGACCCTGAACTAAACACTAAATGTTAGTGGCATTCTATTTCCTTGCCTAGGAAATGCTGCAGCCAAGTGTATCCTTCCCTTTGGCACTTGCCTCTTGCCCCATCAGTCCATGCTCCGATTCCAGACTGTGCCCAATGCTCTTATTTCTCTCTCTAATTTCTACTCCCTCTTCAAGGGCCATCTCTTCTTTGATGACATCTGAGACTTTCTGACCATGGAGATCTCTCACTCTCTGGTGTCTCTACTTCATTAAGACATCAAGCTATGTGTTACTTCTGCTAGATTCCAAGATTGGCTCTTAGGTGATTTTTTATGCCCTCGCCCCTCCAGAGTTTGGTGCATTGCCTGGCATACACTAGGAACTTTATAAACACAAAGCAATTGACTGCTTGGTACACACATGCATTTTTACCAGCAAATGCCACTCCCCAGCTTGGTGCAGGCCCTGTGTTTTCAGGGTTTTCCCTGAGTAGAATGGTGGGGATGGCAACCTCTTCATTCAGCCTCCACCTTTTCCTCCCCTAAACTGGTACACTTCACAGAAGGGTTGTGATCCAAAGTCAAAAGCACTGTCAAAACTCCCTTAAAGTACTCAAGAACTATGGTGCCAAGTACTTAGTTTTGCACTTGTAATATCGTACAGGAAGCATGCATGGTAATGATCACTATTTAGTAAAGCAGTAGCTTTGAAACTTTTAATTGCTATCTGCCTATTCTAGGAAACGCATTTTAAATCATGTCTCATATACACCAAAAGTGTTGCCAATTGTGTTACAGACAACCCTTGGTATCCATAGGAGATTGGTTCCAGGAACTTCCATAGATGCCAACATTCATAGTACTCAAGTCCCTTATATGAAATGATGGTAGTATTTGCATTTAACCTGTGCAATCTTCTTTATATTTTAATCATTGTTAGATTGCTAATAATATGCAAAGCAATATAATTAGTTCTTAGACTACATTGTTGAGAGGATAATAACAAGAAAAATGTCTGCATATTTTCAAAATAGATCTAATTTTTTTTCAAACATGTTAAATCTGCATTTGGCTGAATTTGTGGCTCTGAAATCTAAAGTTACAGGAAGGTGGGTATATAGGTAATTATTGTTGATATTTTCCCCCAATCCTATTTCACTTCCTGAATGCTATTCATGACCCTCTAGGCTGAGTTCAAAGCCCTAGCAGATCAGGACCCAAAGTTGGAAAAAGTACTGAAACAGGGAAGAAATGTGAAAAATAACTTACAGAGCTGCCCTTGCTGGTAGAACAGCTGCACTCTGTACCTGTCCACCTTACATGACCTCACATGCTCTGGTCTGATTTCACAGTGACAGCCCAGGGTTTGACATGGGGCAGCCCATGGCCTGTTACCTCCTCCTGCCTGAATGTAGCTGTGGTAGACACTCCAGCTCAAGGAACCTTGTTTTATCTCCTCCTTCTTCGTGAGCTGATGCTCCAGCACTGGGTGTAGGAAGAAAAGAAGAAATTGACATATCTGCCAACCACCTGACCCTCGTCAGTGCCCAGAGGAGCTCCTGGCTTCCATCCACTTCCAGTTTTTCCAATGAGGTTTAAGAGAAGTTAAGCAGCTTGGCCAAAGTCACACAACTTCACATGCTGCAGCATGAGGGTTCACAGGAAACTTCCCTTCCCACTGCCTGGTCTCAATGAGAAAGGCTATGAGCTTCTGAAGATTGGGGACCCAGTTTGTTTTTGATTTCTTGACACTTGTGTTCTTAGCACTTGCTCTGTATAAGTGTGTGCTAAGTGAACATCAGATGCATTGTAAAGCCCTTGCCCTGCTCCTCACAGGCCAGAATACCCCACAGCTTGTCCTTCTATGCTAGCCTCTGTATCCTTCAAACCCCCTTACCACCACTGTCCATACCCCACAGCCTTCTACCACTTGGATGCGCACCATGTGCGTGATTGCTTAATATTACAGACAGCAATGAACATGGCCCAGCCTGGGTCCCAGGAAGAAATGCCAGGCCTTGGGGGAGGGGGATCTGGGAATCTCCCTCCCCATTGTCCCATCCCCCACACCATTATCTGCAGGTTCGCTGAGAGGCTCTTCCTTGGAGGTGGCCTGAAGGTGCCCTTCTGCCTGTGACTTCTCAGCTAGCTTTGCCGTGTCCCGCAGCAGGTCCTAGGGAGAACACGTGATATGACTGTGGGGTAAGAGGTTCCCCCAAAATGGGGAGAGAGGGTAGGTGGGGTGATATGGGAGTTACCTGGATGGCTTCTCCTTGCATCTTCTGGAGGAAGCGAGTGAACCGCCCCTCCTTCTGCATTAATTCACTGTAGGTTCCATTTTCACAGATTTTCCCATCTTCTAGCAAAACAATCTGGTCACAAAACTTCAAGTACTAGACAGAAGAAACAAGTTCTCTGGTAAGCACATGGAAAGCTGTTCAAATTTACTATTCATCAACAAAATGAGGCTTAAGCCAGAATGATATAGTACTTGATATCACTAGATTGACAACATTTTAGCAATCGGACAACCTCAAGTGTTGGTGATGATCTAATGTAAAGAGAACTCTCAAAATGCTGGAGGAAGGAGAACAATTTGATAATATCTAGTAATATGAGAGTTTTTTTTTTTGAAGGATTGTAAACCAAACATTTGACTCCTAAATTTCACCTTTAAAAACACTTCAAATGGCCAGTGTCCTTGATATATATAAACTAAATCTACTATGGAATAGTAGATTAAGCCTCTGCCTATAGCAATGGCATCCCAAATAGGCACCAGTTCAAGTCCCAGCTACTCCACTTCCAATTCAGCTCCCTGCTAATGCGCCTGGCGAAACAATGAAAGATGATTCAAGTCTTTGAGTCCCTGCAACACATGGGAGACTCAGAAGAAGCTCCTGGATCCTGACTTTGGGTTGGCCCAGTTCTGGCCATCATGGCCATTTAGGGAATGAACCAGCAGATGGAAGATATCACACTTCCCTCTCACATGTTTCTTTAACTCTACCTTACAAACAAAAAATAAAAACACTCTGAAACGTGTATGCCAAGACATACAAAGAAATATTCATACTCAGTATTTTTTTGTAAGAGTAAAAAATGGGAAAAATGTTATTGTTCATTCTACAGAAATAAGTTTTGGCATATTCAAAAATTGAAGTACTATACTAGTAAGAATAAATCAACTTAAATATATTAACATAGGAGATTTCAAAACCACAGCATTGAGTGTAAAAACCAAACTACCAAAGGACACAGAAAATAATATATATGTATATATATACTTTATAAGTATATACTTGATGTATATAAACTATATAAAGTTATCTGAATAACACATATAAAATTGTATACATATAAAGCTAAAAATATTAGAAGGAGGGGCATGGCAGGCAAAGCTTTTGCCTATAATGCTAGCATCTCAAATGGGCGCTAATTTGTGTCCCTGAGGCTCCATTTCCCATACAGCTCTCTGCTAATAGTCTTGGGAAAGTATTGGAAGAATGTGCAAGGGTTTCGACCTCTGTTAACCACACAGGAGACCTGGATGAAGTTCCTAGCACTTGGTTTGTGCCTGGTCTCTCTCTTCCCTCTGCTCTCTTACTCTGACTTTCAAAGAAATAAATAGTACATATTTTAAGTTATATATTCTTAAAACACATAGGGAAAGGGTGCCAGTGTTATGATGCAGTGGGTTAAGCCATGGCCTTCAACACTGGCACCCAATACCAGAGTGCCAATTCACATCCCAGTCCCTCTGCTTCTGTTACAACTTCCTGTCAGTGCATCTGGGAAACTAAACAAAGATGATCAACCCGTTGGGTCTCTGCCACCCATGTGGGAGATATGGATGGAGTTTCAGGCTTCTCAACCTGTCACAACCCCAGACCACAAGGAATAAACTAACAAATGGAAGATCTATCACTTTATCTCTGTCTCTCCCTCTTTGTGTCGCTATATTTACTTGAAAGGTAAATATTTAAAATAAAAGTACAAAAGAAACTTAATTATACCTAAGAGTCTTTTCTATGTGTTCTAGATGTGTAAAGACTGCAAGGGAATAATAAACAGCAAAGTAAGGATAGCAGGGAGAGGTAATACAATCTGTGATACACTGTTTAACTTGGGTGGTTGATCCTGAAATCATGGACAATAAACAGCAAATTTCCCTTAGCCTTGTAGCATACTCATACCCCAGGATGATTCTTTGTTAGCCTTGTAACTTGCTGAATCGTAATAATTGCCTTTGCTGGAGAATGTTTGGCCCAGCAGAAAAGCCACCATGTGGAATGCCTGCATCCCTTGCTAGAGAGCCTGGGTTTGAATCCTGGCTCTGCTGTCCAATCCAGTTTCCTCCCAAGTGCACCCAGGGAGGCAGGAAAGGACAGTTCAGATGCTCAGGTCTTTGTCATGCATGTGAGAGAACCAGATGGAGTTCCAGGCTCTGCCTTCACCTGACCCACCCCCAGTCATTGCAGCCACTTGGGAAAAGAACTAGTGGGCAAAAGGTATCTCTCCCCATAACTCTCTCTCTCTCTCTCTCTCTCTCTCTCTCTCTCTCTCTCTCTCTCTCTTTCTCTCTGTCCTTTCTCTCTGTCACTTATTTCTGTGTAGTTCCAATGAATGAATGAATGAATATTTTAAAAAGATAGTGACTGAAGTCTGCACAGACCAATTTGGGCTCTCAGCCAGAGAGGATCAGCTAGTTTATTACCAGGCTAAACACACATACTTGAGACATTTCAGTGGCCATTGTTGAACACCCACATTAGAGACGCTGCCTGCCAGCCTGCATGCCCCAGGGTCTGTCCACACTTCTTTTCTATATCATGAGATATGTTTCCCTCATTATCCTTTATTTACACATGCTTCCAACCCCCTTCTCATCTAGGAATTTCTGTGTCTACTTATTTAAGAGATAGAGAAGAGAGAAAGATGAGCAAAGGAAACTGGTTCCCTCCCCAGTGCCCACAGTGGCAAAATTGAGAACTTGAAATTCAGTTCTGGTCCTGCACATGAGTGTCAGAAACCCAACGACATGAGCAATCACTGCTGCCTCCCATGTCTGCCCGGGCAGGAAGCTGGAGTCAGGAGACAGCCCGGTGATAGAAGCCAGGCATTAACTCTGAGAATACTGGTGACTTCACTGCTAAGCCAAATGCCTGCTCCCAACCCCATCCCAGGCCCTTTGAAATAAGATTGACTTGGGTTTTCCTGTGCCTCTTCACTGGACTCCTTGTTAGCAAGTCTCTCTGTTAAAAAGATGCAGCACCCCACCTTTGGTGTTTGATTTTTAATGAGAGCAGGTGAGCAGGGTGAATTTACAGTTCAGAAATAAAATGTGGGTTGTCATGAACGATTTTCTAAATCTTTCTAGAGCTTAAGTATCTTTTTGTGAGAGTTATTTATTTATACGAAAGGCAGAGTTACAGAAAGAGGCAAGGATCTTCCATTCACTAGTTCACTCCCCAGATGGCCACAACAACCAGAGTTGAGCCAGTCTGAAGCCTAGAGCCAGCCCACGTGGGTGCAGGGACCCAAGCAATTGGGCCATCTTCTACTACTTTGCCTGGTGCATTAGCAGGGAGCTGAAATGGAAGTGGAGAAGCAGAGATTCATACTGGCATCCTGATGCCAGAGTCACAGGTAGTGAGTTTATCTGATAGCTACTGTGCCAGTCCTGTTCTTAAATAAAAGCAACAGAAGGAAGGGGAAAGGAAAAGACATTGAGTCCAATTACCATTGTGTGAACATATCCAAAGAAAAGGGCCTGTGGCAGGCAGTGCCAAACAGCTATTTCAGGGGCAGCTACTGGGCTCAGCAGTGAAGTTGCCCTTTATGACACCTACATCCTATATCTGAGTGTCTGGTATAGTCTCATCTGCCTCTGATACAACACCTGAAAGGCAGCATGCAATGGCCCAGGTCACTGAGTCTCTGCCTTCCAAATGAAAAACCCATTTGAGTGGAGATCTTGGCTCTTATGGTTATTTGGGGAGTGAGCCAGCAGATGAAAAATCTCTCTTTGTCTCTTTTCCTCTGCCTTTTTTTCCTTTCCAATAAAAAAGAGAACTCTGTTGGGGTCCGTGCAGTAGATGTGGGTGACATGAAGGGGTGAAGAGTGTTGTCACTGCAGGCAGGGCCACAAGGAATTTCCTGCTGTTTGGCAGGGCCCGCCCAGCGGATGTCTCTGCAACCACCTGAATGCAACTTCACCTTTTGCATGGACACCGGACCACCCTGTGGAAGAATTTTAATCCATCCAGGCATTTGTTTGCTACTGTGAGGCTGGCCTTTTGCTCAGTGTGAGCTTGGAGGTTAATGTCAGTGATAGCGGTGATAGCATCTTGCAAAAGGGCCTTCTATTATTCCTACTGTCTTGGCTGTCCCCATTGAGCCTATGCTACTCAAGGGATCTAGATTTAGGCTTTCATTCTTTCCTCATTCTTTAGATTCCCCTTTTCTTTCTGATACAAGACTGAGTTGTAGGATAAGAATTGTAGCAGGAACTTCTATTGTTTCTAGGTAAAACTATGGCAGAATTATTCTTAGAAATTCCCAACTTGACCATGACGTAAAAAGTCTGAGCCAGAGTTTGACTGATTTTGTATAAATAAAGCAGACAGCTTTCCCACATGGTCCATTATGATCATGAAATCCTAGTGGTCCATCTTTCTTTCCTCTTTGCGCCTCATCCACGCACCTTTCTCGAGTTCCAAACTCAGCTGGAGCTGGACTCCGGCAGGACTCAAAAATAAAGAAGGAAAAGAGACACCCATTGCATTGTAGCCATTATTTGAAAGGAAGCCATTGGAGGTGTCTCCTCTTTCCAGAGTGTTGAGACCAAGAAGTCTCTTTTTGTTTTTTTCTAAACAGTTATTTATTTTTATTGCAAAGTCAGATTTACAGGGAGAAGGAGAGACAGAAAAGATCTTGCGTCCTCTGATTCACTGCCCAAGTGGCCGCAATGGCTGGAGCTAAGGCAATCAGAAGCCAGGAGCCAGGAGCTTCTTCTGGGTCTGCCATGCAGGTGCAGGGGCCCAAGGCTTTGGGCTGTCCTTGACTGCTTTCCCAAGGCACAGGCAGGGAGCTGGGTGGGAAGTAGAGTAGCTGGGATACAAACTAGCATCCATATGGGATCCCAGCATGTGCAAGGTGGGGACTTTAGCCACTAGGTTACTGTGCCCTGCCCATGACCAGCAAGTTTTTACGAAAGATTCTCTATGTGTCTGTGTGCACATATGTCTGTGTGTTTCTGTACTTCTATTTCTCTGTGTTTCTCTATCTGTCCCTGTGTGGATGTCTCCCTCTCGCTCTCTGTCTCTGTGTATCTCTTTGTTTCTCTCTCTCTCTTTCTCCCTCTCTCTCCTGTTGCTTCCTTTCCTTCTTTCCTCCTTTTTCACAACTGGACATGCAGGGGTGACACATACAATTCTGAGGCTAAAGGAGACCTTTACATCTGGCTTCAGTTTTTACCAGCCAGCCTCACCATGCAGGGGAAATGCAAGTTCTCTACCACACCCCCTGAACTGGAGAAGGTCTATTCCAAGGGGAAAGATCAGCCACAAGGAGCTTGCATTGTCTATCACTCATGGCCACAGATCGACACCCCCTCCCATCTGGAGGCGAGGTCACCTGCAGCTGGTGCGTCACCAGGACGATCGTCTTCCCCCTGAGTGTCTTCCTGATGCATTCCTGAAATACGTGCTTGCCCACATGCGCATCCACGGCCGACAGGGGGTCATCCAGCAGATAAAGTTGACGGTTGGAGTAGACGGCACGAGCCAGGCTGATCCTCTGCTTCTGCCCCCCAGAGAGGTTCAGACCTCGCTCCCCAATCTGTGAACAGACAGCAAAAGGCATTCACAGAGGTGGACAGAGGTGGCAGAGGGAACCCCTCAGTATAGCCCAAAACAAAAATGCTTTTCAGAATTTTCATAGCAGAAGAAGAAACTGATTTTCTTCAACAACAGAAACTTAACAACTCCTACACAATTTTTTCAAATCTATCAACTTCTCAGGAGGCATATTCACGCTCAAAGTTCACTCTTTCCCAAGAAACAGCGTGGTCGTACACAATATTCAGGTCTGAAATCCCCAGGGGCTACACCTGTAGGTCAGGGGAGCTGTCCAGGGTTACTGGCACTGTGCACAAGTGCCCGACAGACAGGTCAGCAGTGGCTGGGAGGGGCCTCACGGTTGCCTTTTGGGTCCCCTGGCAGCTTAGCAATGCAGGCAAATGCAGGGTGTCCTGTCCTTCATCAGGCTCTGGGAATATGAAGCACTAATCTCAGCCCTCATCCTCTGGCTACCATGAAATTTGGAGGTCTCTGTAGAGAAGAAACAGGGCTAAAAACATGGCAGGGTAACCTCTGGCCATTGTTCTACCTACGGGTCATCACTGTATGATCTTGGTCAAGCAACCAGGCCCAGTTCCTCCATTCATGCACTCATTCAACACATACTGATTAACTGCTGAACTAACACCCACCCTGGGCCAGGCACTGGAAAGTCCTCTGTGTGTACTCTAATCTCCAAATGACTTATGCGATCAGTTCTCCTCCTTAACACACCAGAGCTTGTTGTTCCTACTGAAGAAAGAGACTTGACCTGCCTGTCCTCAAGCACTATGAGTCCCATCATTAATGAAAGACAGTAAAGGGACCATCCTAATAGGGCTATTGTGATGCTCTCCTGTGGACACCCTTTTAATTGCTTAGAGTGGTACCACACTGACAGGGTGCATTCAGCAGTCCTCCAAGCTAGTGGGACCGGAGGGGGAGGGGAGGTGGAGTCCTTCCAGGGGCTTGTCCGAGGTCATACAGTGGTGACCTGCAGGCAGAACAGTGGCCAGAAGTCACCCTGCCACCTTTTCAGCCCTGTTTTCTTCTCTACGGAGACCTCAACACTTCACAGTAGCCTAGGGATGAGGGATGAGACTTGGCCTTCACATCTCCAGAGCCTGAAGAGGGTTGGGCTGGCCTGCATCGGTAAGGAAAGTGCTGAAGCAGAAGCCAAGGGAGAAGCATGGGCTGCTTTGGAGGAGGCAGGGAGGCAGCCCAAACACAAAACGCCAGCATCACAACAGAGCCCCTCCACTCACCTCTGTCAGGTCCCTGAAGGGCAGCGTTTCCAGGTCCTGGCTCAGGGAACAGCAGTGCAGCACCTGCTGGTACCTGCCAAGGACAGGGAGCTGGAGGGCCCAGGTGCTCAGGCCTTTCCAGGAAAGCTCCAGAATTCCAGGTTGGGAAATATGAACCCGATCTTGTGCTTCATGATAAACCCCGGGAGCACTTTTATGCCCATTCATTTTTTGTTTTTGTTTGAAAATGTATTTGAAAAGCAGAGAGTAAGAGACAGATTTTCCATATGGTGGTTCATTTCCCAATTGACCTTAAGGACCATAACTAGGCCAACTGTTCTTCTGGGTCTCCCACAAGGGTATGGGGACCCAAGCATTTGGACCATCTTCTATTACTTTCCTAGACACATCAGCTAGATAAAAACTAGAGCAGCTGGGATTCAAGCCAGCATCCATATGGTATGCCAGTACTGCAGTCAGCTTAGCCTCAGTGCCTGTCCTTCCCACACTTGCTTCTTTTAAACAAATATACCTGTTCTTAGCAAATATTTGACAGGCTAGATGGGGTAAATGGCAGATCATCTGCTAAAAAAAAAAGATTCTTGTATGTGTGTTTATTCAGAAATAATCTACTGTGCAGACCCTGGCACACTGGCATGTCAGTTTCAGGAATCTACATACTTATGGACATGGGGCTGTGGATTGTTCAGGGAAGGGGGTACGGGGTCATGCAGGAGACAGGATCCCTGAAGAAATAAGTTACAGGTGAGGAGTGCATACACTGACCAGGCCACAGCACCTGTAGGCCTGCAGAGGATTTCAAGTGCCACATAGGAAGATAGAGCAGAACAGGTTGGACAACTCTCCTGGCCAAGTCTGGCAGCAAGTGTCTGGGTGAGTGGAAACACTAGGGTGGATTCAGTCAGCCAGTGGATTTTCTCAACCCTGAAGCAATGAAATCAACAGCCCCTTGGAACTATTGAAACCGCTCAAGTGACAGCCTCAGAACATTCTTTATCACATCCGAGTTTCTAAGATGACATCAAGTAGACATCCCCCATCCCCAGGTATTGATGCAGTTTGGCAGCTGCGAGCAGTCCCCTCTCCCTCCCTTGCTTCTCCCCAACTCCTCCCCAGAAACAGGAGAAAAGGGAAGAAAAGGAAAATCGGAAGCATTTGTCCCACCCATCTTTCCCCTTACTTCAACCATCCCCACACTAATCAGAGGTCCTCATGTGCATGCATCCTTGTCCATTATGTAAATAACATTAACAAGTAAGTTAAATTTTAAAAATAGGAAAAAAAGAAATAATTTACCCTAATATGCATGTGTGTTCCATTTACAGTTCTCTATTGTTTCAATTTGCAGTGGGATTTTACTACAAGGTTGCACAACAAATTATTTAAGCGGTGCCCAATGACAAACACGTGGGCTGTTTGTTCTCTTTTGCTCCTGTGAAAAACGTAGTGTGAATACTTTTATGTAAGTGTTCATGTGGGTAGGTGACCACATCTTTACATTAAGCATCTAGCAGTATTTTTGCTGAGTCAAAGAGTTGCTGCGTTTTTGCTTTTGACAAGTGTTTTGAAACTATTCAGTGAGCACCATTTGTCTTAGAGTAGTGACAAGATGAGAGCTATGCTTAGGATGGTGGCCCAGAGACGGGGCACAGGGTGGGACAGGACAGATTCAGGGGACAGTTTGCACAAGAAACTACAGGCTGGAACAGGAAAAGGAAAAAAGTAAGAAATAAAACAAGAGGTGTTGAGCAGAGAGGCTCATCAGAGTGGCAATGAATTTGATGTGAAAGACATTGGAAGCAGTATCAGTTTGGATGATGTTGTTAAACTGAAGAGGGCAATATGGGAAGTGGTGCAGGGTGCTCATGAGTTAGGACTGAACACAACTTGGAGCTCCCCATGGTGCAACCAGTGGAGGGGACCAGTTCTGCAACTGCATAGCTATGCTTCTCAATGTTGTCACCAGGGACAAATTGCAAAATCAAACCATGGTCCACAGAGATAGGAATTCTTCCCAGTCAGGAGCACTCAGGTAGCTTTTCTGGGTCTTTCACTGCACAGACTTAACCCATGACTTTCAAGTGCATGTCCCAAGTTACTCTTGGAGATGCCACAGAGGGAAAGAGGAACTAGGATGGAAGGTTCTAGGATCATGAGCCCAAACTCCATTACATAGCCTCATCAGTCGCCTCATCACCATTGCTCATTTTCCCGGTGACTCAGGAAATTAAAGATATAAAATAACACCTTTGGAAGAGGATGATATATTGACTATTTTGAGCTACTATTATATAATAGTTCCTGAAAGCCACTGGGGTTTAATCCTTGTTTTATCATATCCCAAAGCCTTGTGACATTGGGCAAGTGATGTACCCATCTAGAAAGTGGATATGGCACTAAGATTTCTCTCACAGTAACGAGGAAACACCTGTAGGAATACAAGTGTTTACAGGTTTCACATGGCTACCAGCACATTTGGAAGAACCTGCCCCCGTCAGCCACATACCCCAGAGTGCCCCAGTGCCTCCCATAAACCTACCGTGCCTTGTCGTACTGGCCTCCCATGAGGATGTTCTCCCTGATGCTGCCGCTGATGATCCAGGCCTGCTGGGGAACGTAGGCCAGGCTCCCGTGTACCCCTACGGAGCCCTCGAGCAAGTGCATCTGCAGCAGAATGAATCCAGCTTCAGGACCAGGACAGGGCCAGGGGAAGGGACCCTGCTGGCTCAGCTGCCCCACTGCCCTTTAGGATTCTGGAGTTCTCCTGGACAAAAGGGTCACCCTGAATGTGAGCCTTACTGGGTCTCCTACAGTGAGTCTGAGGGAATGGCCATGAGAATGTGTGGAAGGAGATGCACTGAACTAGGACTGTATCCAAGGCTCCCCCTAAATACTTCCTATGGTTTCTCCTCTCATGTCCCCATTCCCACAGTCCCCAGCAGCCAGCACCTCCCTGGTTCACAGTGCAGACCACAAGTGTCAGGCCATTCCCGTCCATGCTTAAGGTACTGCAGAATTACATTTGTGAGACATAATAAGATTATCATGTTAGATGGCAACACGGACTTCTTTTTGGACATTATGAAGTATTTAGTTGAATAAATATCATAACCACTGTAATTTAAAATAGTCCTATGAAATGTGTCTCTAGATAGATGAAGGACATATGCAAATGGCATCAACAATTGAATATAAGTAGTGAGTACAATTAGCCGCCTGTTTCCCCAGGTTCCACACCCATGGACTCTACCAACTGTGCATAGAAAACATTTGGAGGAAGATGTCACAGGACCAGCACCATCGCATAGTAGGTGAAGCCTCTACTTGGGGTACTAGCATCCCATATGGGTGCCAATTCAAGTCCTGGTTACTCCAGTTCTGATACAGCTTCCTGCTAACATGCCTGGTAAAGCAGCAGAAGATAGCTCAAGTTTTGAGCCCCTACATCCATGTTAGAGACCCTAAGAAGCTCTAGGCTTCTGGCTTCAGATCAGCCCAGTTCCAGCCATTGCAGCCATTTGGGGATTGAACCAGCAGTTGATTATCTCTCTCACCTGCTTTTTTCTGTAAATCTGCCTTTCAAATAAAAATAAACAATTGATAAATCTTAAGTAAATAACCCAGTATGAAAAATTTAGAAAGAAAATGACACATACTATACTACATACGTACAAAATGTTTTTCTTACCACAATTCCTTAAACAAGAGTATCACAACTATTTGCATAACACTCAGATCATATTGGACATCATGAGGCATCCAGAGCTAACTAGAAGTATCGTAGCAGCTGTGTGTAGCTTGCGTGCTAAGCCAGTCTCCTCAGTGACTGGGGCATGCCTGCTTATGGGTCTTTACTGAAGTGTTCTTCCTGTTTCTGTGTCACAAGGTCAAATATGCATGTTGAAAACACAAGAGACCATTCCCTTGTCCCCTGCCATCCCAACCCTCACAGGGCTTCAATATCCCTTCCTGGTTGTGGCCATGAACACAGAGCAAGGATTGCAGGAAGCAGCATGACCCCAAGGTGATGAGCAACACAGTAGACTGGCTACGAAGCTGGCCTTAAAAGTATCCACAGAAAATGGAATCGAGGGTTCTGGTCTTATAGGCAAGGGCACCCAGGAGGCAAGCAGATTCTGCTGCAGGCTCATAATCAATGCATCCCTCTCCCTCCATACATCATTTCTCTTCTGATGCCATCCCACTCTTTAATGGGAGGAGTTTGCTTCCATGAGAAGATTTTTAATAACAAACCAAGCTCTGCAATATGTTGCTATCATTATGGAGAGCAGGTGTGTTGAGGGGAGGGCAGGGGGCGTGGGTTTGGAGTTCCAGGTGCTAGCTCAGGGTGGAGAGGAGTTACCCCAGCAAAGGGCATACCTCTGGGCACAGGTACAACCCATTCCACTTATGAAAGTCCTGTTTGCTCAGACCCCCTGTGAGGCAGAAGGCAGGTGAAGGAGCCTTTCCCAGGAGCTGGAGACTTGGAGTAGGTGGATGACCTGGGGTAGGAGGGGCTGCAGGCCACTTACCTCCCCAAGGACAGCTGACAGCAGGCTGCTCTTCCCACTCCCTGTGCTGCCGCAGATTCCCACCAGGGAACCCTGCAAGGCCATGTAGAACACTCAGGCATGAAGATAACACAGCCCCGCCATTCTCCCCTGGACTGTCCATTGTTCAGGCGCTCAGTGACAACCAGGAAATAAGAAACCTCAATCCAGGACAGCATCTACTCTGGGGTCCTAGGAAAGTCATTTAGCCTCTCTGAGCCTCAGTCTCTTCATCTGTAAAATTGGGATCAGGAAACTGACCTTATAAAACTCACACACACACATACACACATTCACTTATCTACTTACTTCCTCTCTCATTCATTCATTCATCTGTCCATCAGATAGTGTATCTATGGGGGTTGTGGCCTGGGCACTGGAGAGGGCTGTAGTGAGAGATGGCTGGATGGGGGAGAGAGGTTGGGGCAGAGCTGACAGATTTTGCTAATAGGCTGGGAGGCCGGGAGGGATACAAAGAAACCACTGGAAAGAAGGCAATGGCATTGCATGAGATGAAGACGGTGAAAACTAAGATCTTGTTTCACCTGGAATGCTTTGGGGGGGACATTCAAGAGTGAAATTAAATAGGCGATTGAGTCTGGAGCTCAGAGGAGATGTCAGGAATAGAGGTGACAAGACAGAGCCAAAATTCAAAGCCAGGCGACCAGAGATGGTCACCAAGGGAGAAGGTCAACTATGGACACCTGTTACTATTGAATATGAACGCCATTGGTAGATATCAGATGTGCTGTCTAATATGGTAATGCCTATTATATGGTTATATAGTTATTATGAGGATCAATGTTTATATCTATTCTGCATATGTCATCATTGTCACTATTCTGTATTTATGTGTCTCTATAGGTAATAGAGAAGAGCAAAAGTGAAAGTGCCACAGGAGCCAGGTAGGGCGAATCTATAGAATAATCAGGTAACAACATGCCATGTAGAGGTTAGCACACACTGGAAATATAACATATGCTAATTTAGTCTCCTCCCCCTTTTCTTTCTCTTGTCCCTCCAACAGACCTGCACACAGTAGTCAAAGTATTCTGGGTCTTGCCTCTACTCCGAGAATAACAGCTGATCAATGAATCCACATGGTAATGTAAAAGATATTCTACATCTGCCCTCTGTGTTAAATCTGGAGGGCTTGGGGGTGGGTAATTTTTAAACGAAACAATAGGGTGCCTAGCCAAGCCCTGAGCCTCAGGCTCTGAACTGACAGTATATCTGCTTGGGCTAACTAGGCTACCTGTGACACCACCAGGTTTATCTTGCGCAACTCTGGGGCCAGCCTGTCCCTTTTGTCCTCTGGCTTGAGGGCACCTAAATGTGGCTGAGCTTCGGCCTTCCCCACAGAAGTGTGTCCATTCTTCTCCAGTTCCAAGGCTTCATTGACCATCCCAGGACAGATCAGTTGCCATGACAAAGTGGCCTCCTCTAAAATCAGGGCTTTGCTGGGGTCATGCAATGCTTGGACGTAGACAACAGGGTCCTCCTGGAGGAAAAATTTCTGTAAAGACAAAATACAAGGAGGGGAATAAGAATTCCATGCTTTGGTTTCGTGGGAATGTGCACCATGGCTTAGTGAACATCTAACAGACAAGGAAATTTGAAAGTGGTATGACCATTAGAAAACAACCAGGTTCTGCTAATGGAAGCCCTGTGCCATGATTTTCTAGCTCCACACCCCTGGATCACTCTTCCTCATCTGCAGAACCATGTACCCTCAGTTGATCAGGGTCTAATCAACACTGGCCTCTTTCCAAGTGATATTACACAATGTCTTACAGGATCACTGTGTAATTTTTTTTTCCTTAATGTATGTGTGTTTAGAAAAGTTCTGCCCAGATGTCACACTGTGGAAAATATTTTGGGTCATACATCTCATAATATGCCCATTGACAGGTCCTGTCTCCCTTTGTGCCTCTGACTCCTTACTTGCAAAATACAGGAGAATTAACAACAAAAGGGTGAGTGGGACATACACCCGAAGATGCGCATACAAAGAGATCTAGAAGGACACTTGACATTCTGGACTTCCTTGCCTCCTCAGAGCCAAGAGGGTAGCTTCCTCAGTTCTGCTCACCCCACAGGTGAATCCACACTCGGGGATGGAGTTAGAAGGGAGGACCAGGCACTCCCAGGGGAGGAAGGCAGACACAGGTTCCTGATGCACCTGCTAAGAAGGTAGTAAAGGCAGCTGATAAGCAGAGAACTCTTCTCTGTGTGACCAGACAAGCCAAGTTGATTCTAGCCTCAGGGTTCCACGTAGCCATTAGCACCCAATCCTTCCAATACACACTCTGGAAACATCACAGAGTTTTAATGGCTTCTTAGCTCACTCTGAGATTGGATATTGTCCTCTTGGATCATTAATTTACCTGCTAATTATCTGTTTCTAGTACCAAGCCAGATCTCACTAAGAGCAGGGAACCCTGGTCATGATGCTCAATGTAGTATTTACAGTGCTGACATGGGCAGATCCTCAACACATATTTTTTAATAAATAAATGAAAAGGTAAATAAATGACATAACTGGGGACTATGCATGCTTGTTTTTAAAAATAGTTTATTTCTTTTGCTAAGATGTCTATACTTTTGTATGCTTTATCCAAGAAGAGAAAGAGAGGGTATTCCCCAAATGCCTACAATAGCTGATCATGGAGTCAGGAGCCAAGAACTCAATGCAGCCTTCCATGTGTGGGTGGTAGGAACCCAATTACTTAATCCATCACCTGCTATCTCCTAGGATCTGCACTGGCATGAAGCTGGAATTGGGAGCTGGGAACAAGGGAGCTTTAGGGGAAAATCAAACCAAGGCACTATAATAAGGGATACTAGTACTTTAACTGTCTCTGCTGCTGCCCAAATGCTTGCTCCCACATGTATCTAAAAATGAGATGGCTCAAAGATGTCTTAAAAATTGGTTTAGGTGAACACTTTCAAATTTAGCATCTTGTTGAGGCAAAACTTACCATGAGAATAAGAGATATCAATCATTTCACAGATATTGAATGTGAAGTAAAACACAGATTGAGAGCACTGGGCAGCTTGTAGCAATCTGCACCCCGACAGCCCACTTAAACAAACAGTGCTCACTTTGGCCCCAGCCACTTACAGAAGGAGAGACATACTGTCCCAAGATCTGTTTGGAGAGTGGGCACCAACCTGGTCCATGTGTCACAAGCAGTGCCCACAGCAGCCCAGTCACAGAAGGGTACTGAGCTAGCCAATCTCTGTGTGTACCCAGGCCATGTTCTGTCTGAGCTAGAGGCATGTTCAAGATGCATATACAGGGTGCTGAGGGCAAATGTGCATGGAGGCAGAGGATAATGCAGCCACTGAGGATTTACCTTGAACCTCTTGACCGCAGGTTTGGAATTGGCGAAGCCCTTGATGATGAAGGGCATGATGAACACGGACAGCCGCAGGGGGTTCAGGATGGCCATGGTGATGAAAGCCTGCAAGAAAAGCCGGAGGAGGCAGTGAGAGGCACAGCATCTGCTTCCTCCAGTCCCAGGGATCTCTAACCCTGGGTCTCAACCCAGAAGCACCCTGTGCCTCCAAAGAAGCAACTCCTTTATTTGGCAGAGGTCAAACTGTTATTTGGGAACCTGGGAGAAGGGACAGGGAGAGTGCCCATCTTGGTCTTAGAACCAGGACATCTAGCCCTCTTTGCAATTTAACCACTGGGTAATTCTGTCATTCTGGGCATATTACCACCCACTAGGCTCAGATTTCTTCAGGAACAAAAACCATATAGTTTTCCCAGAAACAAAGTTGGGAAAACACTCAGATTCCATGTGAGGGAGCCTTGTCCACTGTCAAAGTAACCTGAGACTCCATTACTGCTGTGGAGATGGTGTTTCTTCTTTGCCTTTGATGATGGTCCTTTCTAACATCCCATTCTCCTTGCCCTTCCTGCCTAACCCTCGCCTCACTCTGACCATAGTTAACCACAGTAGGCTCTTAGGGTCTCAGAATGTGGCCTCTCAGAGAACCCCACAGTCCACGCCCATTGCTACATCTTTCTATTTCCTACCAAACCCAGAGATAAACTCTAAAAGAGTACAAAGTCCTGAGTCTAATCCTACGTGGTGTGACCCAGAAGTCCCCCTGAGTCTGTGTCCCCAGGTCCTCCCAGGGGTATTTCTCCGGTGCAGGCCTGAACCAAGCAGAAGTGACAGTTGCCTAGAGCACAGACCTTGACTGCAGACTCTGAAATGCTCTCTCTACGTGTTTCATGTGCAATCTGCTGGGCTTCCTGGCTGGACAACCACCTGTGCAAGAGCTGAGCCCTGTCTCATTCTCTTCAAAGAAGCGGAAGTTATAATCCTGAAGTACAGGTGCTGAGTCCCAGGGTCCAGGTCAGACCACAAAGGGAAAGACCAAAGAGGCTACACTTTTCAATCTGAAATGTATTTCCATGGGTCTTATTTGGGGGTCAGAGAAACTCCTCCATTTGAGACTCTCAACCTGAAGAGTTCTCTGGGAATGGCCAGGTCTGTAATCACACATGCTAATGACCCTGCTCCTCTTCCCCCTCCCCTCCCCCTGCCCAGGATTCTGCTGTGCCTCCTTGCCACAGCTTCTTTCCAAGGCACATCACTTTGTCAGATGGGCTGAGACAGAACACTTGAGCATCTGCAAAGTCTGGACCATCAAAGCCAGGGTGGATAACAGTCACTTGTAAAGTGTCCAGGCCTTTGAAAAGACCTAAGAACAGTGCCCAGTATGGTGGAGACAAGGGAAACACTGAAGAGACTTACTAAGGAGGCTGTGAGTTTGAATTCTAAGTGTATGTGGACGAGAATCATGACTGCAATGGACACTGTCGGGGAGATAAACATGGTGCCGGTGACCAGGCTCTGGATAAGACCACTCCTCTCCAGGAGTTTCTTTTCTCTTCCTCTTAGGTCTGGGACAAAAAAGAAAAAAAGAAAGAAAAGAGCACACCTAAAATAACCACAGGAGCATTCTCTATAGACCATAGCACAGTCCTCAAAACATGAAAGAGATCCCGCACCCCACCCAAGAGGCTGGGTCCAGCCATGACATCATTACATTCTGATCAGAAAGCTGGAGTATCCTTACCTTTAATTTTTTTTGCAAATGGCCTCTCCCAGGCGTACATCTTCACCAGCTTAATGAAAGTGAGGACTTCACTGGTGATGCGGATACGCTGGTCACTGACCTGAAATGTCTGACTCTGTATCTTCACCATCATACTGGTGAGGAACACCTAGAGTCAGGAGATAGCAGGTTGATTGCTATGCAAGAGCTGTACTTGACCGAGGCAGGAATATCCATCCTGAGCAACCAGAGTACAATTTTGTATTGTTGAATGATGGGGGTACTTGCTGAGAAATGCATGGTTAGGCTATTTTGTGAACATGCAAATATACATGGCAGAACAGATTTCCACAAGTCTAGGTGGTATAGTTCCTCCACTCACTGTAGCCTTTTGATGCATTCAGAGGCAGATACACACCAGGTGAATGATGTTGCTGTTAACGTGACATTTCAGTTATGCAGTCAACATTTTTTATATAAGCAGGAAGAGTACACACCAGGGGCCTAAATCCTCACCTTGCAAATGCCGGGATCCCATATGGATACCAGTTCATATCCCAGTTGCTCTACTTTCCTTCTAGTTCCCTGCTTGTGGCCTGGAACCCTAGTGTGAGACCTAGAAGAAGGCTCCTAGCTTTGGATCAGCTCAGCTCCAGCCACTGCAGCCACTTGGGGAGTGAACCAGTGGATTGAAGCTCTTTCTCTTTACTTCTCCTTATCTGTAAATCTGCCTTTCCAATAAAAATAACTATTTTTCAGATCATGTTCCTGTCAAGAAGTGACACCTGACTGTACTGCCAAAAGCAGGCTCTAGACACTGATTGAAGACCTGGTTTTAACTGCATGGAATAAAGCCACAGAAACTCCCTGGTCCCTGTGAAGGTGTCCCAGGGAAACCTGTCCAGCCATCGCTGGTCTTTGGGTCCCAAGCTAGGGTGATAAGTGGCTCCTCTGCCTCAAAACTGAACTCTGCCACAAGTGTAACCACCTTCCGATGAAAGCAGTTATTCAAGAGGAAAACATTCCACTTCAGTACTTCAGAGCACACATAAGCCAACAGTCGGGTCTGTTTGGCCCACCTGAATCTTCAGTAGCAAATCTGTATCCCTTTTCCCATTAGACTATGCTGTGCCAAAGGTCAAATGTCATCTGCACTAATTCTGGATAAAAGAGAAGAGAAATCTCACATAGAATTATCATTGTGGCACTCTGCAACACCGGGTTCCATATTTAAGGACTGGTTTGTGTGCTAGTGGATCTGTTTTCAATCTAGCTCCCTTATAACATGCCTGGGAATGTAGCAATTGATGGCCCAAGTAACCACATGAGAGACCCAGATGAGTTCCTGCCTCCTGGCTTTGGCGAAGCCCCCAAGTGTTGCAGACATGTGAGGAGGGAACCAGTTGATAGAATCTTTTTATTCCTATTTGTCTCTGCCTTTAAAATAAATAAAATATCACCTCTAATTTGGTACCCAAATGTTGTGGCCAGAGAAATTTGATGTAGGAACTGAAGATGAATCTTTACCACTACTGTAAAAGTCATTAAGAATTAGCATCTTGAGCCCGGCGTGATGGTGCAGTGGTTAAGGTCCTCTCCTTGCACACCCGGGAACCCATATGGGCACCGGTTCTAATCCTGGCGGCTCTGCTTCCCATCCAGCTCCCTGCCTGTGGCCCAGGAAAGCAGTCGAGGATGGCCCAAAGCTTTGGGACCCTGCACCTGCGTGGGAGACCCGGAAGAGTCTCCTGGCTTCGGATTGGCATAGCATCGGCCTGTTGTGCTCACTTGGGGAGTGAATCATCGGACGGAAGATCTTCCTCTCTGTCTCTCCTCTCTGTATATCCGCCTTTCCAATAAAAATAAAATAAATCTTTTTTTAAAAAAAAAAAGAATTAGCATCTGCACTTTAAGAGTCCTGAGAGTTCTAGGAATGCTCTAAGTCAAATGGGTAGCAAAGACAGACATACCTCCAATGGGAAGACCAGGAGGTAACACATAGTTGCAATAAGCGCAGTGAGACCAAGGATGTAGTAGGCAGCAGTGGTACAGGTGATCAGCAATGCACAGGAAATGAACACCAGTGGGCCAAAGTTCACCGCATCAAACAGGTGGCTTATGTCGTTGGTGAAGAAGCCGATGGCCTGTAAGATAGTAAGCACTTGGGCACAGGTATTGCCTTTCCAGGGACCCAGAAAGAGTGGTACCACAGTGTATATTTTATATTAGAACAATCAAGTTGCAGAATATCACACAAAAAGTAGCACCATTTATATAAAAATGCACATTTCCCAAACAATTTGTTTGTAGTGAACTTATGGATGTACCCAAGTGTACTTTAAAAGGTTTGGAAGTATACAAACAAAATTGGTAGTGAGTACAGGGCAAGTGGCTAGATGCACAGCACCCTCTGCATAAGCTTAATGCTGTTTCTAAGGACAATATATGCAGGGAAGGGGTAAAATAAAAAAAAAATCTTAAAATGAACTGAGGATAGTGTCTGGAGATATCTAAAACAGCTAACCTGAATCTTGAATGGACTTTTACAATGGCAGGGGTTGGGGAAGTGGACATGCCTGGTGGATTTGAGGACTGGAAGTCAGCCCAGCCAGGATGAGAGGGGGAAGTCAAGTTAGAACTAGAAGACAGGCTTTGGGCAGAGCTGAGGCTGAAAGGGGGCCAATGTCAGATCTCTATGGAGTTGGACTTGAGGCTAAGAGCAAAGCCTTTTTCATAAACACAAAGGTCCCTTTCAATGTATAAATAATCTGTGCTCCTCGGGCAACTGGTAAGCCTCAGAAAACTAGAGGAATCTAAATTAAATATATAAAATTCTAATACTGCTCCTGCTTTGGGGTTCTAAGTGTTGGTGTTATGTGGTAAAGAGAGCAGAAAAAGTTCCTACCAAGGATCCAGCAGGTGCACACCCCTCTCTGATGCAATTAAGGAAAGGAAAGCTCAGAGGAGTCATCGCTGAAGGCTTTGTGCTTGTCCCCCACTGCTCTCAATAGCATGCTGGTTCAGGGCATATGCATTCCAAGCGCATTGTTCTTGGCTGTATCCCTGGGCTCAGAACAGAATTGCTCAGACGGGTTTCAGTTACTATTTATTGAACGAATGTAAAAATCATCTCTAAGACCCTCAAAACGCAAGAGCAGCTCGCTGAGTGTGTGTACAGGGGTGTCTAGTTGTGTTCATGACCCAAAAGCAACTGCTGATGGCTGTCCAAGGCTCAACCCAGGGATTAAGTTCTTCTTCTTCTCCTCTCTTAACTCCCCTTCTCCCTCCCCAGGTACAGTCCCCAGGGTGGTGACACCAAGGGAATGGTAGGACGCCCTGGTGGTACAGCCCCAGGTACCTACCTCCCCCGAGGTGATGTGTGTTAGGGACTTGAACCTCATGAGCTTCTCAAAGGCAAGAGAGCAAACAGCCGTTTGAAACCGGATGCCTGTGCGCTGGTTGACTATCCAGCAGGCGCTCAGGCTCAGGGACTTCAGACACTCGGTCAGGAAGAGGCCGACGCAGAGCCCCACCCTGTGGATGATGCTTGCTGACTCATCTTGGGAAGACTCTAGGATCCTGGGTATAATCAGCACCTGAAAGAATACAAAAGTCTGAATTGTTTGGATCCTTCTAAGCCTTGTTTCAGACACACACTTGATATTGTGGAAAGAAGCGTTGGGAGGTTGGGGATTTGTCGAGGGATCAATAAAGACCAAAAAACCAGAACCAAAGAAGCTACAATCCTATTCTGAAGAAACTCAAGAGTCCATTTGAAAGAGAAGACTTAGGAGTTCCTCTGACTCAGATCGTAATCCCATCTCTGGCACCCAGAACCTGGTCCTGACAGCTGACGGGTGGGACACACAAACAGGAGAGAGTGACTGTTTACAAAGATGTGGGCAGAATTTGGGAACCCCAACCAAGGATGGTGAAGCACTTGGGAGCAAGCAACAGCAGGCAACTGTGACCTCCATAGCCTTAAGGGGCAAGGAGAGGGTGCAGTTAATGGAATCCAGATAGAGGAGTCATGAGACAAGGGTCCCTGATAGGAGTTCTAGTCACCAACCTCCAGCAACCTGCCCTGTTCCATTCCTTCCTCCTGGCTCCTGTTAGCGTTTCTCATTGACCAAACACAGTCAGAAGCAAAGGGCAGGGAGGCCCTTTCATGTAACAAGATGTATGCATGTCCCACACTTTGGGCACAGGACGGAGTGGAAAATGATGAAGGGGGAAGAGATATAGAAGGCAATGGAAATTGCCAGGATGAGACAGTTTGGAACCAGTTATGTATGTGCTGTCATCACCTGTGATTCCTTCCTAACCCACAAACACTCTCCCCTTGGACAGTGACGGTGCCTCAGTTCTCTTGTTAGGAGGATCTCACCTTCCTCCCTGCAGTCTAGGATGAACTGTCAATCAAGGTGCTACACCTTCTCTAGTCACCAGATGGGCATGTGACTCCCATGGGCACACTGGATGCTTACTCTAGAATCAGAGGACCTGGAGGATGGGAGACCGTCGGAGCCCACTCATCCCAGCCATGGCACACAAGGACACTGCTTCCTGCTGCTTAACCTCCTTAAGCTGCTCAGCCACTTTCCAAAGCAGTTAGCATGCACTGGACTAGACCATGCTGCAAGTGCTTTCTGTACTTATTAAAAGGTATTACCTTCTCCAACAGAAAACTCTTCTTACTCATTGAGGGTTTCCACAAGGTCTACCCTTGAGGGTAGCATGGATGTTCCTGAGGAAACCAAGGCACAGATAGGACAATTAGGTTGCTCAAAGTCACCGGCAGGGCCAAGATTTGGCTAGAGAGATCATAGTCTTAACTCCTATGCTATACTGCCCCTGAGAAAGGTTTTTATTCTCTGGGCATCAGTTGAGAGACAAAAATATCTTCAGCTCCTGGCATGGGCTTGAATATGTCCCACTATTACTTCCAACCTCTCAAGTCTGGAATCCTTCCAAGCCGTGTTAAGTCCACCACTCACCGGGCCTAGCATGCTCAGAATTCCAAAGCAGCAGCCGAGAAGCACATCTAGAATAATTCTTGTTCTCTGGAACCTCAGCATCACACGAGGCACGGAAGCTTTTTCAGACCCGTGCCTGGAGACCTCTTCTTCCCAAAGGCGTTGGAGCCTTGAAAGAAGAAACATTGAACCGACTGAAATCTCTTCCTGTGTGAGAGAAGTAGTTACGGAAGGACATGGAGAGCCAGGGAAAGACAGGGATGGATGGGTGCCAGGTGTCTGGGAATGATAGCTTAGGGGTGATACTAGGCTGGCAAGGCCAGAACCCCAGATGGCACACATTCCTAAGATAGGGAGTTCAAGGAGCTCACCACTTTGCCATGAGTTCTGCTCTCCTACCTCCTCCCTCTGGGCATATCATGATCCACCCAAGGACCTCCTGGCTGGGATTGTGGTTAGATAACCAACAGCAAGGGAAATGGCCCTCAAGTGGGTCAAGTCAGCATGAAATGTGAATTAGCAAACCAAAGCTGCCAGAAGAGGGGCTGTCCTCTCTTACAGTGAGTTTCCTTGCTCATTGTTCCTTTCCTCCCCCCGGGGAAGGTTCTCCCTGTCCCCTGTTCTAAAAGGCCTCTCCCTCTTCATCCTGGCCTGAGCTGCGCTGGACGTGGCACCATGTTTCATCCAAATACCTAGGTATGCAGAAATGTCCCAACATAATGAAGCAGACAGTAAAACAGAGGGCATTTCCCAAATAATCCTCAATTTTCAAGAATTACCAATATTCTGGCTGTGTCTGCCTTGCTCTGCTTTTCTGCTGTTGCTGCTGCTTGAGTACTTAAAGCAAAACTTCAACATCGCATTATGTTTTTAAAATATTTATCTTTATTTGGAAGGCAGATTTTTACAGAGAGGAGAGAAAAGGAGAAAGGCCTTCTTCCTTCTATCAGCTGATTCACTCCTCAAATGCGCACAGTGGCCAGAGCTGAGCAGATTAGGAGCTGGGAGCCAGGAGCTTCTTCCCAGATCACACATGTGTGCAAGGACAAATCTGAGAGGCCACTTTTAGCTGCTGTTGTTTTCGCTTATTTATTTTCACTTTACTTGAAAGGCAGAGAAACAGGAAAACACAGAGATCTTCCCTCCACTGGTTCATTCCCCGAATATTGGTGACAGCTAAGGCTGGGCTGGGCTGGGCTGAGGTTTGGAGCTTAAGCTTGGCATTGACCTCACATGTGGATAACAGGCACTCAACTACTTGAGCCACATCTGCTCTCTTCATGGGGCGTCATTAGCGAGAAACTGGAATTGAAAGTGGAGAAGCCAGGACTTGAACCAAGCACTCCAATAAAGGATTTGAATATCCCAAGTGGTGGCTTAATCTCTGTGCCAAACATTATCCCTGATTAAAACACAAAAACAAAAACAAAGGCTCTTTTTTTTTTTAATGATACAGTTCCATAGGCCCTGATAGGCTACTTGAGTCTCATTTTAAGCTGCAGCTGTGTGTCCTCCACTGCATTCCTATACCACTTACTTGAAATTATTTATCCTATAGAATTCTTAACTTTCTGGATGGAATTGTTGCCTTCCTGGGGGTAGTATCTAATATAACTTTCTTTCTCCTGGAAGTTAGAACTAAAGTCTAAGTGAGATTCAGAATTCAAACTACTTGGCAAAAATACTTAACAAGCAACGGCATGTGTCTTACCTTACCCACATTAGGAGCAGCGTGATACTTGTCATACTATTTCTAGTGATGTTAAGATAGACCATTAAGTTAGGGCATGCCATCTTGACTCTGATTTGCAAGTTTGCCTCTATCAATGATCATTGCTCAGAACTGCTTCTACTTGACAATAATAATTTATTTTACGGTTGTATCATCCCTTCTGTATTTAGCAGCCTGAATTTTTCTGTAAATAATGGCCTTCCCTCATTGCCCTGAAATATGGTTAGTTCAGGAAATTGTCCTGGTTTTAAAACAATGTTAGTCATTCTTTTTCTAATAACACAAATCAAAGCTCACAAAACCCAGAACCTTGACTTCCAAAAAGTCCCCCAATTACTGCAAATAGCCTAAAAGAGTACATGTCAAGCTAATGACACTTATGATACTTGGGCTTACACAGAACTGCAAACACTACACATTGCGGGGAGGGGGCGGGAATTAATAAGGAATATTTCAAAAGTACCAAAGAGGTAATCATGAAACATTTTAGATGGGTGTGGCATGATGGTGCAGCTGCTTAGCTTCTGACTAACACCACTGGGAAACTGGAGCTGATGGCTCCTGGCTCCTGGCTCCTGGCTCCTGGCTCCTGGCTCCTGGCTCCTGGCTCCTGGCTCCTGTCCTGCTAGTCTTGGCTAAGACACTGGGGTGAGTGACCAGCAGACAGAAGATCTCCTTTTCCTCCTCACTCGCTCTTTCAGTCTCTCTGTGCTTTCACATAATAGATACATTCTTACATTTGTTTACACAGAAAAGACATTAGAAATATCAAAGACTCTTACATACCAAAGCTTCAAAAATAAATTAAGACTGCTATTGGGCTATAACTAGAGGAAATGACTAGCCTCATTCACTCCAATCCTCAAGTTCTCAGTACTTCCATTGATGTCACAAAAAGGTCTTTCTTAGCATCCACTAGCAGAGTTTTCCAGTGGCTTCCACAGGTGAATGCTGTACTCACTGACTGTGAACCCTTCTCTAGGTCATGATTGCTCACGTTCTTACTGAAAATATTACTCCAGTGAAACTCCATAGTAATACCAGCCTTCCAGTATCAACCCGATGTTGATTCTTCTGTATGCATCTTCCTTTTCATCGCTTTTCCTGAAAAGCTGGCAAAAACTATGAACTTAGCTTCACCTTTTGTTAAAATAAAATAGACCTTTTTATAACTGCTGCAAAACACAGCGTAACAGCTTTGGGTGCCTGCTTGATTCCAAGACAAAGCTTGGGTGAGTCACGCTTTATCCATGTCACCCCTGAATTTTATCCCTCTTGTGGAACTTCCAACAGGCAGTGGCAAGGTACACAGAATCCACTTTTCAAACTTCATTGAATACAATATCTTGCACTTGTAGCATCTCTTCCAGAGGAATTGTCTTCACAGTCCTCAAGATATTTGAGCCCAGTTCACTGGTGAAGGTTCCATTTATCTTCATCTTCCTGAACTCTTCGCATGTTTTAATTTCTTCCTCACAGCACACAGATCAGTGCCACAAACTTGAGTCAGGAAAAGATCAGATGAAGTCCTATCATCCCAACAAATCTTTTCCAGTTCATGCAACTTACCAGTCCCTAAAAACTCACCAATCTTTTCAGCAATTTGTGTTCCTACTCCGGGCAATTTCTTAGCTTCTGTTGGATGCTTTATTTGGTGTGGATCCTTTGCTATAACAGACGCTGCTTTCCTGTAAACATTGCACTTGTGCATAGCCCACCTTCTCTAAATCTATGCGTTCCGTGAGCACATTGGTGATGTAGTGTTTACTCTCCTGGGGTGCCTTTTGCTCATGGTAAGCTACTCTTGAAGGCCTCTCATTCAGAACCAGAGTCTGCCCGCTCCCCCATCTCCTGACTGGAAGAAGGGACAGGTCTTGGATAGAAGGCTGGAGAGACAACTTGCTGAACCAGTTTCAATACTTAAGGCAAGGGTACAGGACTGAACAAGCATTGTTGTGGTATTCAAGGTGCTTCTAGAAGGCTTAATCCAGGCTTGGATGTCTTCCACACATCCCCAAGCTGGACAGTCAGTTGTAGTCACTGGGTGGCATTCACTCTTTTATTCTGGCCTCATGCATCCAGTTCCACTATCTGTAAAACAACATTCACTGCCCATGATGCCCAGGGACAACGCAAAGGAACTGCAGGTCTCCCCCCTAAAGCTTATGCAGCAAGAGCATGGCAGACAGATGGGACATAATGTGATGTTCTGATCCATGTACTGGATCCATGTATTGTATTGCCAGGAATTAACAGAGAATGGAATCAAAAGATGAGGGTTCTTCAGTACAAAAATGTTTCTTCCAAAGTGTTTTCATGATATACTGTTTCCATGAACTTTTTGAAGACCCACTTGTCTCATTAAATCACTTGGATTTTGTGTTTTGTGGGTTTTTTTTTTTTTATCCCATTTCATCCTCAAGCAATCCTGGTGAAGTACAGGAAATTCAATCACAGGGCTGGTTAGCCAGTGGTGGCTTGAGGATCAGGAGACTGTACACAATACCCAGTTCTACTGTGACATGCTCGATCTGGAGCAGTAAGACAAAAAGGAGAGGACGCAGTCATGTCTAACTTTGTGGTATCATACACCCTTTGAAAAGATATATATCCTTGCTCCAAAAAATGATGTCCAGCCCATAAAATGTACACACTATTTCAGAAGACTGATGAACTCCAGGTTAAGAACTGTCCCCTATCCACTGTGTGTCCTCCACTAAGAAGCAAGAATCAAGCTGCCTGAGGATGGCCCCCACTCTGTAACACCTCTGGCTCCCAAATACCAGTGCTTGGTCTTGTTTGCCCAGCATGACTTTACCTTTCAGCATTTTTGGCCGAGGCATCACGGACTGACAGTGGAGGGATGCTGTTCTCATTCAGGCGATTCCGTAAGCCTCGAATCATGAAAGGGGTGAGCCATGATAATGTGAGGTAAGAGAACAGGCCAGAATCATCTTGAGGATGAAGATCAGGATATCTAACAAATAGTGAAAGCTAGTTAAATCAAAGGCAAATTTTGTCTTTAAAGATTTTATAAATTTTCTTGAACAATCAGCATGGTGGTATAATAAGCTAATCCTCAGCCTGCTGGTGCCAACGTCCCATATGGACACCAGTTCATGCCTTGGCTTCTCCATTTCTTGATCCAGCTCCATGGTTCTTGGGCCCCTTCATCCACATGTGAGATCTGGAAACAGCTCCTAGCTCCCAACTTTGGACCTGCCCAGCTCTGGCCATTATAGCTATTTGGGAAGTGAAACAGGATAGAAGATCTCTCTCTCTGTGTGTGTCTTTCCTGCTCTCTTTGTAAGTATGATAATCCAATTAAATAAAATAAATCTTTAAAAATGTTTTGAAAGTCAGAGTTACAAAGAGAGAAAGAGAATCTTTCATCTGCTCATTTACTCCCCAAAGACAGCACTGGCCAGGGCTAGGCCAGGCCACAGCCAGGAGCCTGGAACTTCCTCCAGGTTTCCCACACACGTGGCAGAGACCCAATAATCTGAGTCATCTTCATCTGTCTTCCTAGGCACATTAGCAGGAACTGGATCAGGAGTGGGGCATCCAGGATGCTGGCATCACAGGTGGTGGACCACAACACCAGCCCCTCAAAGTCAAGATTTTGAAATGCTGTCATCCAAGGGTACACACAGGTATTTCTTCATGACTTCTATTAGTTGTAAGTTAAGAAACAGAAACACCAAAAACATCCATCCCTCATAGAGGAATTATTTTAAAGGAACGAGTGGGACAGACATACAACCCAGCAGTTAGACTTTCACTGCTATGTTTACATGCCAGTGTGCCTGACTTTGAGTCCTAGCTCCGCTCCCAATTTCAGCTTCCTGCTAATGCAGACAGTGCGACACAGCAGTTGATGGCTGAAGTGATTGAGTCTCTGCCACCCATGTGGGAGATTCAGACTGAGTTCCTGTCCATCAGCTTCAGTATAGCTCGCTCCCACCCTACAGGCATGTGGGAAGTGAACTAGCAAATAAAAGCGCGCACTCTCTCTCCCTTCTCAAATGAGTAATAAATAAATTATAGTATTCTCATATTATAAGGTGAAATGCAGAAACTTTTAAAAATACAGCCAGGCTATACATAGAACGTGGGAAAATCTCCAATCCTCTTAAGCAAGAAAAAAAATCGAATTGCAGATCAAAAACAATGTCATTCTATGAAGTTCCCTTTAATGTAGCAAAGCTTAGAAAAGAACTTGGGGATAATTACATTAAACTATAATTCACTGGAGAGCGTGTTATTGAATTTACTTCTTATATTTAAGGCTAATGTCATAGAGGTTTTGTCTCATTACTCTTAGAATGAAGACTGATATCCCTTGAAGCTGACTGTAGGGATCTGCCTGGTCCATGCCCACCTTCACATCATCTCACATGCCATGGCAATCATCACACATGATAATCCAGAGGACAGGTACCCTCTCTGTTTGGACACATCATGCTGTGTTTCTTCCAACCCATGACCAGGCCTCTGCACATGCTGTTCCTCCCTTTCTCTAAGTGCCCTTACCCCTGGCACAAATCAGTCTTGCCCTCTTCCTGGCCTTCTAAGTTCTTGTTCATCCTCCATGTCTCAGCCTAAGTCACTGAGCAGTCATCAAGCTGTCATTGCACTCTTGCCTTGCAGCGTACCATATGTCTTCCTCAGCTGGGCTCACATGTACGGGAAGCATGCTCTTGCTTTCTGACTCCCTGACTGAGGCTCATGATAGCAGAGGTCATTTTTGCTTGGCTCCCTGTTGTTTCCCAGGATCTAGCTCAGTGTCAGGCACATGCCAGTGTTCAAAGATGCTTGATGAGTGAGTGAAGGACTGTGACAAGTGACCTGACTACATAGGGACCCTTCAAGGCAGGTCCAGGAGTGAGAGTTGTGTTGCCTTGCAAACACCACCACTCCCTCCCCATCAGGACTCACTTTGGCCTGGGACGGAAGGGAATCATGGTTCTCAAGGCAGCATCATACTTCCCCCAAGGAAGGGTGTCTGCCCTCTCTGGCGCCTCAGTCTTCCTCTCCTGCTGGCTCCAGGACTCATCTTTGATGGGGTGAGTTTTCTTGGGAAAGAAAATCCAAATAGGTCTCAGTTTCATTTCTCAGAAATGCTGTCCTGAAGGAACGTGGAAAAAACTGCAGAACTGGTCATTGTTGAAGCTCAATGTATCAATAATAAACCAAAACATAAAACAAGTAAATCTTGGGGCCAGTGCAATGGATCAATTGGCTGCTCTCCTCCTGTGAGAACCAGCATCCTATATGGGCACCAGTTTGCATCCCAGCTGTTCTATTTCCCTTCTAGCTTCTCGTTTGAGGCCGGGGAGAGCAGTAGAGGATAGCCCACAGCCTTGGGACCCTACACCTGAGTAGAAGACCTGGAAGAAACTCCTGACTTTGGATCGACTAACTCCAGCCATTGCAGTCATTTGGAGAGTGAACCAGTGAATAGAAGATCTTTCTCTCTGTATCTCTCTAAATCTGCCTTTCCAATAAAATAAACAAATAACAAATAAATCTCAAAATATTACAAATTGCTATTTTGACAACTAAAGCAAGGACAGAGGTGATTTGTAGGATTTCATATAAAATAAATAATACTATTTCAACAGCACAAGAAGAGGTTGACCGAAAAAGATCCAAGCTAGTAGTTAGTTCAGGTAGGAAGAGTTAGGGAATGAAACGATGGGGAGTTCATAACTAGAGGGAATTGTCAAGGTCCAAGTTGATGTGCAATAGTGATGTGCTTATAGGTGTTTATCATAAAGGAACACATAAATAAATATATGCTAGATGATAACTAGATACATGAATATATACAGAAGGATCAGATGGTTGAATAGCTGAATATTTATATGGATATAGACAGAGATATGCATGAACTATGATGGTTTATCAAGGATTATGATTTATCTAATTGGAGAAGTTTAATGTCCTTTGGGGAAAAAATCAAGTGTGAATAAAACTGAGACACAGGCCCAGTACCATGGCCTAGCGGCTAAAGTCCTCGCCTTAAACACACCAGGATTCAATATGAGCGCCATTTCTAATCCTGACAGCTTCACTTCACATCCAGCTCCCTACTTGTGGCTTGAGAAAGCAGTCGAAGACAGCCCAAAGCCTTGGCACCCTGCATCCCTGTGGGAGACTTGGAAGAAGCTCCTGGCTTTTGGCTTCGGATGGGCAGAGCACCAGCTGTTGCAGTCACTTGGGGAGTGAATCATTGGATGGAAGATATTTCTCTCTGTCCCTCCTTTCTCTATTTATCTGACTTTGCAGTAAAAATAAATAAATCTTAAACAAATAAAATTGGAACAAACAATATTTTTGACCCAGTTTATGACCACTGACAAACTGCTGTTGATGTGGTTTCCTGGTATTTTAACGCCAAAAGTATCTACTTACATAGCTAAGTCCTGAAACCATGTCATCATCTCTGTCGAAGCCAAGATTCACATGGTCACCTGAAGATTTGGAGACCCAGTCTGTCTTCCTCCTGGTCATCTTCACTTGTACAACCAATTCTTTGCTTCCTAGAATTGGGGAACCTGAAAAGACAACGGGCAGGAACAGCTTGGCTCCATCCTTGAGCACTCAGGAGAGGGAACATCACCCCGACAGGAGTATTTGGGGGCCACGCAGAGGATTGAGTCACTGCCACAGCACGTGATCCTCCCTCTGTTGGAATATACTTCATCTCTTTTGTGAAACATCGCCTTAGACCTCAGCTTCAGATCAACAGAGAAACCTTCTCTAACCACCCACTCCACCTTGCTCCCAACCCGACACCTTTGGAACTTGTTCAGACTTCATTTTCTGCATCACCCAGAAAATTCCATAAGCATAGGGATGTGTCTGCTTTGCTCTTTACTAAATCTCCAGGGCCTGTGTGAAGCTGGGATTAACCTAGCAGGTCAACAAATAAATGATGAGAATTGAATGAGAAAAATGTCACTTTGCTACTCTCTGACTATGAGATTTTAGAGATTGCAGGAGGAATGTGGGGGCACATTCTAGGCATCTTAGATAATCACAGAACTTACAAAAAATGTTTTTTATTTTGTCCTCAGAATATCCATGAGCCTACAACAGGACACACGTCATTTTCAGGAGTATTTTTTAAGGGATGGAATGAGAAAGAAAATGGGCAGCAAAGCCAGTGAGCATTCTGAACTAGTCAGAGCCCTGCTTTTAGGGGGGGATCAGGCTCAGCTTAATTCTCTGCTATTGCCATATGAAATTATTTATTTATTTATTTATTTATTTATTTATTTATTACTTTCCATTGTATTGTTTGAAGGTTTAGGGTTTCCCCTATCCCTTCCTTTTCTCTCTCCTCTTTCTCCCCCTCCCATTTCCCTGTATTGTACAATAAAATAATCCTACAGTTCCAGCATTCTGCTATTTAAGTATATCATGGCATTGTAGGTATAGACAATGGTAGGAATCCAGAGTCCTAATGTCAAGATATATATTCAACAGTTTCATTGACAGTCCTTTTTGTTCTGGAACAGAGCTGCATACTGCAACATATACTCACTTGCTGGCATGCTAGTCTCCATCACATACTTCCTCTAGGGGATTATATGTATATACATCTTTACCTATATATCTATTGATCTTGTATTTTGCATGAAGGTTGTCATACATCAGCAGAACAAAATGATTATTTCACTGGGCATAATGGTCTCTAGTTGGGACCACCTTATTACAAATATGAGAATTTCATTCTTTTGTGACTGACTACTATTCCATGGAGTAGATATACCATAGTTTCTTTAGCCATTCCTCTTTCAACAGGCATCTGGGATGTCCCATGTCTTCACTATTAAGGATTGTGCTGCTATAAATGAGGGTTGCACAGTACTCTTTCATATGCACAGTTCATTTCCTTTGGATAGAATCCCAGGAATGGGATAGCTCGGTCACATGGTAGATCAATTTTCAGTGTGTTGGCATCTCTACGCTGAATTCCATAGTGGACGCCCTAGCTTACATTCCCAACAACAATGAAGTAGGGCGTCTTTCTGTCCACATCCATGCCAGGTGTTGTTAGATTTGTAAATGTGGGCCAGTTTCATTAGAGTTAAGTGGAACTTCAACACAGTTTTTGTTTGTATTTCCCTAATAGCAAGGGAGCCTGAGTATTTTTTCATATGTCTATTAGCCACTTGAAATTGTGCTTCTGAAAAATGTCTGCTCATTGCTTTCACTCATTTCTTCTCAGGGCTGTTTATTTTTCTGTCACTGGATTTATGACATGATTTGTAAATTCTGGATATTATTTGCCTAACTATTTGTTGTGTGCAAAGATTTTCTCCATCCTGTCGGTTGCCTCTTTATTTTGTTCACAGTTTCCTTTGGTGTACAGAAGCATCTTAGTTTGATGTTTATTTTGTTTTTTACTTATGTTGGCTTTGCCTACTTGTGCTTTGGTGACTTTTCCCAACACGTATGCCTTGCAGAGTTCTTCCTATATTTTCCTGAAATAACTTGATGGCTCCTGGGTGCACATTTAGGTCTTTGATCCATTTACAGCTAATTTTTGTATAAGGTGTCACTGGGTGGCATTCACTCTTTTATTCTGGCCTCATGCATCCAGTTCCACTATCTGTAAAACAACATTCACTGCCCATGATGCCCAGGGACAACGCAAAGGAACTGCAGGTCTCCCCCCTAAAGCTTATGCAGCAAGAGCATGGCAGACGGATGGGGCATAATGTGATGTTCTGATCCATGTACTGGATCCATGTATTGTATTGCCAGGAATTAACAGAGAATGGAATCAAAAGATGAGGGTTCTTTGGTACAAAAATCTTTCTTCCAAAGTGTTTTCATGATATACTGTTTCCATGAACTTTTTGAAGACCCACTTGTCTCATTAAATCACTTGGATTTTGTGTTTTGTGGTTTTTTTAATCCCATTTCATCCTCAAGCAATCCTGGTGAAGTACAGGAAATTCAGTCACAGGGCTGGTTAGCCAGTGGTGGCTTGAGGATCAGGAGACTGTGCTCCTTATTCCCAGCACAATATCCAGTTCTACTGTGACATGCTCGATCTGGAGCAGAAAGTCAAAAAGGAAAGGAAGCAATCATGTTTAACTTTGTGGCATCATAAGCCCTTTGGAAAGCCTGACAAAAGACATGTATCCTTGCTCCAGAAAATAGATTGTCTACTATTGTCTATACCTATCCTTAAATAGTACAATGATAGCCTGGTGACCACTGCTGAGGCACTATAATATTATAACGATATGGGACAAAAAAAAGTTGGGGATCAGGAGAATGGGAAATTTGGATGGTGAAATCCCTGAGCCTAGGGAACTGTATCATGAACATATAAAAGTTAAAATAATAGTGGATAATAACCCCAAATACCTTGAAATAAATCCAACCAAAAACATGCAAGATCTCTATAAGGAGAACTACAAACATTAAAAGAAAGTAGAAGACTCACATGTTTTTAACAAAGAGCCCCATATCTTCAATTTGCACAAGTCTCATTTATTGCAGTTGGTCCTGGGGTTCAGATGCAGTTTGTGCCACTCAATATTGAATTATGCTTCAACAGACTGCAATCTGGGAGAAGATTCTTTAAAAGAAAATTCTCTAAATTGCTTAATCCCATCCCCTCCCACACATCTCCTTTTAGAAAACCACAACTAGATCAGAAAACTTAAGCTTCTGGAATTCTACAACTTGTTTGAGCTAGGCTTGACACCAGGCCGAGAGGTTTACCTGCCTTATAATGGTAGAATGCCAACCCTCCAGGGACCATAGAAAAGAGAGAGAAAAGGAGTTGAAACAGGTATGAGAGCGTGCTTTGTGCTCCTTGGGATTCTGGAGCAGTTTGCTGGCTCCCATACACCAGAACTAAATATTGACAGATTAAAGTCAAGTTGGCATGCTTCCGAATGTGGCCCTCGGGGCAGGAGCAGGGACAGTGTGTACTGCTGCAGTTTCTCCACACACAAAGGTCACAGATGGAGGCAGCACATCCAGATTGCAAGTCATGTACCCTGGAGGATGGGTCAGCAGCATGCCAATAAGAGCTTGTAAGTAACCTATGCTGGCAGTTGGTGAAGACTGTAGTTCTAACATGAACAGCTTGACACTTTGCTTTGTGTTCACGAGTAAGAAGAAAGGGAAACCCCAAGGAAAGAAGTTAGTTGCATCTTCACTGATTTGTCAATCACATTAGTAAAACTGATGACCAGTTGTCAAACATTGCAAGAATATTCTTTTCCACCCTTTCCCCAATACTCAAAATATAATGGCTATATGCACCAGACACTTGTTTTTTGTTTTAAGGATTTTTTTTTTGAAAGTCAGAGTCAGATACACACACTCACAGATAGAGAGAGAGATAGATCTTCCATCCACTGGTTCAATTCCACCAATGGCTGCAATAGCCAGAGCTGGGCCAGGCTGAAGCCAGAAGCCAGAAGCCAGGAGCTTCATCTGGGTCTCCTACAGGGAAAGCATTACACACTTGCAAAGTTAAGCTGCCTTACAAAAATTCTTTCCTTTATTTCTAAAGCCTAAACAACCATGAAAAGCACGACTCAAGCTCTGGTTTGTACCTTTGCCCATTTCTACGGCATAAATACTTCCAGTACAGTTGAGTTCAAGATGCCAACCTAACTGTATTGAAGGCAGTGTTGTAAAAAGATGTCCAGCACATCATTGTGATATTTCCTCCATATAGTTAAGTGACCTCAAAAGTACATAGAAGTAAAAGACAGTAAAATAATCAGCAAATGATAAGTTTTTGAGTATTCGCTTTATTTCTAGTATGATTTATTTAGCTGCAAGTTTATCATTTAATTTTTTGAAAAAGATGTATTGACTTAAAAGGTTGATTTACACAAAGAGGAAGACATATGGAGAGAAGATCCTTCATCTAGATTTTCAGTCCCCAAATGGCTGCACAAGCTGGGGCTGGGTCAGGCCAAAACCAGGAACCAGAAGCTTCATCTGGACCTCCTGTGTGGACCTAGACTATTTTGTGCTAATAGCATTAGATGCCTTAGAAGGGACCTGGATCAGATGCAGAGCACTGGGACTCAAACTGGTGTCTCTGCGGGATGTTGGCATCACAGGTACTGACTTAACCTGCTGTAACCACACCATTGGCCCCTATACAATTTAGTTTTTAGTAATGTCTGCATTTAGCAACTGGGCTGTCAAAATTGCTGAAAAGTTGACAGTTGCTATTCATGAGCCAGTATCAACAGGTTCCTGCAGATCGTTGCTTCAGCAATCTTGGAAAAAGGGACACTTTTTTGTTTTCTAAATTCTTCCCCTATCAAGACTTCTTTCCACAATTCATTTGCAAGTGCTTGAGGGGGCTGTGCTAACTGCACCTGTGGTTAATTTTCCTGGCTCCCTTCTGGTGCAGATTTAATGGGAACTAGAAAAAACCAAAGACAGAGAGAAGGGCTTGCCAGAGGCAGCCCCATGGCCTCCCAAACTGCAAACACAGAGAGTCATCAAGATCTTAGAGGGGGCTTGGTGCTCACAAAGAGAGGGTAAACAAAGCCCCAGATCCCAAGGAACATTAGCCAGTCAACTAGTCAGAAAATACCACTTAAAAATCAGTGCAAGGTCATCAGGCTCCAATGACAGCCGGGCAGGCAGTAACCTGATGGCCTTTGTGACTGCGCTGGGAAAGCTGGGATGCAAAACGCGACGCAGAACCCACGCCCTTACTCTTCCTCTGCTAGTGACAACTCAGCAGTGACAACTCAGCAGTGGCGCTTTTATTGAGCACTGCTTAGAGAAGTCATTTAAATTATTGGATCTTATAAGATCTTTCAATGGTCAGACTATACGTTGATTTTCCACACATTAACCAGCAAGTGTGAATCATCTGGAAGCCTGCATTCTCACAGATCAAGTATATTCCATGTTTATCAAACATTCCAACTCTGATATGATTTACCCATCTGGCTTACTCATGCACACCCACAGAGGGATGCAGTAACCATTTCATAGCGATGGCCCTTTCCTATTTAGGTTTGTCCAGGAAACCAAGCAGAGAAAACCAAGCCAAATGACCAAATGACAATTAAAAAAAAAAAAAGTGCAGGGTGACACTGCAGGGAGGCGGGTTGGGCTGCTACCTGCAACATCAACATCCCATACAAGCACAGATTCCAGTCTCAGCTGCTCTGTTTCTGGTCCAGCAACCCTTCCAGATCCCAGTAACGCAATTGGGAAAGCAGGGGAAGATGTCTGAGTACTTGGGCCCATAACACCCACCTTAATGATCCAAATGGATTCTAGCCCGCTGACTTCAATATGGCCAGCCCTAGTAGTTGTGGCCATTTAGCAAGCAAACCAGCAGATAGAAGGTCTCTCTCTAACTCTGCTTTTCTAATTCACAAATAAATTAATCTTAAAAGAAAAATGCAAACATACATAATGGATGTTCATCCCAAGACGATTGAGCACAGCCATGCATTAGCGACTTCCTCAGCTGGCCTGCAGACTAGAGCTTCCCTTGTTAGCATTCCTTACAAGCTTTCCCAGTCTCCCAGGAAGTGGTTGGAGCTGAAATTTATCCTATCAAATGGCAGAACCATCATAGAACAGGGCTGGGAATAAAACAGAGAGGAAGCAACTCCCACCCAGCTCCTCTGAGCAAGCGTCCCATATCTCCCTTCTCCGTAGGATCCCAGGTATATTTTCCAGCCATGTTCCCTTACTTACTGCTTTCTGAAATTGGCCTTTCTATCTTTTTTGGCTTATTTATGTTTTGCCCACCTCACTACAGCGCTAGCTGTTTGAAACCGTGCACTCTCTCTTGTTTATTGATGCATCCTGGAAACTAGAATAGCACTCAGCACACAGCTGGCGCTTAATAAATATTTGATGAATACATGATTAAAGTACACACAGATCCTGTGAAGGAACGGGTCAATCAAGAAGGCCTCCCAGCAGCTAAGGACTTGACAATCTGATTCTTGATATTCTCCCAAGTGGACAGGCATATGTCACCCCAGAGATTCTGATGGGACAGGAAAGAGTCAGGCAAGTAAATCATATTCTGGCCCATCCCCCACCACATCACACCATTGTTACAGAAGGCATGAATGTGTCTTTTTAATAATAAACCCAGTGATTATGATATCGAAAGAACACATCACTTACATGGTTTACTGTCATTATAGTACAGAGTTAAAAGCACTACATTTTTAAAAAGTATACTATAAGAAGATTTCAGAAGTTTGCTGTGAAAACATCAGGAGCCTCAAAGAATGCAGCCATCTTCCCTGTTGCCCACGGTAAGACCCTGGGTGGAAGGGAAGGCTATTGTGGGCTGGGCCAGGAATATTTTATGCACACATCAGCAAAGTCAGTCTATTGCAGGCAAGTGTGCGTAACACACATCCAGAGAAATGGAGCAGAACTTGTTGGTTAAACAAAGATCTTCATTTCTTTTGAAGATTTATTTATTTAAAAAGTAGAGTGACAGAGAGAGAAGGACAGAAAGAGAAGGAGGGAGGGAGGGAGAGGGATTTTCCATTTGCAGAGTCATTCCCTAAATGGCAAGAGCCAGGTCTGGGCCAGGGTGAAGTCAGAATTCTGGAATGCAACCCTATCTGCGTCTTTCACATGTGTGGCAGAGATCTGAGTACTTAGGCCATCCTCTACCGCCTTCCCAGGCACATTGGCAGGGGGCTGGTTTAAAAGTGGAGCAGCGGGCCCGGTGGTGTGGCCTAGCAGCTAAAGTCCTCACCTTGAATGCACCGGGATCCCATATGGGTGCCGGTTCTAATCCCAGCATCCCCACTTCCCATCCAGCTCCCTGCTTGTGGCTTGGGAATGCAGTCGAGAACGGCCCAAGGCTTTAGGACCCTGCACTCCTGCGTGGGAGACCCGGAGGCGCTCCTGGCTCCTGGCTTCGGATTGGCTCAGCTCCAGCCGTTGCAGCCACTTGGGGAGTGAATCATGGGACGGAAGATCTTCCTCTCTGTCTCTCCTCTTCTCTGTATATCTGACTTTGTAATAAAAATAAATAAATCTTAAAAAAAAAAAAAAAGTGGAGCAGCTAGGATTGAAACTGGTGCTCCAATACGGGATACCATGGTTCAGGTTGTGACACCACCAGCCACACCCAAACAGCCTTCAGAAAATATAAGCCTGTTACTACTACTCCTCAACTGGGACTCTCACGGCTATCAGAGGAAGTCCCAGCTCTTCAGCAGACCCTGTCCACTTCTTATCTCTGGGGTCCCACCATGCCCCAAGAGCAGTTCCTCCAGCAATAGTTCCTCTGCTACTCTAAACCCATCCTAGCACCTTATGCTTCTTATTGTCTGGAACAGGTGCCGGGATTCCACACCTAATCTTTGCACTGCGCCTTCCCCGCAGTGCAGGGTTCAGTTCAATGTCATCTCCGGCCGTCTCTCATCATTACTACCCTTTCTGGTTTCCTTGCTTCTTTTCCCCCCACTGGAATGAGGTCCATGAAAGCAGGAGCCCTATTTGTTTTGTTCCCTGAGGTAACCGCAACATCTGTCCCTACTGCCTGTGTGGGACATCCGGATGGAGTTCCCTCCGCAGCCTACAGCCAAACCCAGATCAAACCCGGCACGAACGTGCTCCCATAGCCAACCGGGAAACATCCAGGTAACAAAATGCACAGTAGTACCAGGTGATAGCCTATAGAAAACCCACCAGCACACACTAAGATAAAGAATAGGAGAAGTAAATGGGGTGGGTTGGACAGCTGCTCCTTACAGGAGAATCACGGTTAACCAACGCGTAATTAAACTCCTCATCAAATGCTTATTACTTACAAAGAGTGGCTTACAGAGAAGAAACGTGGCTGATACCACCTTCCCCACGAAATCGGGATTAAACTCATCACTCAGGAGGCACATCTCACCATCATATCGCAAGGTGGTCAAAAGTCGCGTGGATTTATTTATTAGATAAGCCAAAGTTGCCAGATCTGCTGCAAAATAACTGAGCGAGGCTTTAAAGGACAGAAATGACCAGCGGCATCCTGGATTGGGTCCCACTCAAGACATTCCTGAGAGAAGTGGCCAAGTTTGACTTTGGTCATTGAACTGACAGAGGAAGTGACAAGAGGAAGTGGAGTGAAAGGTACAGGGGAATTCCTCAGTCTTCCTGTCTTATTTTTGCCAATCTAAGAGCTTTTCCCGTGGAGAACTCGGCCGAGAATCCTTTGCCACAGGCTCAGGTGAGGCGGAGCGCGCCAGGGACGGTCGGCCCGCCCGCTGCGCGCGCCCCTCTCGGCGGCGCACGGACCCGGCGCAGCCTTCCCAGCGGGCTCCGGGCGCGCAGCGCGCAGCGGCGGCGATTGGACCCGGGGGCGGGCCGTAGCGCGGAGCGGAAGCGGCGGCGGGCCTCGGCCGAGAGGCTGCCAGGCCGCGACGCTGGCCGCTGGCCGCCGCCGTGCGCCCGGCTCCTTCGGCGGACCGTCCGCGCCGTCGCCATGTCGTCAGTGACCCCCATCCAGATCCCCCGCCGCCTCCCGCTGCTGCTCACCCACGAGGGCGTCCTGCTGCCCGGGTCCACCATCCGCACCAGCGTGGACACGGCCCGTAACCTGCATCTGGTGCGGAGCCGCCTGCTCAAGGGCACCTCGTTGCAGAGCACCATCCTAGGCGTCATCCCCAACACTCCCGATCCCGCTAGCGACACGCAGGACCTGCCGCCGCTGCACAGGTGGGCCGGGCAGCCCGGGGACCCCGTGGGGGTACCAGCACCGGGCTTCCGAGGCTGGGGTTCCGGCGGCCTTCGCCGGGCTTGGCTGTGCCTCTGCGGTCTCTGCCCTGGGAACTTGGGGATGACAAGGAACTGCCCAGGGACTTTTCAAGAGCTGAATGGCTCTGGTCTGCGGGGCACCTGCCCGAAAACCTTTACTGCTCATTATTGCCCCTGTGACTTGCCTGCCCCTCTGCTAGGTCTCCTGTCACCCTGACTTCCTCCGGGGTGGGGGGACGAGGGGGCGGTGGTCTGTGGGCGGGGGTGAGGTCTCCTCCTAGCTCCCCCTTCGGATTTCTTCCAGTCACTCCCCCTGTCCCCCGCTAGTCCTGAAACTTTGGCCTCCACACTCCCTGTCCCCCACCCATTCGCTACTCTTCCTGGAGGTTCTTTTCTCCTTTTTTTTTTTTTTTTTTTTTTTTAAAAAAAGGCCTTTCCTGCATGCAGGCGCCCCCGAGTCTGTTTCTAGAACATTCCTCCCTCCTCACCTTTGCTCCTTCTCTCATATCTTAACATTTCTCTTCCCGGGCCGCTGGCTTGCCACTGTGCCCTGTGTCAATGGCCCTTAGGTGTGTGACTTTGGACAAGACATGTATTGAATCTGTGTCTGTATTTGAGCTCTACCAGTATGCATCCCTTCAGTGTATTATGAAGTTGAAATAGTGTGTGGTCTGCTTTGCCCTGTGCTGGGAGGGGAGAACAGGGGACAGCTGCTCTGTCAGGTACATGTGACCAGAGAGCCCTGGAAACAGTGGGTCCAAAAGCGAGAAGCTGGAGTGGTGGGGTTGCCACACAGTCTGCCGGGTCTGTCTTAGCCCAGAAAGTCCTTTTGTCTCAGGAATTCTCTCGGTCCCAGGAGAGCTGGGACAGTCCCCAGCTGCCAGTCCCTCACTGTACGGCACACGCTAGTTTTATGGAGACGGTCTGTTAAGAAAATGCGCTGAGGGTAAGGATCTGCACTTGGGGTTATTTTGCAGATCTGGGGTTCACCTGCTTTGCCTTTGTGATGTGGCCACTGGAATTCCCGACGTGGCTCACTTGAGCTGTTACAGGGCAGGACCGTCTTCACACTCCATGGCTGGCGCCTGGCTCCACGCTGACCTGTCCTGGAGCTCTGTCGCCTCCTGCAGTTACCCTGCGTTTTCAAATTAGGCATTCCCAACTCTGTAAGGATTTCAGAAGGATTAAAAGGCCCTGCTTTAAGTGAAAAATGTAGGTGGCTGTACATTGCGGGAGGGGAGGGGCAAGAAGGAAGTCCTTAGCTTTCTAAAGATTTTAGCAGGATCCTGGCACCTCCTTAAAAAAAAAAAACAACCACCACCAGAACCCCCAGCCCAGCCCAGCCTAGCCCAGGATTCATATGGCAGAAGCCTTACTTTTCTCCAGCATGGCAAACATGCTGGGTCATGTCTGGTCTACTCTGGCTGTTGCCTGCGTGGAGCTGGTTGCTGTTTCAGGCTTCCTTATTCTCTGACCGTGTGGACTGAGGTGACCCTGTGTGTGATCATCCCGTCATTTATCATGTAGGGTTCTGCTCTCAGTGCCCAGTCATGCATGTGTCTGCTGAAAGCAGGTATGCTCATACTTAACATCCAAAAAAAAAATACATTACAGGCTCATGGATGGATTGTGGATTTTGAAAGATTTAGTCGTATTTTAGGTTTAGTTTTGTTGGTTGGCATTGTTCTGGCAAGGAAGGTTTAAAGTTTTCGTATTATTCATGATAATCCCTCCAACACAGTAACTGACTTCTGCCTGCAAGTCATCACTGACCCTCAGATAATGTCCACGCCGCGATCTTGATGTTCATTTTGTTGCCTTTACTTCAAACCACATGAACATTTAATTGTTTGAATTAGGAAACACATATTGAAGTCTTCAGAGAACTCTGGCCACCTAAGTATCCTAGAAAGTGTTTGCTGCGTGCAAAGTCTGTGCAAGGAGTGCACTATATTCCACAGCCCTCTTCCCCCGTTGTGACCCTTATAGCACTCTTTGCTTGAAGGAAAACTGGAATCCTAATAATACAGATACTGAGTTATCCATAGCATCATCTGTGGAAATTCACAAATCCGGCCTCCCCCCCAGTTACCTGCTTTTCCTGATGGTGGTTGTGGTCCAGGGTGACAGTGCTTGAGTCCTTTATTGCAGCCGGGTGACACTGGCCGTGGTCTTCAAGAAGTAACTGACTTGCCACACAGTTGTTGACTTACTGGGCCGCTTTCTGTGCCAGTGTCTTCCCACTGCTGGCATGTGGTGTCCTTAAAGGAAGACCTTTTAATTGACCCTGGGAACTTGCTGTTATACCATCCTGGGACACCCTGCACTTCTCTGCTCGAGTGTGTTTTCAGAGGCTATAGAGTGACCCCTTGTTTTCCTAGTGAAGATGAATAATCATGTAGTGGTGTGTGTACAGTAACAGTATCCTTTTATGCATTTCAGGATGGTCACCTGGTCCTTCCTGGGGTACGCGGCTTCATTTCCTCATAGGCGATTTGTCAATCTCTCTTTGTTTTCTGATTTTCCTCTTCCTCTGTGAGAGTTGCATCAGTCCCACCAGCAGTTTTTACATATATACTATACACACATGTGTAAGTGTACCCATAATACACACACACACACATATATATATATTGCAAGTACACAGCTTCATAATTTGGATCAGTTCTTTGTACATTATTCATGTTGTATCTGTTGGCATTTTTACACATTGAAGAACTATTACCCAATGGTAGTAATATTCTTAAATTTAATCTTCTGTATTATGAAGTATGTGATGATGGTTTCTCTTGGATTTTCCTAAATCTTTTTTTTTTTTCCCTTTGTGAAACAAAGTTTTAAGAAAGGGTGAGAAGCCAAATGACGGCCGCAGAAAGCTTTGCCCTTAAGGAATGTGGCGTACTCCGGGCGGATTCCTGCCTTATTTCTAAGGCATCGTTAATGACAGTGATCCGTTTTGCTCAGAGCTCCTCAGGGAGATAAGTGCTATGACACCAAGACAGAGGCTCCAGAGCTGTCCCAGGGTGCCTCTGCAGGAGGAGCCTTGATAGCCACACTTCTCTTCATTGCCGTTAAGATGGCAAACGCTGCCCATTAAGTAGAAACAGTGCTTCTCAGCGTTTATTTCTACACTTGCTGTGGGTACAAATTCCTACTGTCCATGGTGTTGGGAAAAGGGAAGGACAGGTCGTGACACTCTCAGGAACCCTATTGCTGTTAAAAACCCCGGCGACCGCAGGTGAATCACTCGGTTTTCCCTTACTCAATCTTGGTTCCAGACTTGGAACAAGGAGCTGTTGCTGCTGTTCTCGCAGGGATAGAAGGAAGTATATCATGAAACAGAAAGCCTTTTGTGATTGCAAAGTGTTTGAGACCTGGTTTACTACTCCCTAAAGTGGAGGTTCTAAATGTAGATTTCACAAATAGGAGTTGCAGGAAGTTGGGGGGGGGGGGCCTGCCTTTATTCGGTATGGATAGAACTAGCATTGTCATCAAAAGGACTTGGAAGCTTGAGGATTCCAAGAAAATGGAGAGCTTTAAAAGTTTCAGAACAGAAAGGTTTGGCAGGCAGACCCAGGTCACATAACCTCATTCCTTCTATCCTTGTTCCTCCTGTGCTGCTTCTGGTTTTTTCCACCACTGAAATTGATGTTTCTCAGATGCTTTTGAACTTTTACATTACCTAAGTCAGTTTCCAAATTATACAGATCATATTCACGGTAGACCTCATTTGAATTGAAGTTAGGCTTTACAGATTCCAGCTAGGAGTTTCAGAAATTCCTTGAACTGTAACAGCTGATGTCACAGTACTCTGGGCATAGGTTACAGGGCTACAGAAGGACTGTGTCCTTTTGGATGTGTAAGTTTGTAACTGTTGCAAATCAAAGTGTTGCTTATTGGTCATAGCTAATGATGCATAATAGTAATAGAAGAGCTGGGATATTTAGAAAGATAACTAGTAATGTAAAGCCTTTTAAGTGTCATAGAAGGAAAGTGATAGATTAATTGAATATTTTTTTTAAAGATTTTTTTTTTAATTACAAAGTCAGATATATAGAGAGGAGGAGAAACAGAGAGGAAGATCTTCCATCCCATGATTCACTCCCCAAGGAACCCAGGATCCAGGAACTTCTTCTAGGTCTCCCACACAGCTGCAGAGTCCCAAGGCTTTGGGCTGTCCTCGACTGCTTTCCCAGGCCACAAGCAGGGAGCTGGATGGGAAGTGGAGCTGCCGGGATTAGAACCAGCTCCCATGTGGGATCCCGGGGCGTTCAAGGCGAGGACTTTAGTCACTAGGCCGTGCCGCTGGGCCCTAGATTAATTGAATATTATGTTTATTTATTTTTATATGTAGAATCTAGAGCGCAGTGTACAGTACAACTTGTCCAAAGTAGCAGTCCACAGGTGCCTTTTGGATAATGCTTTTCACCCAGAATGTCTTTCACTAGGTGTACTCTGTTTCATAGGTTCTTTTCTTTAAGCAGGATGTTTTAGTCAATTGTAAGTGAATTCAGGTTTAACACACTTCAATTAATTTGATTAACATACTTAAAATTATTATACCCAGTCTCTTCAGAAGTTAATGGGAAATGTGTGTTATAAAAATATTGAGCATGGCAGTAGTGTCATTTTATCCAAGAGGCTTTTGTGTTTTCTTTTTGTCACCCATGTGTTGGTTATTCAGTGGCACATTTTTTCGACTCCATGGTGCTATATTTTGTTGTTGTTGTTGTTCTTATTTATACTGGTTGTTGACCTTATCTTGTGGCTTCTCACTAAAGGGAGTAATGAATGTATAGTGATGTATAGTGTATAGTGATGAATGTATAGTGATGAAGTAATAGAAACTACTATATCCAGATGTGGGGATACAATGCAATATGCATCCCTGCTTCCAAATCAAAGATGGACTCCCAGTGAAACTGTTGGATGTGAGTAGACAATGGGATGCTGGACTATCTGATATCGTCTGTACCAGCAATGTCAGGACACACTTAGATAACAGACTGATGGAATCATGACTCCTTATGAAGGACTATATTATTGTAGCAACATGGGGAAAATCAGTTAGGGGGTGGGAATTTGGCATTGGCCAGAATCCCAGATTCTATGAAGTTGTACCATAAAATTCAAAATTCAAAATAAAAATTAAAGTACTGTGCATGGATTTCAAAGTTACTTCTCCCCAAAGTAAACTTTTTTCTAGCAACTCTGAGTACACTCATGTGTTTTCTCAAAAGAGGCAGCATGTAAATCCAACTTTATCCATTTATTTTGGAACATCTCTCTTTCACTATAAACAATGTATTTTATTTGCTTTGTAAGAAGACTTATTTTCAGTATCAACTTTTATGAAGGATAAAGCCCAAATAATTTAGTTTATCTCCCAGTTGGATCTGTTTCCACTCTCTGGCTTCGCCATCATTTCTGCTTTGCAAACTCCTCAGGCCTGGGATCCGGTTTATTTTGTATGGATATTTCTGTGTACAAACTGAACTATGAACTCAGTTAGCATTGTGCAAACATGGTACTGTCATCTGCAGTGAATTATAAATTCAGCCGGTCTCTATTCAACTTTGATTTTGCTAACTCTATCAGGCAGTCTGAGTTGGTTTTCAGAGAGTGAAAACTGAGTGACTGAAGAAAAGCAGCCGTAATACATTACAGTCAGAGTAGTAGATAATTGCCAGTTTGTTTTGCATTTTTAGAGTATCTGATTTTTTTTTTTTTTACTCACCCAATTGTCCTCCAAATTATATGGCTTAAGTTATGGTTTAAAATCAGTTCTACATGAGAGACCACAAATAGCCAAAAGTATCCTGAAGAATAATAAGAAAGCTAGAAGAATCAGAATTCTGGACCTCAAGACATACTCCAGCGCAATGGTAACTGAAACAGTCTGGTACTGGCACAGAAACAGAGAAGATCAATGGAACAGAATAGAAACCCCAGAAATGAGCCCACACATGTACAGCCAACTAATCTTTGACAGAAGAACTGGAAATAACAGTGGGATAAGTTTGGTTTCTTCCAGAAAAGCTGTTGGATAACAGAAGTAAGAAGCAAGACCTCACCTCTTACCTCACTCAGAAGTCAGTTCTGAATGGATCAATGACGTAAACTAGCACCCAGGAACCATTAAACTGCTAAAAGAAAACATAGGAAGCCTTCTATAAAGTGTAGGCATTGGAAGAGACTTCTTAAAAAAGTCACCAAAGCACAAGTAGGCAAAGCCAACATAAGTAAAAAACAAAATAAACGTCAAACTAAGACGCTTCTGTACAGCAAAAGAAACTGAACAAAGAGGCAACCAACAGAATGGGAGAAAATCTTTGCACACTACACAATCGTTAGGAAAATAATATCCAGAACTTACAAATCATGTCATAAACCCAATGACAGAAAAACAAACAGCCCTGAGAAGAAATGAAAGCAATGAGCAGACATTTTTCTTTCTTTTTTTTTTTTAAAGATTTATTTATTTTTACTGCAAAATCAGATATACAGAGAGGAGAGACAGAGAGGAAGATCTTCCGTCTGATGGTTTACTGCCCAAGTGAGCCCAACAGCTAGAGCTGAGGCAATTCGAAGCCAGGAGCTCTTCCATGTCTCCCACGTGGATGCAGGGTCCCAAGGCTTTGGGCCATCTTCAACTGCTATCCCAGGCCACAGGCAGGGAGCTGGATAGGAAGCTGGGCCACATGGATTAGAACTGGCGCCCATATGGGATCCCGGCACATGCAAGGCGAGGACTTTAACCACTATGCTATCTCATGGGGCCCAGAGCAGACATTTTTCAAAAGAACAATTTCAAGTGGCTAATAGACATATGAAAAAATACTCAGGCTCCCTTGCTATTAGGGAAATACAAACAAAAACTGTGTTGAAGTTCCACTTAACTCTAACAAGACTGGCCCACATTTACAAATCTAACAACACCTGGCATGGATGTGGACAGAAAGACGCCCTACTTCATTGTTGTTGGGAATGTAAGCTAGGGCGTCCACTATGGAAGTCGGCGTAGAGATGCCAACACACTGAAAATTGATCTACCATGTTACCGAGCTATCCCATTCCTGGGATTCTATCCAAAGGAAATGAACTGTGCATATGAAAGAGTACTGTGCAACCCTCATTTATAGCAGCACAATCCTTAATAGTGAAGACATGGGACATCCCAGATGCCTGTCGAAAGAGGAATGGCTAAAGAAACTATGGTATATCTACTCCATGGAATAGTAGTCAGTCACAAAAGAATGAAATTTTCGTATTTGTAATAAGGTGGTCCCAACTAGAGACCATTATGCCCAGTGAAATAAGCCAATCCTGTGGGGACAGATATTTTATGTTCTCTCTGATACAAGGAAACCTTCAAGCAAAAGACAAAACAAATACATAATTTTGTAAACATACACATTTTTCTAGCAGATGAACTGTGTGGTGGAGACTGGCATGCCAGCAAGTGAATATATGTTGCAGTATGCATCTGTACTCCCGGAAGAGCTCCTGGCTTCAGATTGGCTCAGCTCCGGCCATTGCAGCCACTTGGGGATGGAATATCTTTGTCTTTCCTTCTCTCTGTAAATCTGACTTTCCAGTGGAAAAAAAAAAATCTTAAAAAAATTTATAATGAATTTAAGAATCCACTGAGGGGCCAACACAGTGGCGTAACAGGCTAATCCTCCCCCTGCTAGTGCCAGCATTGCATATGGGTGCTGATTTGCAGCCTGGCTAGTTCATGTCCCAGCTGCTCCACTTCCCAATCCACTTTCCTGCTTTTAAGGCGTAGGAAAGCAGTGGAGGATAACCTGAGTCCTTGGGCCCCTGCACACATGTGGGAGACCCAGAAGTTCCTGGCTCTTAACTTCAGCCTGGTCCAGACTTAGCTTTTGTGCCTTATTTGGGGAAGACCTGGTGGATTGAAAATCTCTTTCTGTATATATTTGTCTGCTGGAATACTATATATATAAATATTTGTATGTATTTCAGTATGATCTGAGGTAAGCAGCGGTGCAGTGCTCTAATATTACCATTTCCCTAAGGTGTTAAGAGCACTAGTCACCTTAATGTTTCTTTTCTGAAATTACTCCCTTTTTCATGTTGAGGCAAGAAAATGTTACTTTAATTTGGAATCTGGAGGCATCTCCTGCAGGTTTATCTCTGCCCTGAGACTTAAGTAAAACACGGTCAGCTATTACAAGGTGGGCAGTTACTGCTTGGCACTAGGCCTGCCCCTCCCCCGAGAGGCAGGTCTTAATCTAGCTCTCGTTGCGTGGCAGTGTATGACCTGTAATATTAACTCCCACATTCATAAGAGCAAAGCAATTCCTGGGTTGGGATTTCAGTTTGTGATAAGGTGGATAGGTAGATGTTTAGCTGACTATGTAACTGGCTTAATGTTAGGAGCAAAAACTGATACTGCAACAGGTTCATGGATTGATTTATTTATACTTAAATTTGGTTATAATGATAATATTTACTCTTGTGCCCAATTGTTTTGTTCCTGGTTGCCAAAATTTATTTAAAGATCCATTCATTTTTATTTGAAAGGCAGAGTTACAAAGAGGAGACAGAGATCTGCCATCTGCTAGTTTGCTCCCCATGTGGCCACATTAGCTGGAGTTGATTCGATGCCAGGAGCCAGGAGCCCCAAACCCCCATGTAGTCTTCCACATGGGTGGCTGGGGCCCAAGCACTTGGGCTATCCTCCACTGCTTTCCCAGGCCACAAGCAGGGAGCTGGGTAGGAAGTGGAGCAGCTGGGACATGAGTCGGCGCCCATAGGAGATGCTGATGCCACAGGTGGAAACAGCCCACTACACCATGGTGCCAGTCCTCCAAATTAATTTTTTTTAAAGATTTATTCATTTTTATTTGAAAGGCAGAATTACAGAAAGAGAGACAGAGATCTCCCTTCCATTACTAAATGGCCACAACAACCAGAGCTGGGCCGGTCTGACACTTGGAGCCAGGAGCTTCATCAGAGTCTCCTGAGTGGATAGGGGCCCATGCACTTGAGCTGTCTTCCTGTTGCTTTCCCAAGGGCATTAGCAGGGAGGTGAATCAGGCATGGAACATCCAGGATTGAAACCGGCACCCATAGGGGATGCCCCGGCCCTTGGCATCAAAATATATCTAAGTTATAATTCTTAGGTATTTTCCTACATGACATGCTTTAAATGATACAAATGATTGAGCGTTCTTACTTAGTTTTCCGAAGAGGAGCTAATTTCACTGAGGTTGTCTGCTTTGCCTGTTAGCTGCCAGTGGTGACTTAACAGTCTGTGTTTCCAGTGCTAAACTAAGCAAAGAAATAATTCAGTAATACTTCATGTGTTCTTTTTTTGTTTGTTTAATGACTTACTTCTGTAGTTTCTGTTTTCCCACGCTGAATGTGATGTCCATATTTTGTATGTTTTTCAGGATTGGGACAGCTGCACTGGCGATTCAAGTTGTGGGCAGCAACTGGCCCAAGCCACATTACACTTTGCTGATTACAGGGCTGTGCCGTTTCCAGATTCTCGAGGTCTTAAAGGAGAAGCCATACCCCATTGCTGAGGTGGAACAGTTGGACCGGCTTGAGGAGTTTCCCAACACTTCAAACAGTAGAGAGGAGCTGGGAGAGTTGTCAGAACAGTTTTATAAATATGCAGTGCAAGTGAGCTACTTTTCTCCTTAAAACTCTTTTCCTTTGGTGCCTTTTTCTGTCCTACACTACATCCTATCTGTTGAGTTGTGGAATTTTATAGCAGTGTACATTTAAATAATTTGAAAATATTTTATAGCATCAATTTTAATTTGCTTGCGTCTGTATACATTGGGCAGCCTTCCTAAAGTTTCTCCAGTGAATATTTCTAAAGCGTTTATGGTAACTTCCAATATCTCCAGATCAGAAAGTTAATGATTTAATGAATTTAATATTAAAATGTTAAATGCTTAATGTTAAAATACTGCTCAAAAACTATTTGTCACTAAAATATCAAAGCTATATTGGTTACATTGCTTTAAAAATAAAAGACATGTTATGCCTGGCAGTAACTGCAAGATTAAGCTTTGATGGATGGATTTAATGTATGGTTAGCAACATAACAGGTGTGACCTGTAATTCTGGGCTTCAAGTTTCTCCGTGAGATAGAACAGAAAACTGTTCTGTCCACATTGTTTCATTTTAGACATTTTAAAATTACATTATAAAGTGTAGCCACCTATTTTTCTATTAATATAATTCCATAACTGTAAGTGAATCTCTGTTTATCGTATAGCAGTGGGAGATCTGGATTATGAAAAGCTACTGATTGTTGAAAAGTGTATGGACTCGTGTTCCCTGGTATGGGGAATGTGTCATTTGAAGGGACACACTTCTGGTGTGGTGAACAGTAAGAGAAAACGTGGAGGTTTTGAGCAGTAACTTTGATAGGATCTGGAGCAGCTTCAGTTGGCGGGCCAGAGCTGGTGCGTGGCCCTCTGAGGCCAGGTGCAGATGGTTGGATGGCAGGACACATCTTTTCCTTTCCACCAGGCCGCTGTGCACCCCTTGAATGCAGCTCCTCAGCGCCCCCTGCCTTCCCCTCCTCTCCTGCCCTGTGAATCTACAGAAGCTTCTGAAATGTGTAGATTTTCAAAGGACATGAAAGGAATTTTAAAAAGAGAAATAAATCCCAATAATTTGTTTCCATCATGCATCCAATTTTTGCTTGTTTTCTTATCTTGGTCCATCTTCAGGCTTTTGTTTTGTTTTTGTCTGTGTCTGGTTTCCAAATAAGTGTCTTTAAGCACTTCTGCTGCATTAAGGGATAATAGTTTTGTCATTCCTCTCTTCAAGATTATTTATCATGGGCCCGGCGCAGTGGCGCAAGTGGTTAAGGTCCTCACCTTGCACGCCCGGTATCCCATATGGGCGCTGGTTCTAATCCCGGCAGCCCTGCTTCCCATCCAGCTCCCTGCCTGTGGCCCGGGAAAGCAGTCGAGGATGGCCCAAGGCTTTGGGACCCTGCACCCGTGTGGGAGACCTGGAAGAGGCTCCTGGCTATGGATCAGCTCAGCTCTAGCCATTGCAGCCACTTGGGGAGTGAATCATGGGAAGGAAGATCTTCCTCTCTGTCTCTCCTCTCTGTATATCCGCCTTTCCAATAAATAAATAACAATAATAAAAAAGATTATTTATCATTTATACTTTTGTCTCTGTTTAGATTTATTTCTGGAGCCTCATCACTGGTCACCTTCTGGTTTCCTCTGTCTTTAACTCACCCAGTTCACTGAGCCTTTCTTAACAACAGCCAGTTTGGGGCAGGCCTTTCCTTTGAGTGGCAGGCTGAAATCTCGAGTGTGACCCAGAGGCACTCTACAGCTTCTGCTGGCCGTGTCCATCCCCATCCAGTGCCACCCAGGTTCCCAGCCATGCTGTTAACTTCAGATACTGTTTTTTATACCCCTCTCGCCTTCTGTTCTCTGCTGGGACTGTTCTTTTTAAATTTTTCACATTGAGCAGTCAGTAAGCAGTCAGTAAGCAGTCACATGTAAGCAGTCAGTTCTGTTTTCTCAGTGTGTTCATGGCCCTTTAGATGTATATGATTTATTTTACATTTTCATTCTGACTGACAAGACATTTTCTTTTCCTTTAAGTTCTGTGAAATGCCTGGAATGTACTACTAGTGACCTTTCACAATGAGTGCTTGAGGCCCAAACATTCAAACCATTTGGAAATCTGATTGTTCAAATTCATAAATAATGTCAGATTTCATTTTTAAAAGTCTTTCCTTCCCCCCGCTTCTAGTTGGTGGAAATGTTGGATATGTCTGTTCCTGCTGTTGCAAAATTGAGACGCCTTTTAGACAATCTTCCAAGGGAAGCTTTGCCAGACATCCTGACATCGATTATCCGAACAAGCAACAAAGAGAAGCTCCAGGTATAATGTTCCTTTTTTTGTTTTTTTTTTTCTTTTGTATTTATTTTTGTTCATTTGAAAGGCAGAGTTAACAGGGAGAGGGAAGGACAGAGAGAGCAATCTTTCATCTGTTGACTTCCCAAACGGCCACAATGGCTAGACTGGGCCATTGCCAAAGCCAAGAATGCAGAATGTCTTCCTGGACTCACATGGAGATGCAGGGGCCCAAGTACTTGTGTCATCTTCTGCTGCTTTCCCAGGTACAATAGCGGGGAGTTGGATCAGAGCCTCTGGCCTTATGGGATGCCAACATTTTAGGCAGTGGTAACGCTGACCCTCAGTCAGTATGCTCTTCTTGACTGCCAAGTTGCTTTGTCCCTTTTTGTTTTTATAAGCCTATTTATTTAAAGATAGACACGTACACACACAGGGAGAGGAATACAAAGCTACTGGTTCACTCCTGAAATGCCTACAGTGCCCCGTGCTGGGCCAGGCTGAAGTTAGGAGTCTGGAACTTAACAAGCAGCCCCCCAGAGGGAGGCAGGGCCAAGCACCTGGGCCATCAGTTGCCTTCCAGGGTGCATACTAGCAGGAAGCTGGAATCAGGGACTCAAATCCTTGTGTTTATAATACAAGACAAGAACTTTAAACTGAAGCCAAGTGCTTGCCACTGTCTATTTAGGTCAGGATAGGGAATAGTTCAATTTTTTTGACCTTTAAGAAAAGTATATAGGCTCGGTCAAGCTGAGCTTTTGTTGCATGTATTTCTGCCAGTTCAAGTTCTGGCTGTTCCAGGCCTCTAATACATTTTCCTGCTAATGTGCCTGGGAGGCAACTGCAGACAGCCTGAGGACTTGGAATCCTTGGCCTGTGTCTGAGGCTTGGGTGGAGTTCCTGGCTCCAGGCATCTGCCTGGCCATGGTTATTGGAGGCATTCGGGGAGAGTGGACCAGCAGATGGATGATCTCTCTCTGTGTCATTCTGTTTTTCAAATGAATAAAGAGTTTTTTAAAGCAAATGGTTAAAAACTCAGATTTAAATTGAATTTCAAAGATTATTTTGAATACTTATACAGGCAGTATTTTATTGAGAAGTTAGTACTAGCAGTTGGTCAATTTTTGGGAGAAGTTGAATCAGAATTTTTACAAGGTATATATTTACTTTAAATATGTAAAGGTACTTTGTTGTACCATTTTCTGAGCAAGACCTGCTGTATCAGAGTTGCACATTCTTTCAAATATAAATAACACTTTGGGTGCATTTATAAATGAGACGATTTTAAAGAAAAATATTTCTCGGTATGAAATTCTAGATTTACAAGACGTAACCCCCAAACCATTAAGCTTTCTTGCAGAATTGTTTTTGTAGTACCTCTTAGTCCATTTTATGAATCGTCCTAGAATATTTGTTAGTCTTCATTGAAGCAACCCTGTCTTATTTTATTCATGTGTTTAATATTTAAAGCCAGTCGTTATAGTTATCAAGTACACCTGCCAGAATAGAGTTTGTGTAGACACAGGCGTGCTGCTGGAGGGGTTGGGACTGCTGGAGCAGTCCCTGTCACAGGTGTGGCCCTTAGTGTGCGTTGCACTAAGGAAATGGGGATCTGCTGTTCCTCCAGCATTGCTAGTTTAATCGAGGTTGCGCCTGTTCTCTTGCGTCTATAAAAACTTAGTGTTTGGAGCCTAGAATTTGTTTAGACCAATATTGCGGATGCATGTGGGCTTTAAGAGAATCACCCCCAGAAGGAGCTGAGATCAGCCGTGTGGCTTTGGATCTTGGAACATACAAAACTCGATTCGTGTGTCCCATCCGGTGTCAATAAGCTTGCTGGTGAGTGTAGTGAGTTTGCTGTGTTAGCCGTAGTAAAGACATAAACACTGATAGGAGAGCGTGTGTTTGTGTGTGTGTGTGTGTGTGTGTGTGTGTGTGTGTGTGTGTGTGTGTGTGTGTGTGTGTGTGTGTGTGTGTGTGTTGTTCCAGTGTAAGTAACAGTTTAAGTCGTGCTGGGCTGCTTGTCTGTGGAACACACGTTTCTGAGAGAATGGCATTAATCGCCTTTCGTGTCCTTAGATTCTGGATGCTGTAAGCCTGGAGGAGCGGTTCAAGATGACCATCCCGCTGCTTGTCAGACAGATTGAAGGCCTGAAATTGCTTCAGAAAACCAGAAAGCCCAAGCAAGATGATGACAAGCGGGTATGCAGTCCGTTCAATCCATTTATTGAGGTTTTATATGGAATGTGATTCAGGTTTTATTTTAAAAATTAATAAATATATGAGAATTGAAGAGAAGTTAGTCAACTGTTTGCCGCTCAAGGTCCCGATAAAATGTTGGTGTTTCCAGTCCTTCCCCATGCCCGGAGGATTTTTATCCTTCTTCGCCCTCCTTGCTTGACGCAGGAGAGCGCCTTCTCACTTGAAGATCCTTGCTTTCTTAGTCACCTAAGGGATGATTGATTGAATTTTTTCCCCAGAGGACTCCTCAGGTGGGACCCTGATTTGACCGACTGTATAAATGATTCAGTTTTCATTTCATCGCTGTTTTCCCTCTCTTCTAAACTTAGAGTTGTTTGTTCCCTACCAATTTTATAAAGACCCATTTTCCCTTTAATTTTCCTTAAATTAAGTCTTTTGAAGGCACTTAACTCTTTTTACAAATTTTTTATTAATATTGGGGCCATCACCATGGCATAGTGGCACCAGTGCCTGTGGCACTGGCATTCTGTGTGGGCACTAGTTCATTGTCCTGGCCACTCTGTTTCTAATCTAAGCTTGTGACTTGGGAAAGCAACAGAGGAAAGGCCAAGACCTTGAACCCCTGCTTCCATGTGGAAAGTGCAAGGAGGCTCCTGGCTCCAGATCAGCTCCAGCCATGTGGCCATTTGGGTAGTAAACCAGTGGATGGAGAATCTCGATCTCTCTCTCTCTCTCCCTCTCTCTCCTTCTCTCTGCAATCTTTCCTTTCAAATAAAAATCTTTTTTAAAAAATTGTTAATCTATAGAGACCAGATTTTAAGTATTTAATACATACAGCTCTAAGAAGACAACCATATTTATCTCCCGCTCCTTCTCTCAATGCCCCTCTCTTCCTCCCCGCCACTTTTTTTTTGTCTTTCCACGTTTTACTTATTGAAAATTACGGTCCTAAGCTCTTTAACCCATGTTAGTTAATCCAAGTCGAAGAGATCAGTTGCATTTGTCCCCCAAAAAATAGCATTTATGGGACTCCACTTCAATTGCTAAGCAATCCTTCTTTCCTCCTGTGTCATATGTGGCGCTGATCTTCGTGGTGGGGTCTGTCTGAGGCCTGCCTGGAGCTGCCAAGTGATGATTTGGGCAGAGGTGAGGTCAGGAAGATAATGGATGTGGGTGGGACTGCTTGAGGCTAGGAACTAACCTAAAAGTTGTGGCTATCTGTTGTTCTATTTTGTGAATTCTGCTGCCTCCTTGTGTACATTCTGAACTTGAATAACTTAATATAAAGACTGTAGTCATGGGCCTGGGCCTAGTGGCTAAAATCCTCACCTTGCATGTGCCGGGTTCCCAAATGGGTGCTGATTCATGTCACAGTGGCCTCGCTTCCCATCCAGCTCCCTGCTTGTGGCCTGGGAAAGCAGTCGAGGATGGCCCAAGGCCTTGGGACCCCGAACCCATGTGGGAGACCCAGAAGAAACTCCTGGCTCCTGGCTCCTGGCTTCGGATTGGAGCTCAGCTCCATCTGCTATGGCCACTTGGGAAGTGAATCAGCAGGCAGAAGATCTTCCTCTCTGTCTTTTCTCCTCTCTGTATGTCTGTCTTTCCAATAAAAATAAGTAGATCTTAAAAAAAAAACGACTATAGTCATAAAAATGTGTGATCAGGGTCGGCACCTGAGGTGCTGACATCCATGTTCATCTGTTCATGTCCTGGCTGCCCACTTCCTATCCAGCTCCCTCCTTATAGCCTGGAAAAGCACTGGTGGATGGCTCATATCCTGGGAAACCTGCATCCACATGGGAGACCTGCAAGAGACTTCTGTCTCCTGGTTGGATACGCTCAGTTCAGCTCTTGTGGCGGCCAGCTGGGGAATGAATGTGCCGATGAAAGATCTCTTTCTGTCTCTCCTTCTCTCTGTTAACTCTGCCCTTCAAATAAAGATTAAGCAAATCTTTTTTAAAAATGTGCATTCAACATTAATCATAACCTTATGTGTAAGTGGATGCTTCATGTTCAGTGTATTTAGACACATGTTTCTGCTCTCTGCTTCGTTTAGGTTATAGCGATACGCCCCATTAAGAGGATTGCACACATTCCAGGTACTTTAGAAGATGAAGACGAGGAGGAAGACAATGATGACATCGTTATGCTAGAGAAGAAGATACGAACCTCCAGCATGCCAGAGCAGGCCCACAAAGTCTGCGTCAAAGAAATAAAAAGGTGAACCATAGAGGGCATTCCTTAGGCAGTGATTTCATTTTGCTTATTAATGTTCAAGAAAGTTTTGGTCATGGAGATTTGGCACTTTAGAGATCTGATGCTTTAGAAACTGAGTCATCTGTTTCATGTTCGCCTTTCTTATGCCTCATCTGCTGTGAACCAGCCTGTTCAACTTAACCTTTCCGTTGCTACACCTTTCACAGCTTGCCTGATTCTCACCCTGCTCATTTGTTCTTCATCCCTCACCCAGAACCTAATTCTTAAAACATTCTTAACACTGTTAAATTAATACCACTTTCTCAGCCTTTTTCTCAAATGCTGAGGATGCAGTCTTTCTGCCTGTGGTGTGTTATTAAATATAACTCTTGAGGGTGCCTTTCTGAAAGAATTGGCCATGCTTTGGATATGGTGTTTGGTCATTGTGTTGTTTATACATCACTCTTTAATTCTTTAGCTATAAACTCCAGAGGGGGAGTAACTATGGATTTCTTTGATACAAAATACAAGGAAATCCTGATGGCAAAATAGGGCATATGGGTTGATTGTACTTTCTAAATAGCCTCAGGGATAAATACAAAATCTTTTTTTTTTTCCCCCTTTGCTTACCTTATAGTTGCCAACTGCTTTGCATTTTAGTAGTAAATTATGATGAATTTGCTTGGATGCTTAGCAGTATGACTTGCTGAGGTTCACAGTTGATAAGCATAGTTGAAAATATTTGTTTATATTTATTTTTTTGAGAGAGGAAAAATAAACTTTCATAAAAAGAAAAAAGTGAAGAGAGATTGGTCCTGGCAGCTGGTTCACTAGCCGAACGGTCCCAATGGCCAGGCCCAGTTCAGGAGCTGGGACCGTGGTGCAAGTCGGCAACATGAGTGATGGAAAACCAATCATTTCAGATGTTACTGCTGCCTCCTGACGTCTCCACTGGTAGGAAGTTGGAGTGAGGCACTGGGACTGGATATCAAGCCCAGATATTTCCATGTGAGAAATCCCTATCTGAACTGCTAGGCCCAACATCCACTGCAAGGAGTATGTTACACTAATTCTAATATGGATTAATAAACGTAGGACATCTGTTATGCACAGAACACTTAGTGAAGAACTGCCATGTAGTATACAGGTTGTGTTTTTGGTAACTTCTGATGTTGGATTGCTCCAGTGAGCAGAGCTCATCTCTGATACAGAATATGTAGTTATCGTGATGTACAATTAGCTGCTGCAGTCTTACTGTGATAAGTATGTTAATGGCTATTTGTCACTTGAGGCCCTCTGTCTTATTCACCACCTGCTCTCCCAGTCTGTTAATTATCTTTTATAAAATTTTTAACAGAACAAATGCGTTACAAGCAAAATAAGTACATTAGAAAACAAAATCAACTTTTACTAACCAGGTGTTTCAAAACTTTTCCAAATTTGTTTAACCAAATTGACCTATCTTTTAAAAGTTCATGAGAATGTGTTATGTGTATTATGAAAGCACTATACATGGATTTCAGATTTTTTTGAACATCTTTAAGTTTTCCATGAATTTTTGAAGTTCCTTGTGTGCATGGGATGTGTGTGTTGTGTGTGTGTGTGTTGTGTGTGTGTGTGTGTGTGTATATATATATATATATGAAGGTATACTTGATTATTCTATTATAGAATTTTTCTATGTTGTTTACCATATTTACCCTTTTTTTTTATCCGCAGGCTCAAAAAAATGCCTCAGTCAATGCCAGAATATGCCCTGACTAGAAATTATTTGGAACTTATGGTAGAGCTTCCTTGGAACAAAAGTACAACTGGTGAGCCAACAAAACAACACCCTTTTGCCACTAAATTGTCACTCAGATCATGCAAATTCTCATTTGAAGTTTTCTCAGTTATTGTACCACTAAGTTAATTTTTAGCTTTAGTTTCAAGAATCATTTTGATGAGGTATGATTGGTACATAACAGCTATTGTACAGATGTCATGGTCACGTCACAGTGAGTTTTAGTGCCATCTCTCCCATCAAGATCATGAACACCTCGCTTCACCTCCCCAAATTTCCTCCCACATCTTTTTTTGTTGTTTTTAAAAGATCTGTTTATTTTTATTGTAAAGGCAGATTTACAGAGAGAGGAGAAACAGAAAGATCTTCCATCCACTGGTTTACTTCCCAAGTGACTGCAGTGGCCAGAGCTGAGCCAATCTGAAGCCAGGAGTCAGGAGCTTCTGGGTCTCCCACATGGGTACGTGGTCCCAAGGCTTTGGGCCATCCTCTAATGCCTCACCAAGCCATTAACAGGGAGTGAGATGGGAAGTGGAGCAGCTGAGACATGAACCAGTGCCCATGTGGAATCCCAATGCTTGCAAGATAAGGATTTAGTCGCTGAGCCGTTGATCTAGGCCCACCTTTTATTGTTGTTATTTGCTTTTATAATGTGTGGTAAGAACACTTAAGATCTGCCCTCTGAGCAAATTTTAAAAATACAAAAAAATTCCTTTTTTAAGATTTATTTATTTTTATTTGAAAGGTGGATTTTATAGAGAGAGTAGAGAGAGAGAAATCTTCTGTCTGGTGGTTTACTTCCCAAATGTTTGCAGTGGCCGGAGCTGAGCTGATCCAAAGTTGGGAGCCAGGCTCTAAGCAGAGAACTGGATCAGAAGTGGAGCAGCCAGGACATGAACTAGTGCCCACGTGGAATGCCAATGCTACCACGTGGAGGATTAGCTTGCTACACAACCATGCCAACCTTCATAACTTCCTTAATAGCTATAGACACTACGCAGTATTGTCCTTCTCCTTAACAAAGCATTTACCATGAATAAATCAACATTTATCATATCCCTGTTCCTTTCAGATATATTTAGTTGCCTTTGGCATGGCCTGGGCAATTTGAACCAAGGTGAAGAGAAAGAAGATAGGCAATTAGAGTGTCAGAGACTCAAAGTAAAGATTATGGGGGCGGAGGGGGAGGGGAGGCAGAGGAACCCTGTTGTGCTCTTCTTCCCAGTGGTGTTCTTTTTCTTTTCTTTTCTTTTCTTTTCTTTTTCTTTTTCTTTTTCTTTTCTTTTCTTTTTCTTTTTCTTTTCTTTTCTTTTCTTTTCTTTTCTCTTCTCTTCTCTTCTCTTCTTTTCTTTTCTTTTCTTTCTTTTCCTTTCCTTTCCTTTTCCTTTTCCTTTTCTTTTTTTTCATTTAAGACATTCATTATTTTTTTTTTATTGGAAAAGCAGATATACAGAGAAGGAAAGAGAAAAGTCTTCCATCCAGGTCTCCCACATAGGTGCAGGGTCCCAAAGCTTTGGGCATCTTCCACTAACTTTCCCAGGCTATAAACAGGGAACTGGATAGGAAATGAAGCAGCTGGAACATGAACTGGTACCCGTAGGGGATCCCTGCACTTGCAAGGGGAGGATGAGCTCATTGAGCTATCACACTGGGCTCTATTTTCCTAGGGTATCAAATCTCCTTGCTAAGATGGCAGTGTTCTAGAGTCACAACCTTGTTCCCACGGCTTACTAGCCCCTGACAGCTTCAGGGCACCATGTGACCAGACGGAGGAATTGAGCAGAATTCTCCACTGAATACACAAGTTCCTTGGACTTGTTATCTTGGGAACCCCTACATCTGAGGGTTTTCTTCTTTGGACAAGCGCTGTGTTACCCGCAGACTGCTCTGTAGCCGAGTCTCCTCCCAGCCTGCTCTGTTGAGGCCCTTCCTGCTGTCCCTCAGTCTGTTCTAGATCATCTCTGGTAGTCATCTATCAATGTCTGAATCATCTTCGTTATATTTGCTTCTTCTGTTGGAAACTTGTTATTTTTACATTTCAGATTTATTAAGTTTGTCAGAGGATTAGTTGCCTAAACCACTGTACATATAAGAGGGGCTCTCTGTAGGCTTTTTTTTTTATTAAGATTTATTTATTTTTATTACAAAGTCAAATATATAGAGAGGAGGAGAGACAGAGAGGAAGATCTTCCGTCTGATGATTCACTCCCCAAGTGAACGCAACGGCCGATGCTATGCCAATCGGAAGCCAGGAAACAGGAACCTCTTCTGGGTATCCCACGCGGGTGCAGGGTCCCAAAGCTTTGGGCGGTCCTCGACTGCTTTCCCAGGCCACAAGCAGGGAGCTGGATGGGAAGTGGAGCTGCCGGGATTAGAACCGGCGCCCATATGGGATCCCAGGCGTTCAAGGTGAGGACTTTAGCTGCTAGGCCACGGCGCTGGGCCCTGTAGGCTTTTAAAAATTGAATAGCTATGTTATTCTCACTAGTAAATTTTCTGTATTAAAAATGCTAGAGATTTCAGAAATCTTGGTTCTTAAATAACCATTTATGTCCCACAGAAAATGTGCCACACATACCAGCTTTCAATATTTTAAATATGAATATATGTATTAATTTTTTAAATTTAACTTGAATGTGAGAGAGGGGAAGGAGAGAGAGAGAGACAGAGAGACAGATTTTCCGTCGCAGATTCACTCCCCAAATAGCTGCAATGGCCAGAGCTGAGCCAGTCCTATGCTAGGATCCAGCAGTTTCCCGCAGATTTTCCACATGGCTTCAGGGACCCAAGGACCTGAGCCATCCTCTGCTGTTTTCCTAGGCCATTATCTGGGAGCTTGGTTAGAAATGGAGCAACCAGGATCTGAACTGGTGCCCACATGGAATGCCAGCACTTCAGCAAGGACTAGCTTGCTTCACTACCTCAGCAGGTCCATACATTTGAATATTTAAAAAAATTGCCTATTATTAATCTATTGAGGGTCATTCTTTCCATCACTGAGATTATTAATTTAATCTCAAAGAGAACCCAGGCTAGTGCTTTAGCTTAACTGGCTAATCCTTTACTTCCAAGCGTCAGCACCCTATGTGAGTGCAGGCTTATATTTTGACTGCTTCACTGCTCATTCAGCTCCCTGCTTGTGGCCTGGGAAAGCAGCAAAGGATGGCCCAAAGCCTTGGGACCCCGTACCTGAGTGGGAGACCTGGAGGAAGCTCCTGGCTTCAGATCATCTCAGCTCTGACCGTTGTGGCCATTTGGGGAGTGAACCAACAATGGAAAATCTTTCTTTCGGTTTTTCCTTCTTTCTATATATCTGCCTTTCTGATAAAAATAAATAAATCCTAAAAACAAATCAAAAACAGTGAAAATGAACCATATCTGTGTTAAATTATGCTGGGGTAAAGTGTTAGGGTTGGGACTGGCCTTGTAGCACAGTGCATTAAGCCTTTGCTTCTGATGCTAGAATCACAGATGGATGCCCTTTCCAGACCTGGCTGTTCCACTTCTGGTCCAGCTTCCTGCTAATGCATCTGGGAGAGCAGTGGAAGATGGCCCAAGTGCTTGAGCCTCTGCACGCACCTGAGAGACCTGGAAGAAACTCTGGGCTCTGGGCTTCAGCCTGGCCCGGCCCCAGGCACTGCAGCCGTTTGGAAAGTGTAGATTCTCTGTCTCCCTGTTTCTCCTATCCCTGTAACTCTGCCTTTCAAGGAAAGAAAGACATAATTCTTTACAAAAATGGTAATTTTTTTAAATGTGTGACAGTTTAAAGCAGCCCACACCCCTATCTAGATAGAACCATTTATTATGTTTAATAATGCACATAGCTATTAATTGGCTAAAAAATTTTGGAAATCTTTGAATTTTATCCGTTAAGTTTCTCAGGCTTCTATTAGAGGAAGCAGGTACAACCTAAGTCTGCGAGACTCCTCTGGTGTTGTCCATTTTCATCAGCGTAGGAGATGTAGGGAGCCCATATTCCCATCGTGAAGATAGTTTCCTCATTTGCTAAGCATTTCAACAAAGAAAAGAAGATAAGTAAATTGTGGTATAAAAGAAGTTCTGTTGAACTCCTAAATAATTTCTGTACAGAATTAGGTCTAAATGATTGATGTTTCATTACAAAACTAAAAATGTCATTCATAATTTTTAGATGATAAGCCTACTTAGTTATGTAGAGTTTTGAGGTGGAAAACAAAAGCAGAAAGGAAAGAGTTAGAAAAAAACAAGTTTGCTGATTTAGCTGAAGTAGGAAGAGTCCACTTCAGTATTCCAGTTAGAAACAGGAATTTATATTCAAGTTTTTAAGTTATTGTGTTATTCGAAATACAGGTCAAACATTCAATCATTAAAACTGATAATCAGGGGCCCAGCTTGGTGGCCTCAGGGCTAAAGTCCTCACCTTGAGCATGCAGGGATCTCATATGGGCACTGGTTCTAATCCTGGATCCCCTAATCCTGGATCCCATATGGGCACTGGTTTTAATCCTGGATCCCATATGGGCACTGGTTCTAATCCTGGATCCCATATGGGCACTGGTTCTAATCCTGGCAGCCCCGCTTCCCATTCAGCTCCCTGCTTCTGGCCTGGGAAGGCATTTGAGGATGGCCCGAGGCCTTGGTACCCTGCACCCACATGGGAGACCTGGAGGCTCTGGGCTCCTGGCTTTGGATCAGTGCAGCTCCGGCTGTCATTGTCACTTGGGGAGTGAATCATTGGCCAGATGATCTTCTTCTCTTTCTCTCCTCTTCTTGATCTGCCTTTGCAGTGAAAATAAATCTTTAAAAAAAAAATCATCAGAACACATACGTCCTCTGTAGAAAAGTAGAAAATAATTCATATAGTATGGAAATTGCTTTTGTTAAAGGATTGAGAGAATGTCTAGCATTGTATTTACTTGACATAAATTTCTTGGATGAAATTCTTTGTTAAATATTTAATCTTTTCTAGCATAGAATTGCCTAAAATTCTATTTTCAACTTACTAAATGTATTAATCAGGAATCAGTGCTATAATATAACAAGTGTTTTTAGGCCCAGACTGGCGTTTTGAGGGAAATTTTTTTCTTCTTTAGACGTGGTGAGATATAATTATTGATAACCTAACATTTTAAACATTTTTATATAACTAGAATCAATTCTGTTGCAGCTAGTATTTTAATAGAGACAGGAAAATGAGATTGGCTCGAGGGTTTTGTGTCTATTATAGATTTGAGAGTCAAGGCTAATGTTAGTGAAACAAGTAGGAAACTTTCTTTCGCTTATTTGTATAATTGGATTCTGAAGCCAGAAAAATTTTATTTTTCCATTTTGAAATCACCCAGGACTCTAATAAAATTAATAGCTTTATAATTAACTTATATGTGTATATACACATATACGTATAAATTGCTCAGCGAGGTTTTTATGAACTAACTTAAGAGCCAAGCTACCATCTATGGTCCATTTGCTGCTGCCTCCCTGCTCCCTCCTCTTTCAGCCTCCTGGGATCCTGTGGCTGGCCATTGTTTCTGGCTGGCCACTGAGAGCCACCAGGCAGTGACGTCACCCTGACTGCTGCAACCTCAGATTTAATAGCCTGAGTATTTCCAATGTTAAAGCACATTGGTTAAACTTGATGAAAGCTGTTCTCTTAGAAACAGACGCACTCATACACCTCTAACAGACAAATTAATACAACTTTTCTGAGTGGGAGGAGAGTGGGTGAGGAACACGGGAAGGAGGGAAGTATTGCTATGGTCCTAAATCTGTATTATGAAATTTGCTCACCCTATTTAAAAAAAATTTCCTGCCACTTCTGTTTGGGGAAGATCAGCTGAAGGAAATAAAAGATATGTAAAGGTTTATTTATAAGGATATTTGATGTGAAGCGTTCTATTTTAAAATCTACTTATTTTTTTTAAGATTTATTTATTTTTATTGGAAAAGCAGATTTTAAGAAAAGGAAGGAGAGATAGAGAAGTCTTCCATCTGTTGGTTCATTCCCCAAATGGCCACGGTGGCCATAACTGAGCTGATCTGAAGCTGGCCTCCCACGGGGTGCAGAGGCCCAAGATTTTGGACCATCCTGTGCTGTTTTCTCAGGCTGTAAACAGCTGGATTGGAAGTGGAACAGCTGGGGCATAAACTGGTGCTGATATGGAAACCCCTGCTGCAAGGCAAAGGATTAGCTTGCTCTCCCACAGAGAGAACAGTCCCTTCTGTTGGTTCACTCTCCCCAAATGCCTATCACTTGAGTCATTGATGCCTCCCAGGATCTCCTTAAAACAGGAAGCTAGAATCATAAGGTAGGGCTGGGGTGTGTATATATATATATATATACACACACACATATATATGTATACATATATATATATGTAGTTGTAAAGATTGTAAATAACCTAAAGTCTTAGCAATAAGGAATTAAGTGAATATGGGAAATTGATGATAGAATCATATCAAGTTGCCATAACTACCGAAAAATGCATGTGACATTGAAAATTGTCCACAATACATATAATGAAAGCAATTTTTACAGCATTTAAAAAGTCTGCAAAACCCCATTGAAAAATAGTTCTATTGGAGTGATTATTGTGGCGCAGCTGGGGAAGCTGCTGTTGGAGAGCCTGCATCCTTATCAGTGAGTGTGGGGTTATGTCCCACCACTCCACTACACCCGAGGAGGCAGTAACAATGGCGCAAGTGGTTGTGTTGTGTCCCTACCACTCACACTGCAGACTTGAATTCCCAGCTCCTAGCTTTGGCCTGGCCCAGCCCTGTCTGCTGTGAGCGTTTCGAGAGAGAACCAACTGGTGGAAGATCCTTCTTTGTCTCTCTCCTGCTGTCTCCCTCCCTCCCTATCTGTCACTCTACCTTTCAAGCAGATCAGCCTTTTGGAAAAAAATTTAAATATTGGACTCGTTCAATCATCCCTTTAAAAAAATATTAAACATCAGACCCATAAATACACACACGTAGCCTGGAATAACACATACCAAAATGAATGTCATGATGTTTTCTTAGGGATGTGAGATTGTGGGTGACTTGTTTTCTTTGTTCTTACTAGAGTTGTCAGGGCTTTTAGAATGAGTGTTTATTACTAGTATAAAAACTAAAGCAGAAAATGTCAGCACAAATAAATATGTGGAGACTTTGTTTTTATGAGAAATTGTATATCCGAAATTCTTCCAGATGGAATCATGTGAATATGGCATTTTTAATCGAGTGGTGCCAAGTGTCTGATTAGCAGTCAGTAAGTGTTGAACAGAAAGCCGAACCAAGTTCAGGTCTCTCTGAAGACTCATTGGGAAGGATCCAAATCTGTTCCTATCACATCATTTCTCCGAAAAAGATTTTGTTTCTTACCAGACTTGAATGGAATTCTTCACTTAAAAATCCCACGTGATCAACTTATTTCTGTTGTGTTGTCTTGACAGACCGCCTAGACATTCGAGCAGCCCGGATTCTTCTGGATAATGATCATTACGCCATGGAAAAACTGAAGAAAAGAGTGCTGGAGTACTTGGCTGTTAGGCAGCTGAAAAATAACCTGAAGGGTCCAATTCTTTGCTTCGTTGGCCCTCCTGGAGTTGGTAAAACAAGTGTGGGAAGATCGGTGGCCAAGACTCTGGGTCGGGAGTTCCACAGGATTGCACTCGGCGGAGTGTGTGACCAGTCTGATATTCGAGGACACAGGTAGAATACTTCTGTCCGTTTGATCTCTGACTTTCTTTCTCATTCCATTGAGTATTTATGCATGTGTGTATATATGTACATGTGAGGGGACTTCAAAAGTTCATGGTAACCGGAATTATAAAATGTTTGTTTTTGCACAAAAAGCTTTGAAATCCACACATTGTTTTTCCTTAAAACTCATTTCCCTGAACTCTTTTTGAAGACTCCTCACTCTATGAGTGATTTTGTTTGAATAACAGCAAGATACAGACCCGCCCTCCCTTGGTTCATTGTCTGAATGCCTGCACCAGCTGAGGCTGGGCCAGGTAAAAGCCAGGAACCCGGTGTCCTGTATGGGCGGCATTGCTGAGCCAGCTACTTGAGCCATTGCTGTCAGGACGTTTCCAGGACTTGGCTGGCGTGGGGCCTATAAGCAACATGGTGTGCATCCCTGCTGACCTCGATTCTTGTATGACGGCGGGTAACTGCTTTGTGCTTCAGCTTTCTTAGAATTTCATTTGTAATGATGTTTTTTATGATCAGATTTTATAGTATCTTTACATTTGTCTTGGAACAGTAGCATTCCATAAGTAATGGCCCATATCTCTAAAAAAAAATTGCAGTAGCTTAGGAAAATAAGAGATAAGGAATCTCTGACAACATGTTTGTTTTGCTACAATTTTAACTTTATCTTAGTAAGTCTGATTTGTAGCAGTGAATATGAGTAATGAGAAAGGTTAATGTAGTTATTGAGGGTTTATCTTCGTGTTTTGTACTACGAGAGCTGTGTTATACTGTAGGAACTGTGTCTCAGACATCTGACAGTCTTAAAGTTGCATGTCCGTCGTTTTGTGTTCTCCGACCCCTGTGTTTGTGATTGAAAGATCCCTTAGGAAGTATTTCATGTAAGGACTTCATAGCAACTGTAAGTTGTGAGAAAATGCAACTCTGCAGCAAATAGTAAAGAACACTTTAAAGTGTAGTGTTCTAAATCTTTTAAAATTTAGCAATAGTATTTGTTGTAGCAGTTGAACTGCAGCTTGGGGTACCTTCGTATCATCATGGCTGGATTTCAGTCCCAGCTCTGCTTTTGATTGCGGTAGTGTGTGCCGTGGTGATGGCTCACGAAGTTGGGGCCCTGCCACCCACATAGGAGACCCCGATTAAGTTCTAGACTTCCAGCTTAGGCCTGGTCCAACCCCAGCAGCTGAACATGTTTGCGATATGAATCAGCAGTTGGAAGACCTCTGTCTCTGCGTTCCAATTAAATAAAAATGTAAGAGAAGTTTAAACATACAGGTATAGTGAATTACCTAGAAAAGAATGTGATTGCGTTATTAGCATTTCCTGATTGCATCATTCACAGGGAGATAAGGAATCTTTTCTAGAAAGCTTTTTATGAGGAAGTTGTTTTTGTTCTCTTTTACTTATTTACACTCCTTATAATAATAATCCTAAGATTTTAATAAATAGCCCAAGAGCGGTTCATATCTGACCAGACAACTGAGAATCTAGATTTGTTTCTGTAATGAAGCAAGTTTATTCTCCCAAGTGCCACTAGAGGCTGTAGTTGCTTTTTGCAAAGAGCATTTTATAAAGATAGTCTTGGATCAGCTAGGGCCTAATTCTTGTCATTTTAGCTGTAGAGCTTTTGAAATATATTTCTTGTTCACCTAACTTGATTTATACTCTTAGTTGTTTTTTATTTCTTTTCTTGTCTGTGACACAATGCTGTACAGGAGTTCAATGGTATTTAAAAGAATATGTTTGTATTAAAAGAGCATGTTTGTATGAGAAAATTGTGTTGTGTGGGATTGTTGTCCTAGGCACATGACATGTGAACAATTTATCCTCTCCGTGGTTGTGTTGATTGTTCAGTAGGACCTGCAGAGCACTCATTCAGTGCCTGGCACCGAGTGTACAGTCATTAAAAATTAGCTTAGTATTGTTTTAATCTCAGATTTTCGGTAGAACAGGTTTATATTTATAAGTTTCATTATGGCTTTTAAAATTGTATTCTAAATCCTGCTGTCAGTATCGTTTAATCTGTGGGCTGAATGTGAGGGAAACGTATTTGTTGCCTAGTAATGGTGAGCAGTATGTCATGGCTCTTGTCACAGCTTATCAGCATCGCTGGATTTAAACAGAGCATGCTTTTAAATCTGACATAAAACTTGTTCTGATTTTTTTAAGCTACTGTACTTGTGTGACAATATTAAGAGAATTAAGGAAAATAAGAATTTGAGTTTTTTGTAAAGCAAGGTTGTCTTACACTCACCTTAGCTGAAAATATTTGTAAATGCAACCTTTTTAGAAATGTGTGGTAGGTATAGGGGTGTGATCACTGTCAAATGGATGGTGCCTGAGGTTTTCCTGGCTTTGGAAACACTTTGCTGACACATGTTGCTTGGCATCCCTTACCAGATTGTCATTAAGCACTACAGCAACCTGCCATGGTGGTACCGGGGACTTAGGGCCCAACACTCTCTAAATTATTAAAGCCAGGTGGAAATTTCTCTTTGAAAACCTGTTGGTTGGCTGTGTGGAGCTGAGTGTGGCTGTTGGGGAGAGGGTGGCGGCCAGTATTTGCTCCTGCCCGAGGAGGTGAAGGGCTGGCAGAGAGGTGGGGAATAGGAAACTCGGAGCATTATGGCCCAGCCATGGGCGGTGTCTGTGGGAATGTGTCGAGTTTCATGTGACGGTTGAGGCATTTAGGGAACACCCAGGTCTTGGCATTTGAAGATTGGTCACATGCTTACAACTAGAGTTCATGAAAAGTTTTGTTTTTCCCTTTGCCTCTGAGTAGGCACCACTGTTCCACAGTCTTAAAATAGCCCAGGAAAAACAGAGCAGCTCTCTGTCGTCTTGCTTATTTTTTTGATTTTGTATCTTGCTTACCCTGTTTTTCCACGAATGGGACTCCAGCCTTTTGCTGGAAGTACCTGTTTATATGAAGGAAGTTGCTCGTGAATTGAAAGTTCATTTAGGAATCAGCCAGGAGTGTATTTTTAGAGTTAAGTGGTAATGAGGAAAGAAAAAGCAAGGGTGAGTTTACACCAGGAGAATAATAATCATCATCTGACTCCACATTGTTGGCGCCTCGTATATGCCCATGTTCTTCTGAGTAGCAGCTTGAAGAATGGGTGATGCTTGCACCCCATGCTGCCTGCTGGAGTTGCAATCCCCTCGATACTTCTCTCATCTCCACCAGGACTCTCCCTTCTATCCATTGTTAGGATTCAAACTTTCATACTTAAATATTGCATTTAAACAACTTAGGATCTCATCACAGACATGAGATGAAATGTCTCTTTTAGCATATAGGTTTATGAACCATGTTTTCATAATAATCTGTATTTCATGAGGGTTTTTTGTTTGTTTTTAAAGAAATTTATTTGAACGGCAGATTACAAGGGATAAAGGAGACAGAGATCTTCCATCTGCTGGTTCACTGCTTAACTGGCAGCAAAGGCCAGACTGTGCCAGTCTGATTTGGGGGACACAAGTTTGGCTCCCCCCCGTGGGTGGCAGGGGCCCCAAAGCCTAATTTATCCTTACTGCACATGCACATGAGCAGGAAGCTGGGTGGCAAGTGGCGAAGGCAGAACTAGACTCAGTGCCCATGTGGGATGCTTGGCCTGTCATGCTGCAGGGCTGGTCCCCATAAATTCCTGCTGTCTTTTCAACCCCTTTTCCCCTTTCCATTCCACACCCAACTTCAGGCAGAAATGAGCTCCTTGCATGTCCTGAGTGGACTGTTTCAATAGAGAACCTCCAAAACGCTGTGGAAATTGAACTTTATTAGGACTTTGTCCACATATTCTTCCAGACAATTTAGAATTTCCCGAGTCTCTGAGAAGTGTGTTCCAGTTCCTGATGGATCTTGTTTGTTGGTTCCACATTGTGCTGCTTTTTTACATTTGCTTTGTTAAGAGGTCCTGTAGACATTTCTTGTTAAATTGTAAACTTTTCTTTTTAGTCAGTAGCAGCACACTGATTTCTCTGTCTGTCAAGGCAGAGAACTCTAAATGTGCTTTTATCTCTTTCAAAATCCTCTGACTTCTACTAGGGATAATTATATGAGGTTACTTTTTCTTCACTAACACATTAAGCTAATGTGTCCTCAATTGGAAAATTGTATTAATTGACCACTCCATATTTTTTTTCTTGTTTATTTTCTTAAAAATAAATTGTACCAGGGCCCGGCACGGTGGCGCAAGTGGTTAAAGGTCCTCGCCTTGCACGCCCGGGATCCCATATGGGCGCTGGTTCTAATCCCAGCAGCCCCGCTTCCCTTCCAGCTCCCTGCCTGTGGCCCAGGAAAGCAGTCGAGGACGGCCCAAGGCTTTGGGACCCTGCACCCGCGTGGGAGACCTGGAAGAGGCTCTTGGCTTCGGATCGGCATAGTATCAGCCCATTGCGCTCACTTGGGGAGTGAATCATCGGCCGGAAGATCTTCCTCTCTGTCTCTCCTCTCTGTTTATCCGCCTTTCCAATGAAAAAATAATAAAAATAAATCTTTTAAAAAAATAAAAAAAATAAAAAAAATAAATTGTACCTTAAAGATGTTAGAATAAATTGACAAATTAAAAAACATTTTTTCAAAACCCCTCACCTTTAAATGATAATAGAAATTTAACAAACAAATTTCCATGACCAAAAAAAAAAAAACTAGACAGCCTTATGTAAAAACTCAGCTGCTAAAAATATAGACAGTTCTATCAGGCTTGTTAAGTGTCAAAAAACTCATCACAAATAAATGCTGAAGGTCTTCATCTCAGTTCTTTTGTTCTCTGAGTTGACTTTCAGAGTCCTTGGTTGTTGGGTGAGTAAAGGGGACATCGGTGCTGATGCGAAGGCGAAGCTTCCCTACACTGTTTTGGGAGCAGGTGGATTGTCAGCAGTGCGCTGGGGTGCCGTCTTTGTGTTTAGGGCTGTCTGACAAGCTGCCTGGGGAGTGCCTGAGAGGCGGCTGGCTGCTGGCCTTGGGAGTCTTCTCCCTGGTCTTGGCTGTGCACTTC